GAAGCAAAACCCGAGATACGACATTCTAATGAGTATCTTAATTTCACTAACGGTAAATTGTCCCTCGCGGGAGTTCAGTTGGGGAGATTTGAAGAGATTTTGCAGTCTCATCTCTAGTAGCAGGACTTTCTTAATGTTGACCAGACCGACTAAAAAATTCAAATTTTAAAATCAGATTTATTAGTCAATAGAAAACGATACATAGTGGTCGTAAATAATCTCAGTATATACTGTGACGGTTTATAGTACCATACGTTTAAAATGAAGCATAATGAGCTATGTGACATTTTAGTGTAATATGGTAGTATCAGCATATATGAAAAGCCCAAGTAATAATGTCACTCGTTTGCTTAAATCGCAAATTCACTTAAAACTTTTAAGCAAAGAAAACGCCATAAAAATTCATACTATATAATCCGTATAATCCGTATATAACCGGAAACACCGCCGCGAAGTCGAAATAGTTACGGGTAGCGTGCCGACTTGACGGTGACTTGCGTATTGGTTCTAACACAAGGGCTAAAGTTTCGCTCATTGGTCCGGCTCTAAATTCCCTTGCGTTGGAGAGAGGAGGAATTAACACGAGAAACTTTTCGTAATATATTGGTGATCTTCGGGCGTTACACGATTCCTCTGTACAAAGCACACAATTTATTAGGTCCAAAAGCTCCAGAAAACAGGGTCTCAGCCTCAGAGATACAACGTCGAGGAATCCTAATAAACTACTGAGGACCACAAAAGCAGACAGCAAGGATACGGGTACGAGCCGCACCACAAAACTAACGACCTCACAGGAATGGACAGCAAGGATACGGGTACGAGCCGCACCACAAAACTGACAACCTCGCAGGAACGGACAGCAAGGATACGGGTACGAGCCGCACCACAAAACTNCGAGCCGCACCACAAAACTGACGATCTTACAGGCGTGGAGAGCAAGGATACGGGTACGAACCGCACCACAAAACTGACAACCTCACAGGAGTGGATAGCAAGGATACGGGTACGAGCCGCACCACAAAACTGACGACCTTACAGGAGTGGACAGCAAGGATACGGGTACAAGCCACACCACAAAACTGACAACCTTACAGGAGTGGACAGCAATGATACGGGTGCGAGCCGCACCACAATGCCGACAACCGGCGCAATGATCAGGGGTTCGAGCCCTAATGCACTGCCCAGAACACAGAACCGGGGTGGCAGTTACGCCTCTAAAGCACGACCATTGAAGGGTACGAGCCTCCAATAAGCCGCTGACAATTTACTCGAGCGCAGAGGTTATTAGCCTCTACCTTGAGGGTGCGAATTGAACGGCTGTTAACCGCCCAACACAGCCAGAACCTCGAACTCTCCAAAACCCCACCCACGCCGTTATTAGTCCGTTAGAGGAACTTATTAAGAGTTATGCACAGAACTGCGGTGGAGTTTATTCTTGGAAGCCCAAATCTGGTTCTGCCTCTTTCGAGTCGAAATCGTGTCACCCCAACCCAGCAACACTGAGCACACACAACTTCCGAGCGCACAGCTGTCTTAGGCAGACAGCCTTCAGCTGCAGTCATGCAGTTAACTCTAGACTCCGGCACTCAGCCAACACGCAGTGTCGTATACTCTATCTCCAAAATTACTGCACATACTATGCTTTGATCCTGTAACTTCTATCTAGTGTATCCCGTGAACCTATCTTCAATACTTACGCTTAGTTACACGTCTTGTCATTATCCTTTCCTGGCCGATGAATATTTAATATGTTATTCGGACAATTATAAACGAACACAAACCCCTCAGGTTTATCTACAACGGAACAGTAGATCAGACAGATCCTTTTAAGGTTATGACTGTCAACCCAGAACAGAGTTATTCATAACTTTGACAGTGGCTAGACTTTGACAGCTAGACGAGATTCCATATTACGGTCACGAAATAAATATTCGTTTACGCATTGCTTAGTCATTAATAAATTAAACCCTTTAGTTAACAAAATAATAGTTAACACAGTTAAATGAGATTCCATATTGCAGTCATAAAATAAATGTTACCAACAATTGACTAGTCACTAAGCTAGCACAGGATTAACAGAACGTACAGTTAAAAAATATATACCACGAAATAAGTATCCCGTCATACGTACTAAAGTGTTGACCTAAACCTACCTTCTTTATCAAGATTCAAGAAGCCCTGATCTAAAATCCTATAAAAGTTGCCGCATCTAATTTTATATCACTGTATGGCCTATCATGTTATGTATATGAATTCCTTGCAAACAGGACTAATGAATTTGTTTTACAAATGAAGTCATTTTCCTGAAAATATTCGTATAGGTATTGAAAAACTTTCACATGTAGAACTTGAGTAGAACAATTATTTTGGTTAAAATAGATTTCTGTTACAAAAGAGCTGTGTTTTGATGTGACCGCGTGTTCCGAAGTTGAAAAGAAAATAAGATGTATCTGCGTAATAGGACCTCATCGGCTCATGCGAGTATTTCGTCAGCTTTGACCGGTGACAGACATACCTGGGATTCCGTTACGGGCTTTGCTGTCGGGCGGACGTGTGTTATTAGCTGCTCTGTTCTTGGGGTACTCGATGCTAATTGATCGTTTTCCCTGACAATTGAGGAGACTTGGCATTCGATAATTGTTTTCTGTGGGCCTTGTTTGTAGTACCTTCATCTTGTGCCACTCTGTAGCCAGTAGTGGCGAGTGGCTGACGCTGTGTGTGCCACTCTGTAGCCAGTAGTGGCGAGTGCCTGGCGCTGTATGTGCCACTCTGTAGCCAGTAGTGGCGAGTGCCTGGCGCTGTATGTGCCACTCTGTAGCCAGTTCTCACCAGTTACTTCCGAAGCTACATCAGGAAGGCTTCTTTCAGAGCGGCTCTTTGTGAAAGCTGCTGCCCGTACATCTTTTCCTATTTAATTGTGTATCAATCGGAGGCTTAAGCTAAATAAGTGATAATGATTGGTTGGCAGTTGGATAGTTTTCCTGTCTTACCTTCCTGTGTATAGTTGAAGCTATCCCTCGAGGATCGCCTCGACCCTTATGCTGACATTTAATTAGAAACGACCAACATGTTATTTGCTTTTGTTTTAACATTACCTAGGACTTGGTATCTTCTTACACTTAGTGGCAAACTCATTGAGCCTCGTAGGGGAATTGTGAAAAGAACTATCACTACATCACTGTTAACACCACCGAAGTCACTGCTGCTTGGCGACTACTCGACTAAATTCCCAAATTAATTTGCCAAAATTTGTTCTTGTGTATTTATTGATGGCTAATAACTTTCACTTCAGGAATAAATTTAACCAAAGCTCATATTGTACCTTCTATTCCTAATTTTAGCCGTTCAAAACATTTATGTACTCTAAGCTACCCACCTATGAAAACTATCAGATGCTGCCGGTTTACCGCTCGCACAAATTGTATGAATTTAAATTTGAATTTGCATTGCTTACAGACACAGGGGGTTTTCTTCACAAGCAGATTGAGGAGGAGGGACTATATGTGCAAGTTGCGTACCTGGGTGACAACCTCACCCCTGACTTTCTGAGGAACAACCTGCGTATCTCGGGCAACCGCTCCGTCCTCGTCTTCCACTACCACCCGTCCGCGCTGCTGCAGGAGTTCAACTTCACCAGCATCTCGTTCCCTTCCTGCAAACTTGAGGTTTGACTTCAGTTGGTCTTCCTTGCATTCATCCAAAGCTTCACTTGCCGAGATTTTTTCCATCATGCAATTAATAAGTTTGTGGATAGTTTCATTTTTTATTATTGAAGGCCTGTTTGGTTTTCCCGTACTATTCTGTCAATGCCTGAATTATTATTATAATTTCCTGCTGATTGTATTACTTATATGCTAGGTTTGACTACAGCTTTCTACTTTCAGCTTCATTATTTAAATCTAAGCATGAATTTTTCCATTCATAATCAACTGCGAATTTCTGTACGTGTCATCTGCACTGAAGAAAGACGTGGTTCAACTCAAATATTCATAAACAGCAAAACATCACGTTCTCTAATATTAACGTTGGAAATGTGTTTTTAAAAACAATGTGATGACATTTATGTTAAGGCTGTATATTTGCTGAGCAGTCTTACTAATTAGTAGGCTGTATATTTGCTAAGTATTCTTACCAGTTAGTAGGCTGTACATTTGCCCTTGCCGAGTATTCTTACCAATTAGCAGGCTGTATATTTGCTAAGTAGCCTTACCAATTAGTAGGCTGCATAATGTATATTTATTAAGTAGTCTTGCAAATTAATAGCTATATCCACTGCAGACGAGCACTCCCGACTACCTGTGCCACTACGAGCTGCATCGCTTCAATAAATACATCAGCACCCGCCTGGAGGTCTACGCTGAATCTGTATACAAAGTGAGACACATTAACAGCGCGCACAATCACTGCCACTTCGAATAAACATATAGTGCTTCACGCACAACTATAATATCATAGTGATGTCGGCGCTGAAGAATAGGCCTGATGTGGCAGATCTGAAAACCAGTCCTTTGACTGGATCTCTTCAAAATTGACGTTAGTTTGAAATAGCTACTAGACTTCTACCAGGTCTGTATGGTGCTTTGCATTTCAAGTGAACAAACGTTTCTCCATAGATTTATCTAGTCTGTTCTTGAACGCGTTCATACTCGAAGCGCCAACGATGTCACCAGGGAAGCTGTTCCACATGTCGGTGACTCGAAGCGAGAAGAAATGTTGTCGCTTGGATGAGTTGCAACGCACTTTTTTTAGTTTATAGCCGTGGCCCCTGGTGTTGTTCTTGTTTCATATTAAAGTAATCTTTCTTTGATCTTGTACAAACGATTAGTACACTTGTATACGTCAATGAGGTCACCATGCAGTCGTCGAATACAGATGCTTGGGAGCTTAATAATCTAATCTTCCTAAATAACACTTACCCTTCAAGCCCTAAATTATCCTTGTTGCATGTCTTAGAACACTCTCTACTAAGTTTTTGTCTCTTTCAAGTTGCTGTTCATTGTTCTTTCCGAGGTGAAGTACTTCAAACTTGTCAGCATTAAACCGCAGCTTCCACGTATCAGCCCAGTTAACTAAACTGTCAAGATCGTCTTGTAGTTGCGCTTTATTTGACGCATCCTTCATTGAATTATAAACTTTTGTGTCGTCGGCATACATGGAGCACACGCTGGACACTGCTTCTGGCAGATCACTTATAAAAGCAACGAACAAAATAGGCCCAAGAACGTTTCCTTGTGGCACGCCACTGCGCACTGATGCCCAGTCTGACACGGTTCCGTTAATATTGACACGTTGTCGTCTACCTACTAGAAAATCTCTGATCCATTGGAGTACGTTGTACATAGTCTTTCATCAAAAGAGTGACAGAGACCAGGCTGGGCAGTGCACAAGCACTGGAAGCCTCCAAAACCAACTATAAAAAAAAAAAAAAATCGGCTCATGCGTAATAGGTAGTCTCTGATACTCTGAAGTCTGAACATACTTCATGATTTGCTTTGCTGCCGTTCCGTGGGCGTGATGATGAGTGAAACAACAATATTTCAAGTCCATGCTAAGTTTTTAAATGATCAATGCCAGAACCGAACCAATTAAATTTCATAAATTGGTGTTTTTTACTCACAACGGTTTGGCAGTTGGCATATTAGATTAGACTTCATAGGTGTTACGCCATAGGTACGCCTTAGCTTACGAGCTGACGTCATACCGTTAGCGGTTTGCCTTATGCCGCCGGGCGCCGGCCTTTGCCATTTTTTATACAAATTTCAACTGAACCCAACTGTCCAGGCTCTAGCGTGATCAAAATAGCCTCGTAGACTCGTAGTTATTAGGTACGTCATTAATTTTTTATATAATGATTGGAAACTGCCATTATACATTATTATTATATTTCCTACTAAAAGCTACTATAGTGCACTAAGTCAGGCATGGAATATATCTACTTGGCAAGCCGCAACTGGATTTTTTTGAGCCGTGGTTTTATGGATTTGCCAGTCGTGATTCCATTTCTTTGAGCCGTGATCCATTTCACCAAGCCGTGAATTCCATATCTCAGCCATGAAAAGCCATTTACGAGGCGGGAATTTATTTACATTCTCATGATTCTCCATGCACGTGTTACCCCAAATCTCTAATTATACCCTAAAACAGTCAAATGGCAACATTAAAAATTGTCTTTACTGTAAGTTGAGCATGTTTTAATAGCAGTCTGCAGTCTGACCGCTTTGACATGCCCGCAACTATGCGCGATCTTCAACAAANATTTGGAAACCATTATTGCTAAAATGAAGCAAAAATAAACGACAGACCATTGACTTATCTTGCAAATATATATATTCATATTATGTATCACATAGCATAATTACATTCTGTAATTATGCCATATTGACCTAATTTGTATAGTCCATTTACGCGCATTGTTATTAGGTATTGATCGTGTCGATTTTGCCGGCCGGGAGGATGTCAGTAATGTAAATGTAGTCATAACATTGGCATGCAGGATCATACTGTTGACATACAGGTTCATACCCTAGTAATCCTACTTGCCGCAACCAGTCCAGTCATTCATTGGAAGGCACCGATGGCACATCTAAAGCCATGTTGCCTTCTTTAGTTCTGTAATTCATGTCCGATTGAATTGTGATCTATGAATCAATATTCATTACTGTGCTGACTCTTAGAACCTGAGTCCTGAGTTGACGCGGTAGCAATCTAGTTAACTCGTATCCAACCACAACACAGTGCGGATACACGTTTGTGTGTACGGTACAGTGTGATTACATAATTTGCATTGCCGCGCGTCCATATTTAAACTATTTTAGCTTTCTAAAAGTACGGCACTGTCGGCGCACGGCGCATTTTTTTACCGGCATAGTACGGCGCACCGCGCAGGTTGTTAAAATGACAATATAAATTCCCGCGCACCTGGCACATCTTCCTGACCATGGACAAAATAGGACTTTTCCAGCCCTGCACTAAGTGCAGGGCTGGAAAAGTCCTATTTTTTCTGAAATATCGTGGCTCTAACAGTAAACCTGCACCTATCACTCAACAATTAAAATTAGACTTAGGTATAAAAAAGTATTAGTTAGCCTAGTTGAAAATTTGTCTCTTAAGTTGACTGCAATGAACTAAACTTCATTAACTTGATTAAGTAATCATTAGGCAGAGTTTTTCATCATGCACACTAAACACGCAATTCAGAGTTCAGACAAGACGAACTTCATAACACGTGGGCTAACGTGCTACTGAATTGAATTGCTTCTTTTCCGCTAACGGTGATCTAGCGGGATGATCAATCGTTACTTAATTCGTAGGTATACGGTTGTATACGAATTAGGAATTAACTAATCGTTTGTATACTTAATGCAAGAGAATGAATAATTATGTTGTTTCTGATCAAACAAACAAAAACTTTTTCTGTTTCTGATCAAACAAACAAAAACTTCTGATCAAATTAACAAAAACTTCTGATCAAACGAACGAAAACTTCTGATCAAAGGAATGAAAACGACTTTGAATTCTAATACGGATCGTTAATTTTAACATCGTATTTCCAAAAATCAATTATTGCATTTCTTTTAATTGAAAAACATCCTTTTACATAAAAAACAAAGAATTTTTTCTTACAGCTCCTCAGGAATGATGAATGAATGCTCCTCATATTGACAAATGACAATCTTACTCTTATAGCTAAAAATTTTAAATTAAATGATTTTGTCATTTCAAAGACTCCATTGAATACAGAACTTTAGTTTTTGGAAGTGTATTCAAGAAAAGTTTCTGAAATAGTAGAAACATTTCCATTATCATTCTGAAATAGAAGCGTCATTTCCGTTCTTATATATATAAACAGGATTAATAAAATACCTATCAAATCCATCCAATGTCATTCAATTTGTGATGTATGAATGACCGTTTTACTTTGATTCCTATGATGCTCATTTTTACCGGTTGAAGCTGTAGAATTAAATTAAATTAAAAAATTAAATAAAATTAAATTTTACTAAATAAAAATTTATTATTTAATACACTAGATGGTACATGCTGTAGAATTAAATTCTATTAGAAAAATGTTGAATTAAAAATCTGATTATATTTTTTAAATAAAAATTAATTTTTATTGAATTAAATTGTATTATTAATGCACTATACCGTACGTGCTCTATGTTTTCTATAATGAAATAGTTTCCCATATTAAACAACAAAAATTTTCTAAAAGACACAAAACGTTTGAAAATGCGGGATGGCAGACGAAATCATTCAGAATTTGAAGTCAATTTATCAAGATAAATTCAACATAATAGGGCAAAAAATTCAAATCTGGAACGTATAAATAGGTTTTTATAATTTAAAAAAAACTTTCAATCATTTAAATCTCAGAATGGAATGTGAATCAAGTCTAATGTGAAATCAAACTAGACACAACCAAAACATAAGTGTGTGACACCGTCTTGTGAGAAGTAAACAGAAAACTCCATGTGAATGTATGCAGTGAAAGAGTTGAAGTTTATCTCATAATTTTGTGTGAAATCGAAAACTTTGTGGGTGATGTCCAATTGTGAGAATTTTTTAGGAAGCTGGATGTGTTTTTTTTTTATTCTAGAACGTATTCATTGCAAAACTGTGTCCGATAGCCTACAGATAAATGACTAGTTAACTTGATTAGTCATTGGCAACACGGGATTGGATTTCAAACCACGCGCGATTTTCAAATGAGCTCAGTTTGTCAATTTTCATTGCAGTGGAAGGTGGTGTAACGCGGTGGTAGGGTTGGTATTTCGATACATTTTCTTATATTGACATGAGAATATATTACCTATACAGAATTCCACACTGGCTCTAAGTCTAATATATAATTTCACTTCAGTAGGTATGAAATCTTGCAGCTCTAATCATAGTGACAACTGACAAACCTGAGATTTTTTAGAATCAGTTCATTTTTAATTTCATCATTTACCCAAAATTTAAACCAATTTCTTATGTATGATGATTGATGATGCTGGTAATAATGCCTGGTATCCAGGATACTTTACTGGTCTACTTATAGGACTCAAAAATGAACTTGAGGAAGAGTCTAAAAAACTCTGCTTTGCCAGAATTGCCACTATGGCAGCCTGAGTGAGTCCATAGTGGCAAAGCAGAAAATTTTTTAGATTCTCCCTCCAGTTCATTTTTGAGTCTTATAAGTAGACCAGTAAACTGAGTAAAGTATCATGGATACCAGCATTATCATACTTAAGAAATTGGTTTAAATCTTGAGTTACTGAGGAAATTAAAAATGAACTGATTCCAAAAAAAGCTCTGGTTTGCCACTATATGCCTATTAGAGGTTGCCAGCCTCTAATGTCATAAATTTTTGTTTGATTGAAAAAATTGCGGTTTGCACTTTGCAAACATGTTGGTTAATAAAATTTTCAACTTCCGCAATCTACACTCCACAGTAGGACTTCAATGCTCCTGCCTCCTGCCAAAATGAAAAGAACATGCAGAACGTAATAGGGTAAACGGACCATGTGAGATTTGATTTCGTTGTGTTTTGGAGTTTTTGTGGTTGAAATTATGTTTGATAGATTTGTGAGTTCTAAAATTTTTGAGTCTAGCGCGTTTCGTAGCTAGTTTACCGTCTGTAGCTCTCATTTCCAGGCGAAATTGATTTTCACTTTGGCAAAATTTTAGCATTGCTAGTGACAAAATAAACTCAATGGTCAACCTTTGGGGAGCTTGAAAATTTGAGTGAAATAATGAAATAATTAGTGTAAATCAGTTTTTCATCCTTGACAAATGATGACTGACTACTTATTATAACAAGATCTTTTGGAGTCAGATCACAGATCACTTTTTAATCCATGCATAAATATAAATTCCTAATATTTTTTTGGCATTTAATGACTCAAATCCTGACTTCAATAAATCCTTTCATTCGAAAAAATGTAAATTTCGGTCGATTTGTTAGCACTCCTTGTCGGCACTGTCATTCAAACTGTCATCAAAAACTGTGGCACTGTCAAAAGCAGTAGTGTCTTGAGAGGTGGTGCTAGTGTGCTATCACTGCTGTGGACTGGCCCCTAAAGCAGCATTGATTGGTCCAAAATCTCAAATGCCATTTCTTTTATTAATTATATAGTTGCACTATGGCTATGGCACTAAATTATAATTTTCCTACTTGCTAGTACTGAAATTTTCCAGCTGCAAAGTGACAAATTTTAAATTACTGTAAACATTGATAATTTATGATTTCCAGGAAGGGCTTGTGAAATTCTACAAATTATATGATTAATGTGCTTCCATGATAATGAGACCCAAGTTTGCCTTAGTGTGGCAAGTCACAAATCAAAGTGTTTTTATGTTTTGCAAAGAATTGAAAGTGATTTATTCTTGAGACCTGGACATATTTTAACCAAACTATTAAAAGTTACATTATTTGTAGGAACAATTAGAAGGTAAAGTGCCCAAAATGTTAAATTTATTGTGAATATAATCAATTTATATTATTAAAAAATCATGTTTCCTAAATTCCATAGATAATCATTAATGATCAAAATAATTTATGAACATAAATTATAAAACAAAAATTCGGCTTGGAATAACATAACATACTTACTTACACCCAAAGAAAGACAAAATTTTGCAATCAGTCATGAAAACCTCATGTGAGTAAATATTCTAGTAATTGATGGACAAGTAACCAAAGTGTGGCCAATTTCACATGAAGGCAGTAAATTGTTTGAAGTAAAAGCTGCTTATTTTTGTTGCAGGATGGTAAAGCGGTGATGGTGTTGCTTTGTTTGCTGAGGAGCTGCTGCTATTTTTGCTGCTGCTTTATCAAGACAAGCAATAATGGCTCAAAACTTGGCTTATACAAAAGTGTCCTAAGTAATGCACTTCCTTCCCTTCATCACTCTTCAGTATGGCTCATGATTGCTGTAATAACATTATTGCAGCTTCTGTTACCTGTACATTCTTCATACATCAGATCCCCTGAATTTTGTGATGGCATTGGTGGTAAGTCTATACTCCATAGCATCTGAGATTATTCTTCTGCTCTTATTTATATTGCATTAAATTTTAATGGCTCATTCTTTAGGCTAGTTTAAAGAAATCATTCTTTCTTGCTTCTTTTTAGGACAATTATCGTGTGTATGTGGAATATAATCTGTTTACATTGCTAAGGCTCTCAAATGGCCCAAATTCTTGGAGACAGATATTTAATTACTGAGTAATGTATATTGATGTGTCAGTTTTAGGGCTCCTTGCATTCCCTTGAGACTCCAGCTAGAGCCTTTAACTTTATCTTGGATAAACTTGAAATTGAGTTTACTGCTTGTGTTTTTATTGTAGTTACTAAAATTTATTATTTGGGCTTATTTTGTTTTCAGGCTCGAGAGCACCAAAACATTTGCTCTACACGGACAAGGGTCACCAGCCTCTCACAATTGTTGCCTCAGAGTGGCCTAGTCAACAGCTGCTCTCGGAGGTCACTCATTAATATTCTTGTGTTTCTATTGTTACACATGCAAGATAATTTATTACTTTGTTTTATGGTATATTTTAATATTATATTAATCATTATAAGACATGCGCAACACCAAGATTATCATTTTGTACAAAAATAAAGGAGATCATAGAGACTACAACAACTACAGAGGGATAGAGGAATATCACTCTCAGCATTGTGGGCAAGGTCTTTGCCCATGCGGCAGTCAGCCGCCAACAAGCCCTCGCTGATATCGTTTACCCGGAATTCAAATGTGGTTGCAGAGCCCTGAGGTCCAAAGCAGACATGATTTTCTCCTTGCGCCGCTGCATGAGAAATGTCGAGAGCCTGAGCAACAGAGGCTTATGTAGATTGCATTTACTGACCTTAAAAAAGAATTAAATCTTGTCAGCTGGGGAGGTCTGTTCTTGTTTCTGGTGAAGATAGGTTACCCCCCTTGTCTTCTCAGCATTATCTCTTTCCACAATCCACAATGACATGCAGGGTGTAGTCAGCTACGATGTCAATACCTCAGCACTTTTTAGTATCAAAAGCAGAGTTAAGTAGAGCTGTGTATTGGCCTCTACTCTCTTTGGCAGCTTTTTCTTACTGTTGCTCAAGTTTGCGTTTAGAGACTCCACTGAGGGCATCCATCTACATACCAGAAGCAATGGTAAACTTTTCAACTTGGCTTGTATAGAAGCAAAAACAAAGGTCCACAGTGTCCTCATCAGAGAGTTGCATTTTGCTGATGATTCTTCCCATACTAAAGAGGATCTTTAAATGCTGATGGGATGCTTGCCCACACCTACAGGGAGTTCAGCCTGACAATCAGCATCAGGAGACTCAAGGTCACGGGTCAGGACGTTATAGCATCCCCATCTATCACTATTGACGGTGAACAACTCAAAGTTGCAAATTGGTGAACAGCTCAAATTTCACCTACTAGGGCTCCACCATCAGCAACAACCTGTCCCTTGATAGCGAGATTGACAGGAAGATACCTAAGTGGCAGGTGTGATGGCCAGACTGAACAAAAGGGTGTGGTCAAACGAGCAGGTGATGATCTACACTATAAGCTTAAAGTGTACCAGACATGCATCCTTAGTACTCTTCTGCATGGCAGTGAAACCTATACCAGGTACAGTAAAAAGGAAAACTACGTATGGTAGAATGGGAAACCATGTTCCTAATTATACCACATAGGGTAGAGTGCTTCCAACTTCCCTGCTCTGCTGCATCCTCAAAGTCACATGGGAAGACGGGGTCACAAACACATGTGTTTTGGAACAAGCTGGCACAATGAGCCTCTGCATCTCCTCCTGTGCCAACGTTGTGTCCTTTGACTCCATCATGTGCATCACATGCGGGACAGTGGAATTACCAAGTACTTGCTCTTTGGAGAACTAGCCACTGGTGTGAGCCCAACTGGCTGCCTGGCATTGCATTTTAAATGTCTGCAGGTGCATCCTGGGAACAGCAAATATCAACCTCCAAACCTGGGATACAGTTGTTGATGAGCCATTTGGGAGGGAGTCAGAAGTAGCAAGGAGCCACAGTTGGAGGCTTGAAGACAAGCGTCATCTTCAAGGCGAGCAACTCGATGCACTGCCAACAGCAAGTAGTGGGTTGACTGACATGGCGCAACCATCATATTTCGAGATTTATGGATGCCAACATGTAGTTGTATTTGAGTCTAAGAATGTACTGTTGTGTGCAGGTGGTTGCAGTGTTGCTGCGCCAGATGATGGGGTACCGAGATGTTGAGGTCTTCACCTGCAATGAGACAGACAACTCGAGTCTGTCTGTGCTACTCAACTCGCCCCTACAACGCCAGTCAGTGGCAGTGTCCCAGTAGCTGTTTACCTTGCTAGTTGTTCTGTCGCAGTTGCTCATGCTCCACCGATTAGCTTATTTGAACCATTGACAAATGTAGTAGTGCCGCTTGCATGTATTGATTTATTGAAATCATATCATTTAGTGGATAATTTTTCATTTAATGGGGTGATTAAATGCTACTCAAAAGCTTCATGAAAATAAATAATTAACATCTTTTGCTAGCTTAGTTGACTTGAGAAATTTTACTTGTTTAGTAAGCTAAATATATCAATTAAATATTGCTTACACCTCTACAGCACAATGTGTGGCCAATAAGTTTGATCTTTTCAAATGTTAACCATGTTTTTTGAGCTCAATAAATATATCAGTGTGCAGCAGCATGACTTTAGGGTGTATTACAAATTGCCCGTCTATGCACGTATGATATTTGTGTGCTATTGGTTTCATTGAAAACTTGGAAGGTTGAACATTTATGTTCAAGAGTTCAAACTTTTGACACAATGATGTAATTAATTAATCGTTAGATTTTTGTTTGTTTATTTTCCCTTGTGATGCAGGCCATGCATGGAGAAATACCAGGCCTTGCGCCCCGGCAACTCGCGTGCTCTCATGATGGATCTTCTTGCATGGAGCAGTCCTGCCCATGTGGGAATACTTGACCAATACAACACCGTCAGGTAAATAAAATACTTGAACAATACAACACCGTCAGGTGAATACAATACTTGACCAATACAACACCGTCAGGTAAATACAATACTTTACCAATATAACACCGTCAGGGAAATACAATACTTTACCAATATAACACCGTCAGGTGAATACAATACTTGACCAATACAACACCGTCAGGTAAATACAATACTTGACCAATACAACACCGTCAGGTAAATACAATACTTGACCAATACAACACCGTCAGGTAAATACAATACTTGACCAATACAACACCGTCAGGTAAATACAATACTTGACCAATATAACACCGTCAGGTAAATACAATACTTGACCAATACAACACCGTCAGGTAAATACAATACTTTACCAATATAACACCGTCAGGTAAATGCAATACTTTAATTGCAAAATTTTGTGACCGTTGGAGTAGAGTTTTTGTTTTGAGATGAGGCAGTATTCAGAATATCACTGGAAAACTAGCCATGGCTTTCAAAAACCTGTTCAGTTCTGAATAATATTCAAAGTTATAATATTTTGCAGGTATCTAGGGACAGGAGGAAGGTTTGGGTGGTTCCTGCCGGCTGAAATGATAGAGAACAAAGATCCTGCGCTGCTGGAACACTGGCGTGTCTACACCAACAAGATTAATCCCGCCCTCAAAACCTTTTACCGTTCCAAAGAAGGTTGTATTGGCATCCCTTGACATATTTTATTAATCATTTTCTAACAGATTTATATGTAGTAGAAAGATTCTTGTTGATGTTTCATGTTGAATTTCATACCGAATTCATCATCCAGTTGTCAAAAAATTATCACAAAATGTCTGATTAATAAATTTTATGAAGCTGTCCAGATTTCCCAATGCCCATGAATTCATATCTTCTCTTATATAGTCCTATGTTAAACATGGTATTTTTTATTCACAGAACTAGCCAATATTTCTGCATTGTTCTACAACAATGAAGGCAAGCCGCACTGCAGCGAGTCTTGGTGCGTGGGCAGCATGTTTACTCCAGCACGCTGCGCTGGCCCTGACGCTGTCTGCGCCACTCTCTTTGCATCCAATACTGGTGGGTGCCTGATGCTGTCTGCGCCACTCCTGTCTCTTATACACATCTAGATGTGTATAAGAGACAGCTGATGCCCAGTCTGACACGGTTCCGTTAATATTGACACGTTGTCGTCTACCTACTAGAAAATCTCTGATCCATTGGAGTACGTTTCCCTCAATTCCGAAAGATTTCACTTTACGCAACAGCCGCTCATGCGGAACGCTGTCAAATGCTTTGGCAAAATCGAGGTACTATGCATCCACTGGCTCCCTTTTGTCCAGCAGACGAGTCCAATCGTTCAACGTAGATACTAAGTTAGTGGTGCAGGATCTGCCGGCAATAAAACCATATTGACAATCTGATAAGAGATGGTGAACAGTCAAGTGATAGATAATCCTATCCCTCACAACAGATTCCATTAGCTTACAAACAACACTTGTCAGTACTGACAGGGCGATAGTTACCGAGACTACTTTTGTTACCGTTTTTGAACAATGGTGTTACTTGAGCTTCTTTCCAATCGGTCGGCAAAGTTCATTCGTGCAAGTTTTTTTTGAAATAATACTGTCAAAGGGCCGGCCAGGACTGTTGCTAAATTATTTGAGCAATTTAGGATGAAAGCCGTCTAGTCCACGTGACATCGAATCGGAAGATTCAAAGCAACGAGGCGCTTGAGAACCTCTTCTTCGTGTATTACTGCCAGTTTCAATTTCTGTGGTTGTCACAATTAATGCTAATATAAGTAGGCAGGTTGCTTCGGTAAAAGTAGTTGTCCACTTGTCTGAAAGATTGATACGCTGTACTTAATCAAAACTAACAATATTTTTGAATTCCTAAATTTTTTAGCAGATAAGTTTGTTCTAGGTCGGCATACTGGTTTTGCGGCGTTGAAGATAAGCTGCCTTTGCCGTGCAGGTTGTGGAGCGCTTGGCGCCTGGGGCGCACGAGTTCTCGTCGCTGCTCGCCGAATATTCCCGCCACCTGACGCGCCGGTCCAACTACTCCAGCATCGCCTGCGAGTGGCTGCAGAAAAATGTAGGTTACGGGGCACGGGGGCATGAGTGTCTTGCTCGTTCTTCTTGTCCTATAATCTATTACGGGGCACGGAGGCATGAGCGTCTTCCTCGTTCTTGTCCTACAATCTATTACGGGGCACGGGGGCATGAGTGTCTTCCTCGTTCTTGTCCTATAATCTATTACGGGGCACGGCGTCATGAGTGTCATGAGTGTCTTCCTTTCTGTTCTACACTCTATTATAGGGCACAAGGGACTAAATGTCTGACACGTTTCTCTTGTTCTATACGATTTTTTGTGTGAGTTGTGAATGTTGCTTAGTCTATGGGGTATAAGTTATGCTTTCCCTATTTCTTGTGGCCATTTTGAATTACTGGTATCGTATAGAATAAGATGATAGAGAAGCCAGCTGTTTATTTAGGATCAAAACTTAAAGTGGAGTAGTCTTATGATGTTATTTTCTTAGTTGACAGTTTTTTAAATTAAATTTTAAATGGTCTTAAAAATGTTATTGTTCGGATCATATTTTCGAAATAAAATTTACGTACTTTAAATATAAGCGTAATATGTGGCCTCAGCTCAATTAGACGTTACATTCCAAATAGTAACTAAAATTACACTAAGAATATTTCCAAAGATTATACAAAATTTTGGCATTAGGTCGGTAAATTGAGCTCCAAAGATTTGTGAACACTCAGTCATAGAAAGCAGTGATTAATCTCCGGTAAAAAATCACTGTTATTTTGTTCTCAGAATGACTGGAAAAATTGGAGGTTCTCGGCGCGCCCCACGAATCTTTTCGTGCTGGGCTTCTTTCCTGTAACCGCTCAAGGCTCTGAGTCTCGGAAGCCGACAGTGGCTGCCAACAACAATACGAGCGTCGACACCAGCAAGTCGAAGCACAGCTCATACTGGCTCGCCAAGAACAGGTTTGCTGCGCCTGGCACCGTCCCTGCCTTCTTTCTGGCCATTGAACACATCAACTCGAACAAGTCCATCTTACCCGAGTATGTCTTGAATGGCATAGCGCTCAATGACGAGTGTGAGCGCGACATGGTCATGGCTCAGTTTATCAGTATTATCAAATCTTACTCTAAAAACAACCTCAAGAAAACTGTTGGCATAATTGGTCCTGCTTGTTCCGATACACTCGTACCCTTAGCAGGCGTCCAAAACCATTTCAAAATACCAATGATATCATACGGGGCTGAAGGGGCAATTTTTTCTGACCAAGCAGAGTATCCTTTCTTCTTTCGAACAATTCCCGAGAACAAGATCTACAGGCACGTCTTCTTGAAACTGTTCCTGGAGCTTGGCTGGAAGAGAATAGCCTCGATCACGGAGGAAGGTCAGCGTTACGCTGAGTATGTGACGCCGCTGCGGGAGGTGTTGGAGCAGCACCACATGGATTTCCTTATGCGGAAATATCGTGCCGACCCCAAGTCCCTTAGTCTCAAGTCCCATCTAGAAGTCTTCAGACAGCAGCGGTCAACTGTTATTATATGTGACTTTTATGAAGATGTTGCCCGCATTGTCGTCTGCTTAGCATACCATAATGGAATGACTGCCCGAGAAGGGTATGTTTGGTTCCTGCCGCAATGGTACTCTAGGGATTGGTACGAAATGCCCGTTGAGAACGCTGATGGGTCTCTCCCCGAGTGTACCCGCGAGCAAATGCTGGAGGCTTTAGAGGGACACATGTCTCTTTCTTATCGGTACTTCGCAGACCCAGACCAAGTAATGCAGTGGAACGCAACAGTCAAAGAGTGGCAGGAAGCTTACGAGAAAAAAGTGAATTACTCCTCTACGGCCAAGTCGGACTATGCCGGCTTCACGTACGATGCCGTCTGGAGCCTCGCTCTTGCCCTTGATAAGATGGCTAATGAAGACCGATCTCTGACAGTGGACTTGCGGTCTGACCAGAGTGCTGACATGATCATTAAGAAGTTGGAGTCTCTGAAGTTTAATGGCGTGTCTGGAGAAGTGAGCTTCCAGGACAGTCACTCTCGCGTGACGGACGTGATCGTGCGGCAGTTCCAGAGCGGCGAGTACACTGAAGTTGCCAAGTATCTGGTCCATGGTAAAAACGAATCTTATAACAGACTCGAGCTTTATAAATCGAAGCTTACATGGCCTGCTGAATTTCCCAGGGATAAATTAGAACCTTGTGTAGTTGAAGGCTTCAGGTTCATTTTGGGCGTGTCCTGTACAAATGCCATAGTCATGCTGTGCCTTTTACTCTTCAGTGTCACAGCAATTTTCCCGGTCGCGTGCGTTTTCATCATCAAGCGTAACTATGATCGCAAAGTGAAGGAGCTACAAGCCCTGTGGAGCGAGTGCAATATCTTCAACATGTTCACAGGATGTCAAATTAGACGTGACAACCTCGTCCTCAATAGGCGTGTTGGAGAAGGCCAGTTCGGCGTCATATACGGCGGTGAATGTAACATCGAAAACCATGGCTGGATTGCCGTTGCTGTCAAGACTCTGAAGCCCAACTCGACCATTGCTGAGAAGAAAGAATTCTTGTCTGAAGCAAATCTTATGAGAACCTTGCAGCACGAGAACCTGGTTCGGTTCATAGGCGTCTGCATCGACACTGAACCAATTTATGCCGTCATGGAGTTCATGTTGTATGGTGAGTAGATCTGTATTAATCTATGAATTTAACTTATGCTTGCATATTTTGAGTATGTAAAATTAAATCTTTGATTTAACGATAATGAGAGAATAATTACTTCATGTTTTTTCGGCAATCTCGAAATTATTTAATTCGTTCTCGAAGCGTTGCTACTTACACAATAAGTCTCACGGGGGCTTATGTTTGCATGAATTAAATGGCTTACCAGCTTATAACATTACACGCGAACTAAAATATATAAGCGAGTCCAGCAACACCATGGAAGATGTTACTTATTGTTGTGTGTGCAGGTGATCTGCAGAAGTACTTACTGGCGCGTCGTAACCTCGTGTACAATTCATCTCGTAACGACAACGACGAGGTCTCCAACTTCCGCCTCACGTCCATGGTCAAGGACGTGGCTAAAGGCCTGAACTATTTAGCCGAGAATAAATACGTGCACAGAGATCTCGCTTGTAGGAATTGCCTCGTCAATGTCAATAAAACTGTTAAGATTGGCGACTTCGGCATGACGCGGCCTGTCTTCGAAACTAACTACTACCGAATAAAGCACAAAGCCATGGTTCCTGTGAGATGGATGGCTCCCGAATCTCTTAAAGAAGGATTTTATTCGTCCATGTCTGACATGTGGTCTTATGGCGTCTTGTTGTACGAGGTCATTACATTCGGGGCTATTCCCTTCCAAAACATGAACAACGACCAAGTGCTGGAGTACGTCAGGGACCAGAACACCCTCATTGTGCCCCCCAACCTTGACCCTTTACTTGAAGAACTCTTACTGCAGTGCTGGCAGATCTGCCCGTCTCGGCGGCCCACGGCCTTGCAGGTCATCAACTTGCTCAACAGATATCCTATGTTGGTGAGCCCCAGCCTGGACTCCCCGCAGACGTGCGTGCCAATGGACAGCGGCAATACAGCCACCTTACAACCAATGAACCCCCGCATGCAGGCACGACCCACTCCCACCTCTACGTCGCTATCAAGGCGTCTGTCTTTGCACCCACAAAGACATGGAAGTCACAACGGCATGATCTCCCAACCCTCTGTGTCCGTCCTACAGGCGTCGCGTCAGTCTTCATTGTCGTCGTCGTCTTCAAACAACCACGCAGGGCGCCACAGCTCCGGCGGCTCCTCTAGCAGCGCGGGGCTTTTCTCGAATGGCCGCAAGCGCTCGATGAGCGGCAACATGGCCGTGCCGCCCATCACCAGCAGCTTGAGTGACTCCACGATAGGCGGCTTCACTTTAGGGCATCAGCACAACACCATCGAAGCCCTCAACCTGTCCGTGAGTGGCGTTGTCGTAGAGGAGAGGAATGAAGACAGTGAGCATTTGGGGGCCATCAATTGTGGAGTGGATGCTGGGGCTGAAGAAGGCGAGCACCAGAGTGGTGACAGCAGCGGTTATGCCAGTACAGGCACCGGTACGGGGGGCAGCACCTCGTCTAAACGTAACGAGACTCCTGTGTCTGCGGTGCATTGCACTAGTCCTGGCGTCAAGAGCAACAGCCATAATCATTGCGCAGCGCTGTCCTGTTCTCCCCCTCAGTCCAAGTCCCGGAAGATGTCGGTGTTTGGCCCGTGTCCGAGTGTCAAGAGAGCGTCTCATGTAGCGTCCTGTTCACATCCTGCTGCTAGTGAGGATCACATGTTTTATTTATCTGAGGACAACAGAACATTACGGCCAGAGAATAGCAATGTTTATCATAGAAGTGGTGGTTGTGGAGATGACGAGAGTGCTATCCCTTTATTATCATTAGGGCGCGAGTGTTACAGTATCGGTAGGCAAAGTGAAGTGCCCGCGTTGAATAATATAGCTTTCAGTGAACAGAAAAGAACTCCTTTAGAACTTTGTGACGACCCGTTTAAAGCTATTATCTGTAAAGGCATGTGCGCTTCTACATACAGCAATAAGAGCAGCAGCAGCACCAGCAGCAGCAGCACCACAACCAGTGCGGCGCCCAGCCATGCTTGACTCTGGCTTTCCATAGTAATCTTTTATTGTCATGAAATAATTTATAAATTATCTCTCCGATTCAATCAAGCTTTTATTGTTATGTAAGAATTTTTATGTTATCTCAACGATTGAATCAAGTTGCTCTTATTTTGTCGAGAAGGAATTGATATTTACTCTGGGACTTGAAGCACTCACCGCTACACGCCTCAGTTGAGCTCAAGAGCGACCCAAGGCTCCAGCATTGCTGCTATGCGTCAAGGAACGTAAGCTCTGAAGCGTAGCTTCATCGTTCATGTCGTGCGTGAACGTGTGCGAGGGTCGGAATGTTGACGACTTGACTTAAAAAAAACATATATTGATCATTTAGAGCCTCGTTTTATCGTCAGATTACAGCCAAGTTATTCAATTTGCATCATTGTTGTTTATGTTAGTCCTTGTTTATCTGTTTATCTAAAGTTATCTATTTGGTTCAAGGTGGGCTTGCATATCGTATTCTTATATTTTTACTCATTAAACTAAGCCGTGGCAGCTGTAATTACAGTTTGAAACTCTTAGTGAAATTTTTCACATCAGACTTGGTACTCGATTCACATATTCATCGTACGACTTCTTTTTGTCGACGAGCATTCTGCGTCATATTGTGCTTCAATAATTTAATGAAATTATAGAAATTTCGTAGCACCTGAAAGACTGAAACTGTGAATTTAGGTGGCGGTGCTGTGCTCATCGTAGGAGCTTCTATTCATATATGCAGCTCTCGAAAGCGCACATTACTGCAGGAGACTACGTTTGCATAATTCCGCATTTGTGAGATTATATGCAACAACTCGTCCTTACCAGACTTTGATTGCAATGAATGTATTCGAGGCATGGCAGTCTGCTTGCCTTGAATATTACTTGCGCTTAGCCATTTATTGGTTCTCTCGTTTATCATCGTTGCTGTTCATCTCATTGTTCATCGTATTGTTCATTTCATTGTTCGTGTGATTGTCGGTGTTTGCCGACGATAGTTCGTACGTAAAGTGCGCTGCCTTGCATGCCGTCCGTCCCGCGCGCTGCCTGCCCATAAACAACCCATCTCTCGACTAATTTATACTCACGAACTATTGTTCTTCGCAAAATCAACTCTAAACATAAACCAAAAAGAATATCTTGAAGATTCAATCTGGAGAGATTTTCAAGTGGTTAATGTTAAGTTCTCTCTTCTTCATTTTTTTTATGTTGCATTTTTCCACAGCAGTGTTTTAGTAAAGTGCATTTGTTTCTGGGTGTTGAAATAACCACGCCTGCGGATAGGCTGCTATTTCTCGCTTCGTTCTCAAACTGGGCGCTCAATTATATTGTGAACGGAATGGCCATTGCATCCATGGTATTGGTGTCGTCGACGACGGCATTCATTCCGTCGTCACTTGGAAGCATTTCGGTGTAGGCTTTTCCTTAACCATCTACCGCCGCATGTCTCTAGGAACATACGGTAACTTTCAACTTAAATTATCCGTAAACTATTGAATGTAGTAACCTGAGGACGTTTGTACGCAACAGAAAACATTTTAAAGTTGTCGTACGTGGCGGCAACCATCAGTGCAAGTCATTTTGCGCTCGCTAGAATGTTTCCTTTTTGAGGAAGTAGGCTTGTGGTAAAATTGCTCCGGTTACTTATGTCCGGCGGTAGAGGGTTAAGTCAACAGCGCATCAAAATCTAACTGCGTTAAATGAGAACATTTTCTCATGTATCTGACTTTCAAGAAAGAGGCATTTTCAGCGTCCACCTTATTTTGGGTTTTCCATCAATTAACGGACAATTCCACATTCGTCTTCTGCTCTCTGCGACAACTTCTCTGGGTCTCTCATCACATTCACTCTTCCATTCTTGAGATGCTCATTTTCTGGCACAAGTCCTAGTCGATGAGCACTTGCCGTCACTCTTCGATGCAGGCTTCACTCCAGTCATGTACAAGTGTTATATTCTGCTGCTTGCTTGGCGAAAGCCACATCGCCTTCTTGGTCATCCCTCTCCTTTTTTCTATTGTTTACTACAAAGCTTGAAGCTACGCCACCACCATCACTAAGCCATATTCTAACGCACTGTGCAATGTGCATTCCACTCGCCGTAATTGGCCACCAGCGTCTTGCTAGAAGTAAGTCATCTTCTGCTCGCCTAAATCTACCACGATCAAGTAACTGATACGGTAGTATCGTTAATCCATCATCAATTATAATGATGTATGATGCTGTGCCGTGTTTATCGTCTGGTCGCAGCACTGCAGCCACAGCCTCACAAGTTCCTACTGTATATAGCGGCCAGAACTCTCCTATGTTGTGTACATTGCCCGCTCTTATGATTAATATATTTCTGGAAATATTATGCGTCAACTCGGAAAGTCTATTACTTTTATTATTGTTACTATTTATTTATATAGGGTACGTGTTATATGTTCGTTAAGTTCCTATTCAGTGCTGTCGGACCGCTAGGTTGGACAGTGTGGCGGCTGAATTTGTATCGTATTCAATCAAGAATTATTTTGTCCATTGCGCTGAAGTAACTATCGAATTTTGTTATTAGATATTGGTTTAATTTATTGATCTTGGATGATGTTTATGTTGATCTTCGTTTTATTGAAGATGTAAGCCACGGGCGAGTCGCCCCTTTAATGCTTCATGTCTAAGTCGCGAGGTTGAATTGTCTGCGGTTTTCAGGTTTGTGTTGTGCTCTGCACTTTCATGAATTGCTAACAATTTTCGCAGAAACGAAAACTATTACGAATTTGGGATATTCAACACTAGTGACGGTCACGGTGATAGTCACTGTGATGGTCATGGTGATAGTCACTGTGATGGTCATGGTGATGGCCACTGTGATGGTCATGGTGATGGCCACTGTGATGGTCATGGTGATGGCCACTGTGATGGTCATGGTAATACCGGTACTCATCATCTTGCAGGCGTGCATCTCTCACAATCTCTTAGACCACGACCGCAGCGATGCCAACCTATATTATTTTGTATACAGTTTACGAAGAGCAAACAAACCATAATAATCATAAGGATAGTGGGTGTCCTATTGATTTTAAATTATTATTTATTCTTGATGATGAGATAGCGAGAAGATTTGTGCAATTTATGTAATTTATTATGATCTCTTCCAGCACGAAGACGACTACAATGTGTTAACCATGAGCAACTTTGACTGGGGCAGAGCGGTTAGCCTGACAAGCTTGACAATAATTACATGTTATACTCGCACTCGAATCAAGAGTGGAAAAATAATCGTAACCGTATTGCCATAATAATATTGTGAGTGCATTCGACGTTATGAGTGGAATGTTGCAGGCTTTCTTCCGCTTCTTTTAGTAATAAAATTGTTTGCGTGGCATTTTACCGCTACGCCTCGCACCCATGCCTTGGTGCCGCTAGATATTGGTGGAGCTTTCTCGTCGTCCCACGAGAGTCCTATGCTATATTTCTCTTTCCTTCTCGAGCTGTAGAGCTCAAACCAAGACGATCGTGCAGTATTATGGTTTGTGCCAGGGCTTAAACTCAACACTTGCTTTTATTCATGCATATTTGAAACGATTAGTTCCCTTGAGAGTAATATTATTCCAATATTTTTATTAAGATAATCTTCTTACACTTCGTATTGAATGGAATCTTAAAGTTTCGCAGAGAAGGCGAAGGAGTGATAGGAACCATTATTCATGCTTGGTGTTATCAATCACTGCATTGCAAAGTTATAGATACGATGTAAAGTAAGAGTTCAGTGTCAGCTAGACATCCTTGAATTATTTCAAGACGAATGAATATCATACGGGTTTTTGTCATGTCGATGTAAGGTACTATATCAATGCTTAATTTGTTACCTCCGGAGGAGAGGTGGTCTTCTGACGCGTGTCTGTTGTACTGAGAAATGTTGCGTTCCAATGTAGGGGTCATTATTGCTGAGCGCTGCACTACAGAGCTTGTGGTGTCTGACTGCGGAGCGCAGTTGTGGGGTCAAGTTGTGGTGTAGGCAGGGCAGTTGTGGGGTCAAGTTGTGGTGTAGGCAGGGCAGTTGTTGGGCTAGGTTGTTAGGTAGGCAGGGCAGTTGTTGAGTTAGGTTATTGAGTAGGCAGGATTTCTTTATTCTCTTGTGCGAGCGTTTGATGACTCGCTGATGCAGCCGCCCGGCCTCTCGTGCAAACGCCAGGACCTTGCAACACTTGTAGGTGATGGGTGATTTTGGATTTGAGAAATTGAGATTATCCATCTCGATAGTTATATCTACTCTCAACTTCCGTTACGAGATCTCTAAGTGGCTAATGCGCCACTGAACCCCCTGCCATTTAACTAACTTAATTTGTTAGGTATGTGATGGGATCCGCCGTCTAGGGTATTCGAGGAAATTTGCTCCCTCATTCTATGCCTAGGTGATGGAGCTGAGTGGTCAAGTTGGATGAGGGTCAGACTTACATATTATGACACTACTCTGTTAGGCAGAGCTTAGATGTTCATTTCTACGCGAGTCAGAATGCATGTTTTTCTCCACTTAAGTTCATGTTTTAATAATCGTCCGACTATCAAGTGCAACTTTATGTTGCGTCTTCCTGCTGCCTTAATTTCTTAACACTTAATTCACTTTATAATAGTCGTATTGTGCTCTATTTATTTATATTGTTATTTCATTTTGTGCACGATTCGTGTGAAGTTTGCGTTCAATCGTACAATCACGTTATCATATCACCCGTTTCTCCGCCTCACCACCCATGGTTCAATATACAAAATGTTTTGTTCTTTCTAGAATTTCGGGCGGTACAACTTGAATATTTTTATTTCGGTTGTACCAGTCATCATTCCAGAACTAGGAAAATACATTAAAGTCAATAGTTGATTCAAATAAAGCTGTCAATTAATAATATTCCGATGATGCACGTGTCAGACGACGATTGTTTCACTTCTAGGTTTTCTTCATCCACATTTCTAAGATCATTTGCTGTCATACACAAAACAAAATATCGCACTATCCTGGCTACCGTGAACGTAGGATTTCTTCATGTATGATATATTCAATTGAGGTCTATTGGTACAAAAAGCATGTCGCTAAGTGCGCTCTGAAAGTGTATAAGCAAGCGCACTAGGAAATGAATATTGGTCACATTCTAGTCTCGAATCGTATGATAGTATTGAAGTTTTTGTTTATATTGTTGCTATAAAGTTACTAGCTTAAACATACTTCTGTTTACCTGCATTGTTTTTTTTGTGCGCCTCTACGAAATTGAAAACTGATACGAAATTGAAGCTTAATTAAAGCAGGCCAGAGTTGAGTATTTGAGAGGCATCAGGCCATTGTGAGTCTCAGGCTCATCGACCTGACAATTTTTTCCGACTTCACTTGCAATAATTTGGTATTTATTGTGCACTACTTCCTTTGTTTAGGTACAAACGTTTAGACGTTAACGGAATTAACTTGTAATAAATCGCCATTTAAAGGAAAATATATCCAGCAAACTGATGAGCATTAACATTTTTCTCATTGCTCGCATGCATGGATGCATAGAAAAACATTTAATTATTTTCTTATCTTAGTATGGCTGTCGACATAGTTGTCACTGCGCCATTCATTCTACATTTAAAAGTTCACATTAAAGTGCCTGGTCTCTCTAGACTCGAATCTGTAGTTCAGTGCTATAGGATTATTCCTGCAAACTATCATTTATACCTTCGTATTTCTGAAGTCCGACGTTTCATGTGATGTTGAATCCTTCAGGCCGAAATTTCAGATAGTGGTGAATCCTTCATGTCGTGTTGAATGGTTTCAGCGCAGTATTGCCTTTCGTGTTCTGTCTCATGACTCATCATTTGGACAGTTAGCTTTCTTCTCGACTGTGGGCAAATGTTAGGTTATTGGTTCCCTGTTAGCTTTAAGTGCTAGACGAGCTAAAGGTTTTGTAAAAAAATAAATTCTAAGAAACTTTTGTTGTAAATTCATTAACCGCTTACAATTTTATTCATTTGGAGATAGTCATTTATTTTAAGAATTTCTGTCTAACCATAGAGTTTTATTCCAGTGATTTTTCGAAGTACTTCAGTAGTGCTGTTCAGACGTACCATTTTTCCATGTTGAATGCTCGAATCTGCGAGTAAATTATTGTGACCTCAAAACCGAACAAATGTATTGATCGAATAAATATATTGAAAACGACTTCCAAGACTTCCTATTAATTTTTACATCAACGCTAGCTGCTACTTCACTTCTGTAGGTACGGTACCAAAGATACGAAGCTCGAATACGAGATTTAAAATGTAAATTATAGAACATTTTTCGATCTATTAGAATTAGAACATTCAAATTATAAAACCAAATATTGTATAAAAAATACGTCGAAATAAAATGATTTTTTTTATTTGTTACTGATGCAATGAGTTTAGTGAGCTTCATGTTACAAACAAGTTATTGCACTGCATAGGCTTTATATCCATAAAAATCCAACTGGGATAGATGAAATCGTAAAAAGTAAGCATTTGGGGCGGCTGATATTTGTTGATGTTGCGACAATATAATATATATATGCATGGTGAGTATGTGCACTTCCCTCGCTCGCTTGATGTAGTCGTAGGCGAAAGTCAAGTGGGCGAGATGCCAATGTAGCCTGGCTCAGTCAACTGTTCGCCTCTACGCGTGTAGCTGGTGTGGTCGTCTGGGCGGGGCTGGCCGATAACGCAGGAACATCTGATCGTGTTTTACGACCTTTCCAGCTGGGAAATTGTGAGTTACATTAGATAATGGCGGGAAATTACACTTTACTGTACAAATTGTTGTTAGAAAAGAAAGTAAATAGGCTAGTAGTAACATTGATCCCCCAAAATCGCAATGAAATGAGTATGAGGCAACTTGGTGGAACATTCCATTCATGCTAATGGAATGATGTTATGAAGTGTCAGCTCACTCAGCTGTTTACTGTTAGTCATTTTTAGCGGACAAAATCTAACTTTAGAAGTTATCTGAAAACAAGAGGCAAGTACAGCAGGTGATTTATAATGATTAAATATAATATTTTAGGTTGCACTTGGCAAATTTGCTGGAATTGAAATTGAGTGCTTGCTGCAGCTTGCAGAGTTCTGGTCATTACCTTTAAAATCAGTCATAGTCTACATGCTGCAGAAAAGATCCTTTACTAGAAAAAAAAATACAATTTCACGTCACACTTGTAAGTTAACAAAAGGTTCAGTTAATACATATTCATCAATCCTTATTTCCTAAAAGACTAAAACATTCTGTTATGCATGTCATTGATGTCTTTGATGACAGTGATGTCAACATCCTAAGGAAAACAGAAACAATATACTATGAGCATCATCTGTGGTCCATCGATACTTTTTTAAGAGTTGCCTTGATAAACATTGGCTTAATCTACCTGCCTTCTCTATATGCTCCATCATGCCAAAACTAGACACTTTTTTTTGCAACCCAGCTGCCCCTGCATTTTGCTAATAGTATAAAAGTTAGCATAGTATTGGAGAGACAAACAAGCCTCTGAGAAAGGCCTCAAGCATCTATCTTGTCAAGTCAAAAATTCAGCAGGGTCACCTTTGCCTTCCTAGCACCTTTGCCCCACCCTCTCCTCTCTTAACCCCTTCACTCCTCCAGAGTCAAGACCTCACAGTCCCACTCATATCATCCTCCTACTCTTCCTCAACCTCCACACATTTTCCAAATATCTTTACACTCTCAAACATCAAACACAGCTGCGGTTGCTCCCTCAGACAAACCCAAAATCATTGCCATCCATTCTTCACTTTTTCTCTCATACCCCACCACCCACCTTATTACTCTTACATCCCTTATTCAGAATCAGCTCCATCATAGACTGTTAATCACTCTCATACATCCCACATTCCATCACCAAGTGCTCCACAGTTTCCTTCTCATCCTCATCACACCTAAAACATTTATCTTCCCTCCTCAGGCTCCTCTCATTCCACCTGTATGGTACGTCCATTCACACCTAGCGCCCCTGTCCTCACACAAAACAGAAGGTCCCCAGCACTCCCCACCTCTACTACCATTATACATGCAGTCATAATGTGGCATCACTTTCATCTGAATAGTCTTAGTGTCCTTTCCCTCCATTCCCTGCTTCCACACCTTCAGCCCATAGTCTTTCACTTGCTTATATTCTCTTTTCCACTTTTTTTCATCCTGCTCTATCGCAATCACCCCCATACTGTGTCCACCCATTCATTCTTGGGCCCAGCGGGTCCATGGCAAACCCATGCTTCATGCATACCACTCTTTCATACCAATGTACAATATCTACATGCCCATTTGCTCACTTTTATGTTCCACATATACATTTTTGTGCCCAACATTCATCATCTAATTGCTCTAGTCTCACTTTATGCCTCAAAACTGATCTTGTTCATCTCTCCTTGAAGGTACTCCATCCCATGTCCCCTCTCAGGGCCTTCACTGCAGTCAACCTGGGGATTCCTAGTGCCAATATTGCCACTCTATTCTGTGTCAATAACAGTGTCATTTCCAGTTTATCTAGTTCACCATCACTATATGCCATTGCATCCAATCCATACATAATACTAAGCACTGCCACAATCCTCCACACTTCCCTTAATACTTCATACTTACTCGCTCTCACTTTTGCTGCACTTCCATGTATACCCAACCATTGATTTGCCTTACTTAAATTTGGGGCGTTTGTTCTCCGACATCCATCCTGGTCCACACGCATACCTAAGTACCTATACTTGTTTGTCCTAACAATCTCATTCGTTAGTCATTCCCTCCCAACATCCACACTCTGCTCATATTCTCAACCGATTCATTCACAACATATACTTGGCTCTTCTCTGCACTGAATTGCACATTGTAGTTACTCCCAAACTCAGTCACACAGTCCAGCATACTTGTAGTTCTTTGCTATTTTCACTCATAATCACAGCATCATCAGCATATAGAAGCATTTTAAACTTTCTCTGCCCACACACACACACACACCAACATCCATTCTCCTAACCCTTGTAGCCATCTCTTCTGTGTAGAGGTTGAAGAGAAGTAGAGACAGGATACTTCCTTGTTGTACATCCCTCCTGCTCCTCACCCAGTCTGTCTCTACATCCCCAAGTCTCCATTCCCCAAGCTGTTTTAAGGTAGTCAAGTTGTTGACATTTTATTATTTTTCCTTATGCTATTAATGAATTGAGACTTTAATGTTTCAGTGATGGAAAAAAAATTAAAGCTCTTCTTGAATTATTACAGATTTTTTACTTCATCTAACAATCTGACCTTGTACTTGCTTGCGCACATTTCCTGAGAAATGGGCTTATTTATGAATAATTGTAGCTAATTACGTACACAACTGGGAATTTTACTTTTCTGACAGACATGCTAATTTTAGTACTTAAGATGGAATTGGGCTTAAGCACACAATAGATTCAGGAGGAATAAGGTATATATATGTATATCTTACAACAGAATTTATTAATTCTCCTGAAATTCACCTTCTTCTTTCCTAATTAGGAAAATTTGTTAAATTTGGCTGATTGTGATACATTTATCATATTTTGGTATATTATGCTAAAGTGCTACTGTGCTACATTTAGTACATGCTGTTTATTAATATTTTGATTTTGCTGGCCTATTACAACTGGCATTTGATTGACATCTGTTAATGTTTGAATGAAAACTTGATTGACATTTACTTGTTCTTTAAAATCATGGAGATTTTTTTGGTGGGTTGTTGTCACATTATACAAATATGTTATAGAAATAAGACTTGCATGAAACCTGTTCCAGTAAAGTTGTTATTGTGTTATATGAGAGTTATATATGTTATTTAGCTAAAGCAATTCCTTTGCTTTAAACATCACACATATTTGGTTTAGTTTCCCAGATTAAACTGCTGTCTGGGATTGCAATTTAGAGATAAAATTTAATTCATTCATTTTATTGTGCATCCTGCGGAATTATTGCTAATATTTTGCTGCCTTACCTACCTTTGATTAACAGGCATACAAATCCCTCAAATGTTAGCTAATTATTAGAGCTAATATTAGCTTAGAGCTAATTATTTCTGCTACTATTACTTTCCCAGTCATTACTGAAATCTTGCAGCTCAAAGGTGAAGTATTTAAATAATTTTTTATCTCTTGTCCTGATTGTGCTCTCTTTTGTTAACAATGAGATGAGAGGTAATTCTTTTAGCAGGAATCTTGCAGTGCTACAAAAATGACAAGATAGCTCTAGTTGCAGCTCAAATGGCAGATATATTTCATGCCTGTGCATAGATTGTAAAAAATGAAACTAGAAATTTTTTGTCCTACTTTGCTTATGTTAGATCAGCAATGCCACACAAGTCACTAGTTACTGCTCGTTAGATACTTTGCATGCGGCTTACCTTGGCACGCTTTCCTAAAATTCATATAGTAATGTCAGAACCATTGTAATTTATACGGATTGATACTTGGACTACTGCATATTGTGCATACCAAGTGCAAAACTTTTCCAACTTGCTAGAAAGTTATGGAGTTTTGTTGACATAATTGATTTTTCTGTTGAAGGCTGGCAGCTTAAGTGCTGTGGTGCCAGTGATGACATTAGCAGCATTGATGGTTGAACTGAGCAAGTTAACAGGCTCAATCAAACTTGAATTCATGAACTGCCATTAGTGCCAATGCCATTTTTAGAAGAATATCCTGACTCCTTGCTACAAATTATTCTACCTATGACATATATTTATATAGGTATTTATATAGAAGTTGCCTTTTAGCAGGTACTGCACAGTGCTTTGGAGTGAGTGGACTCACTATCACTAACCACACCAACCCTCAATATTAAAAAAATATAACACAACTCACTGCAGTGAGTGACAGAGAGCTCATTTTCTTGTCAACAAAAACGTGAAGTCACGGACAGACAGACAGATGGAAATGGCAAGCACAATAGTGCATTTTTTCCATAAATGAGAAAATGCACTAAAAAACACATAATGCCATTTTGGACTACAGTTTGTGGTTTTTCAAATATAAAGTGATGTCCGTCTTCATAAATTTTTGGTTTAGACTTTTGTTTTGTTGATGGAATAGATGTTTTTTTTTAGCTGAAGCAGCACAAGAAGTGCTGTGGTCATTAGAGGTCAGTGCAATGGGTTCAGCATGAATGCAATTTCGATAGGCACAGGTAGCTTTGGCTCATTTTCTAGTATTCTTTCATTTTAAACTTTATTTTATGTTTATTATTTAATAGTAGTGCCCATTTTCTTTTTTCTGTTGAACTTGTGTATTGGAATGAAACTATTCATGATTGAATCATGTGTAGATTTTACTTTGCAATGTTTACTGCTACAGCTTGTTCCTACTAGACCGGACCATCCCAGCCTGCCACCATGGATGACATTTTCCACTGGTGCCGTGAAGGCAACATGCTCCAAGTCAGGATGTGGCTAGACGACACTGAGCATGACCTCAATCAAGGGTAACCTCTCCTCCATAACTTTATGGTTGGAATAGATATTGTTACCCTTCTGTGATCAAGCTGGTCTCGTGTCTTGTATTTGGATTTGAAAAAAAATTAATGTTCTTGCTTAAAGAAATGCTTGCTATTCTAATGCAAGAAGGCTGTTCTTTTCCAGTCAGTTAACTTTTTCAAATGTGAGCCTGATGTGTTTATTCTTTCAATAAAATTGTATTGGTATGTAGAGTTGCCTTTAGTCTGCATAATTTGTCTGAGAATTGTCATAAATGCTGACTAATATTTTCTTTTTGTTGCTCAAAAGCCCACAAGTTGTTTGGTATCACTTGAATACAGGAAATATTTGATTATCAAATCATTTTTTGAATACCACCATTTTATAGTCCAGTATTTGGTTTTGATATTTTGGTTGTACTATCATTAAATATTGCTATTAACACTGCTGTAGTGGTAATACAACAAATACTTCTATTATATCATATTTGTAAAGCACAGTGTCTTTTTTTATTTCAGTGATGACCATGGATTTTCCTTACTGCACTGGGCGGCAAAGGAGGGTCAGATGAATGTTGTTGAGCTTCTGCTGAGTCGAGGCTGCCGTGTGTCTCCCACCAACCTTGGTGACGACACCCCACTTCATTTGGCTGCTGCTCATGACCACAGAGACATTGTTTGCACTGTTAGTTTCTTTTTCACTTGCAAAATTTAATCTTGAATATTACCTATATATATAATACAACCAATCACAGTTGGTTTTTCAGACTAATCTTGCAAATTGATGGTGTGTTGTAGTATTTAATGTTTCTGCCATGGTTTCTATGATTGATTTTGAAAAACTATCCATGGTCTTTTGACAAGTCTTTTTCTACAATAGTATTTATATCATATTGGCTTTGAAGCATAAAGAAGTATTTGTGCTTGTCTACACTTAAGATTCACTTTAATTTGTTTTAATGTTTATAGATCACAAGGTGAACATTTTGCAGCAATGTTGATTGCTTTAGGACCTTTTAGACTTTAACTTAGTATTCAAAGACGGTTATAGACTTGTCTAAATTCTAAAATCAAACTTTATTTTTGTGTTACTAATGTAATTGATCACTTGCAGCTTCTGCGTCATCGTGCTGAAGTGAATAAAGTGAATGAGCATGGCAATACTGCCCTGCATTATGCCTGCTTCTGGGGCTATGAGAACATAGCTGAGGATCTGATTGATGCGGATGCTAGCGTTGCTATTGCTAACAAGTATGGCGATGTTCCTCTGGATAAATGCAAGGGCTCTATGGCAAAGCGGCTGCACAGTAAGAACAAATTTTTTACTCATTGCCTACATTTGTGGCTTTTTGAAATACTATCAAATAAAATTTTTGTTTTTGAGAAACTAATTTGTGTGATGAGATGATGCAGTTAAGATGAATGTAACATACTGTTATTATATCTTGATTATTTTTTGGCAGGCTTGGCTGTGCAGAATGGACAGAAGCTTGAGAGGGTGGCCTTCAAGGATCAGAGTTGGCTTGGCCTCAAGACTCGCAGCAGTGAGTAATATAGCTGTTCAACATGAACCTGTGCACATTCTTGATACTATTTTTTCATGTGCAATATTACTTACCAAAAATACACTCCATTTTTGTTGGATTACTGTAATTAATGAAATATTTTTGTTTTATGTTGTACATTACAGTGAGCCAGTTATTAACATTATCACCTACTCAACGAGTTACTTGTTCAACTGATACAGAACTTTGTCTTAGCCAGATTAATGCTTCTGAAAAATATAAGAATATAACATTCCTTCCTTCCAGGGGACGCAACTCTCTCCCGCCACAAGGGGATCAACATCCAAGACCTGTCACTCCAGCTGAAGGTAAGGCTGGAGCTGTGTCGCTCACGCTATGTCGCTCCAGCTGAAGGTAAAGCTGGAGCTATGTCACTCCAGCTGAAGGTAAAGCTGGAGCTGTGTCACTACTCACTCCAGCTGAAGGTAAAGCTGGAGCTATGTCGCTCCAGCTGACGGTAAAGCTGGAGCTGTGTCACTCCAACTGAAGGTAAGGCTGGAGCTGTGTCACTCCAGCTAAAGCTGGAGCTATGTCGCTCCAGCTGAAGGTAAAGCTGGAGCTATGTCGCTCCAGCTGAAGGTAAAGCTGGAGCTGTGTCGCTCCAGCTGAGGGTGAGGCTGAAGCTGGCTCGCTCCAGCTGGGGGTAAGACTGGAGCTGTCTCTCTCTGTACGTGATGACAAGTTATAAATGAAGCACCCGGACTTGTTACCGTGATTATGACTTGTGCCAGGGGCGTCAGGTAGATGCTGTGGTAAGAGATGCAGTAAATGATATTTGTTTGATGTTGCATGCATTCATCTTAGAACTGAAGGAATATTTTTATTATGGGTATGGAGTATACAATACACAGCAACAATGACAACAAGGTTTTCAAACGTACTCAAACGCATGTTTATAAAGCAGATAAAGTACCAGGACTGATACGACGTTCTTATCAGTAATTACACGCAGAATAATGATTGATGAAGCTGTTCGTGACAGAAGTGAGCTCATGGCTAGGAGCTAGGGAAAGTTGTGCTGTCAGCGAAACTTGAAAAAGATTTAAATTAATCGAGAGTGTTCACAGATATGCAACAATAATAATTCCTGATTTTAACGGCAAATGTTAAGATGAAAGATTCGCCATTATAAAGCATCAAGTCTCAGTTCCCGGGGGTTTGGTCTTGACCTGATAGAAGTTACAAGTGTACTCATGGACAGGGTTCGTATCGGCCATGGAAAACCTGGAAAGTCATGAAGTTTGATTTTTCATTTTCCAGGCCTGGAAAGTTATTGGATTTCATTTCAGGTTATGGAAAGTCATGGAATTTGCAAATAAAAGAAGAAAAAAAAAGAAGTGTTTTTCTGTGCTGCGTGTGTTAAACTAATTGTGCAGCCTCTTGTTTCCTGTATTCTGATTAGCACGTATGAAACAAGAGACTGTGCCATAGACTCTTGTTTCATGCGTTCTGATTGGTCACCGAGCTCAGTTGCATCGGAGAACTTTTTGATCTGCATGGCAGCGTTCCCTCTTCAGTATTCAATTTCTACATCAACATACCTGGAAAGTGTAAATTCCATGACTTGTTAAGAACAGAAGCTTATCGTGACTGGCTTGCTCGCCATCCAAAGCATTAAGGTATGGCGATATGTAAATTGTGCTCGAAAGACTTCGATGTGTCAGATATGGAGGAAGCAGGGAAGCAGCTTTGAAGAGCTATGCATTTACACGTTTGCTATTTATCAACTGTAGGAGATGATAGATGTCATGCTAAAAATCTCAGTCATGCTAAATCTGTCGTATACGAGTCTTGGAAAATTATATTGATGGTCACGGAAAAGTCATGGAATTTTTTTTTTTTCTAAATACCTGTACGAACCCTGCATGGCATATACTAGAAGCACTGAGATAGAATGTGAAATAAGCATAAACATCATTGGCCATATTTATAAACTGAAAAGAATTAGATGCAACTCGAGAGGCAACTTTAATTTTTGTTTAGTGTTCCTGACACGTGGAAAAAATCAAAGACATTGCTAAAGTTTTAGTATGAACACGTCCCGCAACAGACAAGCCATTTCCATGCAGCGGGATATGTTTGGACTAGACGCGCCTCCTGGCTGGTAGAATACAAGTAGCTTCATAGCATCAAAGTCAGTTTGGATAGGTCAGGTCAAAAATACGTTTTTAGCCTTATAAAGTCCATAAACATTGCAAAAATTGACGACAGCCCTGATTTAGTATGATATTCAAGTGCCGACACAACACGTTGCTAATACTTCAGTTCTTGTGCAGATTGCAGACACGCCGTCTGGCGAGATGTGGCGCGGCCGTTGGCAGAATAACGACATCGTAGCCAAGATACTCAGACTGAGGGAAGTAACCGACCGAATCTGCCGCGACTTCAACGACGAGTTCCCAAAACTTAGGTTTGTTCTACATTAAAATCGAGCTAGTTTCCGGTACAAATTAAAGAAGACATGAACTGATATTAATTGCGAAACAGACAAATTTGTGGCACTGCTGTTGATAAAAGTATGCATGTGTCAAACGTGGGGATGCTAGCAGCGCGGTGTGAATACATAAAGTTCTAAATCGTGCCGGACGTTTGGTTGTTCCAAACGCCCAATGTCGGCTAAGGCGTGTGAGTCGGTGAATAGACTGTGCTAGCCTCTTACAATCGTGCTTCGTATTGGGAAATTAAATCCGAGAGGTGTTATTCTGTGTATTGAATCGAGAATTAGAGTCCAGGATAAGCTACGATACTAGGGCAAATGGACCTGAACAACTGAAATTACTTGATATTGTAAGGCACTAGGCCCATGCTGATATTGGAAATTTGTTGCCAACTTATACTTGACAGTCACAGTATTAACATTATAGTTGACAATTATTAATGACGATAACTGAAATGACATCAATAATAAAAATCGGTTCGAGTAGACGGATAACAATGCTGAGTTATATAGGCTTGTGACGTTCCTGGAAAATGAGTTGCGGGGGTAACTCGGGGAAATATATACATGGTCACTACACATCCATGGCTTCAATACTTGAAATATATCATAAACTTTAAACGTTATTATTATTTATACAATTTTTTACATCGGTGCATCCACTTGAGACCTCATGTTTAGGCGATGAAGCTGGGAAATTCCTGTATGCCGCTAATAAATATGAAATAAAGCATCTATACGCGCTGCTGCGCTCAAAAGTTGTTTGTGGTGGTAGCGGTACCGAGATGAGAGGAGCTAGCTGCTGCTTCGAGGCTTGGGAAGATCAGTTCATTTCACGGTGTTGATGGTGAGCGGAGCTCGGTAGCCGTCGAGGGCGTTGCATCAGCATGAGCTTGGGCTGGCGTCCTTATACGAACTCTAGGTACTTATTACGTGGAGTGATTTAAGGTCGTAAGCTGGCTGGCAATGCTGTACTTACGCTATAACAACGGTTTTGCTTTTATTTTTACTGTGACTTGCACTTGTCAGGATTTTCTCGCATCCAAACGTGCTGCCGGTGGTTGGATGCTGCAACTCGCCTCCCAATTTGGTGGTGATCACGCAGTACCTGCAGTACGGGTCGCTCTTCAACGTGCTGCATCAGAGCGATGGCAATATTGTGCTGGACACCTCGCAGGCCCTCAAGTGGGCCCTTGACATCACCAAAGGCATGGCCTTCATCCATTCACTGAACAAGATAGTTCCAAACCTGTACCTGTCCTCGAAACATGTCATGGTGAGTCTCATGCTCCAAAACGTATCTGTTGGAAATTCCCAGGCAAACTAGTGGCAGACCGAACACTTGGTCTTAGAATAGTAAATGATGCCATTAAACTTGAACTTGATGGCTAAGCGATGCTATTCAAGTACCTACCAACACTCGATTACATGGTGGCGAATTGACGAAGTAATGAAATCTTTAATGATGGAAACGAACGTTAAGGAATCGCACCGTAAAAAATCAATTGTGACCAAAATGTCTTTTCTTTAAAGTATGTCTGGGTTTTACACACGAGGTTTTACTCAACACAAACGCCACAAAGTGACGCTGATTGTTCTAAGTATTGTATTTAATAGTAATTTGAGGCAGCTGGCTATCTGGGTCGGGGCTTTGCCTCACTGACCACCGTCACTGACGGTGTTTTTTGTTCGAGGAATAACATTTTCACGGCACGACACTTGAATGCAGTAAGCCATAACAGAGGTCCGTATTACCGCCGGTGAGCTCTTGTCCTCCATCAAGCTAACTTGTGTTTACGATCGAAGGTTGTGCTGTTAAATTTGTCTGCGCCTTGACTCTAGTTTCTGGCTTCCCTAAGATTGACGACGACTTGACGGCCAAGATCAGCATGGCGGACGCCAAGTTCACCTTCCAAGAAAAAGGCAAAATTTACTCCCCGCAGTGGTTCGCTCCGGAAGGTGAGTGTCTGCGGGGCATAACGTGAGCATAGTTCAAAATCTATTCCCGTTCCTCAGTGAGCTTCGTGTGGCTCGTTGCTATGTGGTTAAACTTCTTGGTATCATTTTGGGATTGCGGATATCAACGTCTTCCAACGTAAGGCATGCTTCTAAAATCACGATTAGGAACATATTTAACTAAGGATTATAAATTGTATCGGACTATTGTATGAAGACCGTGCTGATTTTGGTCCTGGCTCCGTTTGTTGTTGATTCTCTCATCATGAGAAGAATTTCTTACCTCGATGGCGTCTCGTCTACTTTTTTCATGCAAATTTGGTTGCAGAACAGCTCAAAAGCAGTGTTTAATTTGCCGACATTATGTTGAACCTTAAATCATGATTGGCCATAACATTTTAGCATTGCGTTAACTCTTGAACCCGTATTAAAGATACTATTTGCTCTTTACGCAGCTCTTGTGAAGAAACAAAAGGACCTGAACATCAAGGCGGCTGACATGTGGAGCTTCGCTATAGTACTGTGGGAGATGGCCACCAGGGAGGTGCCCTTCGCTGACCTCTCACCAATGGAGGCCGGAATGAAGGTTAGTGCCTTCAGTTCAAAGTTTCCGTTCTTCAGTACAGATTAGTAAAATCCAATATTTTTTTATCATTCTTTATGGAATTCACGTCGCAAGTTTATGTCTTTAATCGCTGAAAATTTACCGGCGAAAACTTGCTCTAGGATTTTCAATTACAGCATATTTGAATATTGAAAATGGTGACTTAACTACTCCGCTCCTGAGCGTCTTGCGACATCGATCTATGTTCAATTATCCATGTCTCCCACGCATTTTACTGATGTCGAATATATAAATTTAGATCGCAACTGAAGGATTGCGCGTGTCGCTGCCGCCTGGCCTGTCGCCTCACATCTGCAAGCTCATCAACATCAGCATGAACGAGGAGCCTGGCAAACGCCCATCTTTCGACATGCTCCAGCCAATCCTCGAGAAGATGTGCTCGCAGTAGTTAGAATATCGGACAACTATCTTCTTCAACGGAGATGCTTAGACTGTGTTGCCTGCAAGAACTTTTATTAGGTTTCTGTGGTCAGCACCAGTAAATGATGCTTCCATGCGTGGTCGTCTGATGTGACCATAGCCGGTCGATCAGAACGACTGGTAACTCAAGTGCCTAGTTAATTTCTCTGCAAAGTGCGATTTCTCATGTAAACGATTGTGCTAACTTTTAACTTGTTGAAGAAGATGCTTCGTACGACTCAAAAATTGACCCTTCCATGTTTAGTAACGGAAATTAACTTATGATCTTCTCAGTCAATATTACGAGTATGTGTCAATTCCTGCTGAATTATGAAAGCTGCTAGTCTGTCTCAGAGTTGAAGCAATTCTGTTGGCATCTTTCGCTACTCTAAATATTGCCTTCACATAGATTATATTGTGGCTGGACTCTTCTTGTGCCTACGACTCTTGATGTTTAGAGTTTTCTAACCCTAGTGCTTTTCAAACTGGAATTAGTATCACTAAATTTGTTGATGTGTGTCTTGAAATGGCCTTAAATTATGTATTCTTAAATGTTGAAGTATTAACAAAATAATTTTAAAGTGTGCAATATTAACAGCTATTTGTCAATAAATGTAACTTTTATTCGGCAGATCTTTGCCTGGTTCAACTCAACTACTATTAAGTTAATTGAGCTCCTGCCATTTGCTGATGTTGCCAATTTGTAGTGGCTACTTAAATAATAAGAAGCGAGGTTCCCAGCGCTCGCCTCATGCAGTCGAAAAATTAACATTTCCGTGTCTTGCTGTGCCTCCGGTGACGTTGCGCGAGTTGTCTTCCTTCACTGCCTAAATATAACTTAAGTTATAATTAAGAACGAACTCTTCTCTAAGATTTAAATAGAAATTTGCTTATATTTGTGCACCCGATTGTTTGAAATAAAATGTGTATAGTTTAAGTATTAAACGATGTTAGAACTTATTGAGGACTGTAGTACAAATTTATTGCTGTAACGAAGCCTCTTGCTACTTACAAGTGTATCAACACCGAGTTTCTATCGTTCGAAGCTGCATACGCTCACTCTTAATTCCACCAAAGCGTGTAAGATGAAAGTTATATCGGGTTCCACGCATAGAAGCTTTGGTTCAGGACTATTCTTGGTGAACTGGGACATGTTAGCTGTGTCTGGTGCAGTATCGTGTATGTGGCGCAGTGTCAAGTATAAGTTGCGTATAACTCAATAAGGCAAAGCTACCTTCTTTTTCATTTGTACCTAGATTTTGATCTGCATGCAGCATCTTGCACAGCCTTGTGTGTCTTTAGATTCTCGCATAGGAAATAGAAAATAAATCCACGGTTATCGTACTTCATTGTTCATACCTCTGCATGAAAAGTTTTGAAGCGAATCTTATGGGGCTGTGTCCTTAATATATTCATTGTTGTTTATTAATGAACGACTTACCTGTCTATAGAATCGATATCTTTATTACATGATACTAATTGAATTACTTCGTTTATTTTTATCATGAAATCTGTGTAGTTATTCCAGCTGAAAATCAACTCTTCATTTCTTAAGTCAATTGATTTACATGCTAGACTTATAAAACGTGAGCCCATTAAGTTCTATGATAGGCTCAGGCAGATGCTCAAAATCTGTGAGATGACTTTCTATAGGATCCTACATATTGAAAGATGCTCAGAAAATGTCTGGATCGATAGCTACCGTAGTTGATTTTATAAAGTAGGCAAAATATGACGAGAAGTGCAACACGATTCGTGTTAGCATAGCATAGCATAGCGATCTCGGCATCAGATGTTAGGCTTCCACAGCCTGTTGCCGATTCTGTTGTGCCTGGTACTCGTTTCTTGGTCCATACTGACTGCTGATCCTTTGATCAGCTCTAATAAAGGTGGGAAGCTCGTCTACACTGTAGACAAGGTCCCGCATAACACTGTCCAGTCTGTTCTTAAAGGCATCGACGCTGGGAGCCTCCACCACCTGTGCTGGCAGTCTGTTCCACCTCTCCACCACACGCTGGGTGAAAAACCTTTGAAGAAGACTCGTATTGCAACGCTGCTTCTCCAGTTTGTAATGGTGACCTCTGATGTTTGTATTCTTTTCCAGTTTGAGTATACTGTTGTCCAATTTATAAACATTGTGCGTGTACTTGTAACACTCGATCATATCACCTCTCACTCTTCTGTACGTCATACTCGTTATTTTCATCCGCTCAAGTCTTCTTTCATACTCAAGATTTTTTAAACCTGGTATTACTTTGGTTGCTCTACGTAACACACTCTCAATGAGCTTTTTGTCTCTTTCCAAGAACGGCGACCACGTTACATTTCCAAATTCTAAGTGCGGACGAACAATTGCTATAAAAAGCATCTTCATAGTCTGAGAGTCCAGATACACAAATGATCTCCTGATGAGACCTAACAGTCTGTTGGCCTTGTTCACCTGAATTTCGACATGCAGAGAAAACTTCAAACTTGTGTCCACATTCACACCCAAGTCCTTTTCAAGTTCCGTCGCTTGTAATTTAATGCGCTCCGTACTCCCGTGGTTTCGCATGTTATACACGTCTACACATCACCGTCAGGTCATAATGTATACGTGTACCAAGTTTCATCGAGTTACGTTCAGTACTTTGGGAGATATTCGATGTACACTGAATCTGGAGCGCGGCCGCGAGACCGGCCGTGAGACAGGCCGCGTTTTTGTCCGAGACGTATATTATACTAGATAACGTGTTTCTCGATAACATCTTCAACTCTTCAAGCGCAAATATTTGGAAGGACAGCACTAAGATACCTTAGCTATTCCTTTTAACAATTCGTGTTTAGGTGCTATGCGTCGATAATAAATTGTTACCAGAAAATCACTATATCAAAATATCAACTGCATATTACACTTGTGCTCCTAGGCTTGGTAGAATCCTGCGGTTAACCTCGTGTTTCATTTGAAATTTTTTTAATGAGGTATAACGCCAAAATTTTAATTTGATCATGACCTATTACTGCTGCTTGAACGACTCGTAAGGTCCGAACTCCGAAGCTCTCGTTTTTGGATTCCTCATTCCTGCAGTTCTGCTGCCGCCGCCTGCCATTTCATTACAGGTTGAGCAGTAACGGCGTAAGGTTGTGTCAAAATTTCTCGTCGTATTCTCACGTTGGAGCTGAGTTGCTGTTGATTTTATGCTCGTTAAAAGTGAAATTGTATTCATTTATGCTTCTTGTGTAGAAAAGTAAAATATTCTGTCGTGCGAGTTTACTACTAAACGCCTCTATTTAAGAGGCTCTAGGCCCGCTTTATATCTATAGTTGGAGAGTAGGTATAGTGATTACCTACTATTACTGACTTGCCTAATAGCTAATACATTATTAATCATGTTGCCCCCTGCGTAGGCCTATCTCTGCACCTCAAAGCCCACAGGCATTGACCTACGGTAGTCAAAAATTAAAATTTTTTGCTGAAATATGCTTCTGTTGCTTCAACTGTGAATTTATTTCAAATTGTTTGTTATAACTCACAATTTTTCCTACGGACAAAATCAAAAATCGTGTAAATCTTCTATGGCCCTAGTCTGGAAAAGTCCTATTTTTGTCTGAAATATCGCGGCTCTAATATCATATAATTTCAGTAGGTATGAAATCTCACGGCTCGAATGTCATAAATTTTTGTTTGATTAAAAAATCGCGATTTGCACTTCGCAAACATGTCATTTCATAAAATTTTCAACTTCCGCAATCCGCATTGCTCTACCGTTTCCGCCAAAAATATCTTGCAGAAAAAACCTAAACATCGTAATGTAAACAAATAAACAAAACGTTTGTTGAAGATCGTGCATAGTTGCGGTCATGTCAAAGCGGTCAGACTGTATATTAACACGTGCTGAACTTACAGTAGAGACAAATTTTATTGTTGCCGTTTGACTGTTTAAGGGTAAAATTAGAGATTTGGGGTAACACGTGCATAAACTTTGTAAATAAATTGGCATTCGCACCTTGTAAATGGCTTTTCATGGCCGAGATATGGAATTCACGGCTCGGTGAAATAGAATCACGGCTCGTAGAAACATAGTGGCAAAGCAGAGAGATTTTTAGACTCACCCTCAAGTTCATTTTTGAGTCCTATAAGTAGACCAGTAAAGTATCATGGATACCAGCATTATCATACTTAAGAAATAGGTTTAAATCTTGAGTAAATGAGGAAATAAAAAATGAACTGATTCTAAAAAAGCTCTGGTTTGCCACTATGCGTAGAAATGGAATCACGGCTGGCAAATCCATAAAACCACGGCTCGAAAAATTCAGTCGCGGCTCGCCAAGTAGATATATTCCATACTAGCTATGGCCTAGGTTACTTAGATATTAGTTCACTAAGTTCAGTAGTTGTAGCATATGATTGTAGGTATCCAGGATTGTCAATAATTTAGAGACATTTAGGCCTAAAATGCTGGAAATTCTAGGAAATGTGTTCAATTGTGTTGTCTATGTCTATATATGATAAATATATCATCAATTTAAAAATAAAATTTGCCATATATTGGCAAAATTCTAATATGAAGGTCTAATGCCTTTGCTTATGCCAGTATTTGCCACTTGCCAGACTGCCAGTGAGTAGCCAGTCAGCCAGTGAGGCAGTGACACTCCACTGACTCCAGCAATCACTGACAGAGAGTGACACTGTCACTGTGACAGTGCCATTATTCCATACCTTTGATACTACCTAGTCTACCTACAACTTGATTATAAGTAGCTAATCACTGGCCAGTGGCCACTGCCACACCCCAAGTGGAAAATTGTGCAGAAGCCACCTGGCACCTGTGAATTGGACACAAAGGCCTGTGAATCCTAGTTGGGAACTTGGGAAAAGTACTACCATCAAATGGGGTAATAAGGGATCGGTGGGGTAAATCGGGATGTGTGTCCCAGTCCCACATTTTTGTAGAAATGTTGTAGCAGCTAAACTAATCAAAATACCTATTGCAAAACTAAAAATAGTGGTGTAAACTTTTACAGTTTTATTATCTATATTATGTATAAAGCTAGTTAAGAAATCATACATTTATTATCTCTAAAAAATCACTGAAAAAAGTATGAAAAGTGATATTTTGGAAGAGTACCTCTACCATGGTCTGGAGCAAAAAAAAATATTCGCCATATTAACAAAAGTTTTACTTGCATAAAAGTTGCACACAGGTGTTTGCCTTGAAAACGTGATTGACGGAATTTGCCTATCTCATTCCTCCCAAAAAAAAGGAGCCATTTCCACCCCACAGGGTAATAAACGACACCCTTAAAAATGCATTTACATTAGAACCTCAGTTAGCAAAGGCTCCAGTTAACAAAAAATTAATTAACAACAAAGAATTTTGATTACATTTATCTTGCTTGGTGCAAAAAATTTCACTTATCAAAAAATTAGTGCATCATTGGTCATCACAAAATCATGCATAGTGTCATATATATAGAATTGTGCACTGGGTATTGTAGAATGAAAAGTAATTGACCTAAAGCATAATTTATTTCCCCAAAACATTATGGTTGTCACTAAAACATTCCTTTCTGTTTCAGGTACGTTTTTTATGATCTTTTTTTTTATAGTGATTCACTTAACCTAATTAAAATGGTGTGAAATTACAAGCCATCCTGTAAGCTTACAAATACAGAAGAAATTCTATACAGCTGCCGATATGAAGCTTGCAATGTACAAGATCAATATAAATACTCAATGGCATGTTCATGGATACAGTAATATCACATCAATAATACCTACGGTAATTAATGAATATTGTAATATCGTATCAATAAAGGAACATTAGACTCAACTCACTTCGGGTCCTAGGCGGTACCAAATTCCGCAAAAACAAAGAAACACTAGCACCAACATACAAACAGCTCATCAGAACAGTGCTGGATTATGCCAGCCCCACCTGGGCGCCTGCACTATCCAACACAAACACACAGAAACTCCAAACACTACAAGACAAATCACTCAGGATAATCACAGGCTGCACACAAAGCACCCCCATAGAACACCTTCATGCAGAAACAAAAATACTTCCCATAAAAGCACACCTCGACATGAGAGGAACACAATTCATAGCAACAGCCATAAACAACACAGAACACCCATGCCACTACCTATGCGACCACCCACTTACACACAGACAAATAGTGCAAACCCCACACAGATACTACACCAACATACTAGATACAGTACCCCAACCCCAAGGCAACAGCAGGACAAAAAAATACTTACGCACAATTATGACACTTAGAACGCAGGAGCGGGCAGGCAACAACAAAGTCTTTAGGCACCCACCACCTGACATAAGCAGCACAGAAACACAGCTCTTTAGACTGGAGAGTACACTAGCCAGGCTGCGCTGCGGCCACCACCCTTCACTACAAACATACGCAAACAGAATTGGCCAAGCAAACACAGATACCTGCCTATCCTGCCAGAATGCCCCCCACATAATCACTCACATTCTCCTGGAATGTCCGCTCTGGCAGGACCTCAGACAACACCACCACATAACCTCGACCCTACAGCTCTGGAGCGACCCCCCGTCGGTGGTGTCGTACTTGCACAAGGGGGGTCTCTTATAAAAATGAGACTGGGGAACCACAACAACAACAACAACTTGCTGCTCATCAGTAGAAACCATGTACTATATTCTGGTCAGATTTATAAATTTTTTGTAGTTTTGATTGCCTCATAATAACTAAGAAGCATTTCTGATTGTGCTTGAATGTTTTAACTTGGTTTATCTTACAAACTAGATTGTTCTTTTGCAGGCTGGCAACCTAAGTGCTGTGGCAGATTACTGTGGCATTGATAGTAGTACCGGTAGATCATTCATAAACTTGCCTCTTGAATCATTATTGTGAAGTCAGTGTTGAAAATCTCTGCTTGTAATAAAATTTTTCATATTCCTATAATTTTTGGACTTATATATATACATACATAGAAATAATAATAATACTAAAGTTTATGCAATTTAGAAGAATTGATTCTATCATTGAATTGATGATGTACAATTTTAAAATCTAGTTTAATAATATCAAGCTAAGAGAAACTTATAGAAGTTGATATTTACTCTTTAGATTATTGAAGTTGAAGTTTGAAGAGCTTCATTTCATGTGATGCCTGTTGATAGCATTGATCTTCTGAGCCTCAATGGTAGCAATTTTTACTCAATACTGAGTAAATACTGAGCATGTTCATTTTACTGAGCAATTTACGGTAGCATGTTCATCAGCCTTCTTATTTAAACTACTAATGATAATGTTTTTTAGGAATGCTTATAATTCTGTTCTGATACATTCTTAATCTTTGCAGTACATAAAGACCAGCCTTGTGCTAATCATTGTCTAAATAATAATAATTTGATTTTAACACCGGAATCATGGCATTGATAGACATAAAATATGGTGTTCGCATTTGTTTAGACTTTCTTCTCCTCCTAATTGGTAAGTAAAACATGAATTGTTAGCAGCATTGTGAGCAAATACATTACCACATCTGTGTGTGTGAGTGAAAATTTTGTATGTTTGCAACTTTACATATAACATCTACTTAACAGCTTTTTCTTTAAATTATTTATATTCTCATGTTCTATAATATTAATAGCTTTTTTAAATATTCAATCTAAATTTTGTGAATGTGTTTCAATATTTCAGTTAGATACCATTACAGTTTCTGCATCGGGTTACTGAGAGGCACCACAATCTTAATTTTCATGTGTACTGATTGATCTTTGGTGTTAAAGGATTTTTTTTGGTATTTCACTAATTATTACTTTCTTTACTGATTATTATAGCGTATAGAATTATGGAAGGAAATCATTTCACAGTTGTAATAGTAATTACAGACTAGAGCCCAAGTTGCGGGTTTCCTGGGTCATCATATTTTATGCTGCAATTAATAATTGGTCAGATCTGGCATGGGGACTCTGGAGGTTGTCTCCTAATTTTGATAGAATTACCAAATCTGTTGCTGGTTAGTCAGTATGCATAAGTGACTCAATTTAGAATTTGTATTTAAGATCAGTCCTTTGAATTTTATTGTGGTTGGGCAGGCTTGATGTCAGAATTTAGATTAATTTATTTTTGTTGCTAAAAGTGCATATACTTTTCCTATTAAACATCTTGGTGATTTACTTGTGGTTTCCTTATTTAAGGTCCTTGATATTTTACTGAGGTGTTGAAATAATTCCTTCAATACCCATATAATTTGTATGTGGGCTTCATCTGTGTTGAACTTTGTGCAATTTTCTGTAATATATATCAGCATGAGTTCTCACTTCTGCATGGGCAGGCTTAGATAATATGATGAACATTCCACACTGTAACTGGAGGATGATCTTCTGAAAATTTATAAATGACTCCATCTCTAATTAGCTAACAATCATTTTCTTATCTATGCATCAAATGGATATTAATTATCATACTAAGAATCCAGCTCTGAATATACTCAACTACATTGGGGGAGCTCTGAATATACTACTCCAGCTCTGAATAATATATCCAGCTCTGAATATACTACTACATACATTACATACATTACAATATCTAACATTTCTCACTCGCCATCATTATTATTAACATTCAGCAATTAGTGACTTGCATTGTTCTTTGTATTTGATCTCTGGCGAGCTTGGTTTAGGACAAGAAAGTTCTAAGTATTTCCTCATTAGAATTGGTGTCCCGGGGCTTGTAATTGGAAGCCTCCTTAATAAAACTTTGTCATAGAAATTGTATGGTAATTGATGAGTGAGCTGAACTAAACTGTGCAGTCGTTGTGTTGAGTTTAGATTGTTTTAAGATGTTAAGGCCTTCAGTTTCAGCTGAGTTTCAATAAATCAGCTTCATCAGTTGATTTATTTTTTCTTATATGGAAGGGGTTACATATTTTTCTAATTGAAGGTGGGGGATAACAAACGATATGACAAATGACAATATCATGTAATTTTGATTCTCATTTGAATTTTTGAAATTCCCCTTGTGAATTTGTTCTGAATATGAGAGTAAGGTTCACATGAGGGTCGTGTGCCCGTCACTTGGTTGTAAGGCCAAGCCAGCATTTCTGCCAAGTAATCTGACATGCGCTGTTTGCCGTGTGCAATAGATTTGTGTGCAATGCTCACGTGATGAAGCCTTTAGAATTTACGTTAGGTCCCCCTGACTGTGCGTGATGTCCTACAGTGGGTCTTGTTCTTCTTGTGGGGAAGAAAACGTGGGTACCTTCGCAGCGTGGCTTCTTTTGTGACGACACAAGCATTCGGTACCCCTTTGTGGACCACGAAACTGTGGGTGATACCTCACTGTTAGGTGTGGGTGTGCTATTGCCCATTGCGACGGTAAGTTGAGTGTTGACACGTACTTATGGGTCATCTCCTGCTGGCACTGATTATAGGAAAGTTTTGAATTGTTACCTTGAGCCCGAACTTGTCTAACACTAACGGTACTTTCCAGTAGCTCTACATTGCTTGCCTTATTACCCTGCAGCAATTTAACTCTACTACAAAACTTCTTAGCAAAAAATGTCTGGGGTGTGGCGAACAAATGTGGAAGTTGAAAAAAAATTATTTGCTACCGCTTATTTGTTTCATTTCAACTCGAATTACTTCTACTTCTGTCAATTGTCAGTATTTTCCTAACATTTGAACGTTGCTTCCACATTTGAACGTCTTTGCTCCGTGCGGGAGCGCGTTGTGGTGGGATTTTCATGACTATTTGACGTCACTTCAAATCTGGAGCCCTAATGCCTAGTCGGTAGCTTCCTTGTGGGTAGTCCGTTTTGTCGTAATCTGTTTTATTCAATATTATTACATGATGAACCTCATTAATTTTTTCTTGAATGTCAAGTTTTTGGTGCGCGTAGTTTGGTTCGCAGTTGACGCTGTTTTTTTTTTTTTGTGTGTATCCGGTCTCCTTGCGTATGATGTTAACACGTCTGATTACGTCAGTACTTCCCTTATCTAGAGCCAGGTGACTCAATACTTCCGACGACCGCTGCTCCGCATTCATGATGCAGTTTCATTCTATGAACATTATTTTGTACCCGTCTTACGTTTTGGGAACACCTTGATCTCACTGTTCCTGGTCGTCCAAAAACTATCAATTTGTCTTTGGTAATCACACAAGAATACTGTTTGAATTATTTACGTAGGTGAGTTTTGATACTTAATTTATAACATTTGAGAAGCAGGTTAGACGTGAAGCACGATCTGTAACCGATGTTGTTACTTTAGTGATTTCCTTTTGGTCGACGTGGAAAGGCAAAAACGTTCAATTTGTCAAGTTCACCTGCACTATTATTGACCTATTTCCTGGAATATTCGCAGTATTGATTATATTATCTAGATAACTCTCTATGAGACTTGTTTACTTATATTGATTTGACGAGCGCACAGCGCTAAGTGTACACGTGTTAGAGTCCAGGCGTCACAGACTCACAGGCGAGTGATGAGCACACTTCGCTATCTAAAGTAGCTGTATGAGAAGATGATTATGAAAGTTCCTTACTTAGTTACAAGTTGGTTATAGTCATTGGTTTATAGGGTGGCTTCCCCTGCCTTCATGGCTTCGTTTCTGTATAGGTGCTTGTTAGCATATATCTATATATGTCTCATTGCATTGGTACCGGTACATTAATTGTGAGAAATGGTACTGGTTAATTCTATGGCTGTGACGTGTGATGTGGTTCATTTTGTGTGCAATTGACTACTAACAACTAACCTTAACATGACATCTGTTTCAGAGTTATTCCCACTCGTTGATGTGTCCCGAACTAAGGTGTATTCAACCCTCGTAATCTTAAGGCAAACTTGACGCTTACTTCATGTGTGCACGCGGCAGACACAATTGGCTGTGAATCAATCACTTGTTTATGCTCATACTTGACTTAAAGTGCTGCTTGAACTAATCCTAAATAAACCGAAAGATTCTTGTAGCCACCTTCGTATACAAAACATACTTTCATTTGTTAGCAAAAAAAGTATTTGCTAATTGGTTTGAAATGTGCTTGCAAAAGAATATTATTCAATTGAAATGCCTTGATTGCACGTGTAAAATGTCAATTATGTATTAGATGTAAATGCGTGAATACTGCCATTGAGTGTGTCGCTTGTGACGCCTGCCTCGTGACGATGCCCTCAGTTATCCGCTTCTTGTCCAGCTCTATCGGCATGCGTTTCTATCTTTACAGTGGCAGTGCCCATCCTTATCTTTTATCTGTTGGGGAAGCCGTTTGAGCGAGGGTTTTACTGCAGCGACGACTCCATACGTTACCCTTACAAAGACTCAACTGTGACCACCCTTGCGCTCTATCTGGTGGGCACGCTGCTGCCTCTCTTCTTCGTGAGTATAATGCAACCCTCTGCCTCCGCGTCCCGGTGCCAGTATCTCGCCGTACTTGTGATCCTGGTTATCTTGGTGTCAGTCTCATATTTAATTGCTGATTCTCAAGTTTTCTCTTTGTTCTCTTTGACCGAGTGAAGATGTTAGATTCTTTGAAAGTTGTACCATCTAAAGATGTCTATTTGTTTTATTTAGATTTAATTTTTTTTTTGTTCTCTGTGTTTGGCTTCCGTTGATCAAAGAGTGTACCTCTCCAGGCTATCAAAAAATTTCTACAATGAACGTAATTTTAATATAATTTTATTTGTGCAATCGAGTTTGTATAAACTGGGTTGCTTGAGCTCTCTATCGGCGATTTGAGATATACTTAAACGTACTTCAATTTTGACTGACTTTTTTGGTTTTGAATAAAAATTTTCTTGGAATGAGTGTGCAAATTTCTGAGCAAGATGCTTTTGGATGCGATTAACTTGTTAAGATTTTCCTTATGCCTTCAGTTACACCCCTTGGTTGTTTCGATCTGCATTCCTGAATTCGTATCAGCAATGCGTTTTAATGACAGTGCTATCTTCTTCAAGGCCATTGACTGTTTCTGATGTTGCTCCACAAGCCATGCCGGTCCGGCGTTCGTGTAGAGGCATTTCAGCGCCGAGCTTCCCTTGTTCTCAAGTTCCTGTGTAGACAACTTAGTCTGCTTCGCAATGGCGTCCTTGTATGGCCACATGAAGGCTTGCTTGTCCGAGCTGCATGTATCTTACCCAGCAGCTCACTCAGCGTAAACGTAACACTCGCCATTCAAAAGCTGTCTGTTTTCGAAAGCTCCGTGCATCAGCTCGTATGTCTCAATTAAGCAGTTGCTCGGCCAAGCACCAGTTTCAAGAGTGATAGCAGTCAAGGGAGGCCGACGCTGATGTGACGGCTATTTTCTATAGGGTGCTTGCCTGACTCGCTAGCCGGAATGACGTCACTGACGGTCAGTCATTAATATCCTCTATGGTGCCGGTGCAAAGATGGAAATTGATAGCATGCAACGGGTTAAAACCACTGGTAATTTTCACATGCAAACTTTGCTTGCGAGTGTTGCGCTGGCGATTTCATAAATTGTAAGCAATTGCCTGATATAAGTGATTTTAGATTTTTTTTTTAATTCTATGATCGATTCAGTCTTGCAAAACAATCTCTTATAAAGACGTTTGTAATTTCTATGCCTGGCCGAGTTTTTTTAAGATCTGCGATGTATTGGAAGCATCTCTTTGACCGCATATCTTTGGGCAACATGCGAGGCCTCAGTTAGTCACCTCTGGTATGCAGCTCTCGCGTCACTGTCCAGCTTCGTTGCCATTAGGAATTTTCTATTATCAAGCGTTTGCATCTAAGTAGCAAAGTGCATCTATGACGGCAAGGTAATAAAAATAATATTTATTGTGACGTGTAATAGAAAACTTAATAATATCCACGGATGCTAAAGTCCTAGCAGAGTCTGGAACGGCACTTGCATTGATTATGAATGCAAGAGGCTGGCGCGACAATAGGTTCATAAGTTAGCATTCTTCCTCCCCACCGGCAAACTTGGCCACACAAATGTTGGCTGTGTTCGGGCCACACACTCGTATGGTTGCTGTGTGAGTGAATAAAGCGGGAGCAGGAATGTGTGACGGGATTGCGTAATTTAGTGGCAGTCTCTCTCTTTGTGCTTCCAGCCTTTTGTTCTATTGGTACTACAGATACCTGTGATAAGATCAGATACAATACCTGTGTGAAGCTAATCTGAAAATGAATCCTATTTTCACTTCTAATTCTTTGTAAATCCGGTCTTCATCTATTTTTAGTGATTGTATTTTTTCTAGTTTGGTAACTTGTCATTATATACATGCTGCAGCAGATTGGTACTTCAGTTCTGTAACTTGTACCGTCCTTATATTAACTCTAGTCGATATTTTACGAAGCTGGGAACCGAAAAGAGAAGCCTCGTCTTTAAAGCTAGCGAAACCTTGGTATTAGCGGCAGACTGCGTGAACCTCGTGTAAGGGGGAAGATAGGTTATCGCTGCGTGGTGCGCTCTCCTCTACGCGACTGCGTCACTCACGTTTATCACGTGTTGGAGTACACGTGATAAAATCCCTTGGGTTTTACCCGTTTGCTCACTTATTGAGGGAAAGTTATTGGTCAATGCCTCTGGCTGAGCACGTTCGCGGCCACTCACGCTAGTTTTTTGCTCTGACCAACGCTAGTTGGTTGCCCTGACCAACGCTAGTTTGTTGTTCTGACCAACGCTAGTTTGTTGCTCTGACCAACACTAGTTTGTTGTTCTTTCTACCATACGCGCGCCATCATTTCCACCTACAGCCTTGCTCGCACTGAATGTAGACTAGCAAACCCGGACACGATTCACAAGACAGCGTATGTACAAGTCCCTCGTGCATGGAGTAGCTGTAGGTGTTCTCAGCTCCGTGGGGGTTATTCTATGTAAATAACGTCACCAGAGCGACGTGTCTAATCATCTTGAGATGTCCAATATATCTTGTTCCAGCTTGTGTCGTTCTTAACTGCATGGTGTTCTGTAAAGTTCGGAACTTGACGTCATGGAATGATCCCTCGCTTGCTTCTGAGGATAAATTCACTTATTTTGTAAATTAATCCATTAATTTATCACTCACGCTTGGTACCATGATTATATCTTCAATAACAGCTCTCGACTATTCCATTTCTTATGTCTATAAACCGTCTCTAGAAAACCCGAGGACCAAATGTCTCACTGCAATGAAGTAAAATTTTCCTATCCTATTTCCGAATGAGAGTTAAACTTGCTTACCTCTAATTCCCTTCAATAACCACTAGCGTTTTGGGATAAAGGTTGCCTTACTACGTTACAATGTTGTATTTTTGTTACCCTGAGAAATGATTCTGAAATTAACTTTGTTTATTATTTGAATTTTTTAGCAAGCAGCCTTGCGATTCTGTAACCAACACAGCATAAGAAGTGACGCATTTAGCCTGCCATTAAATGTGATGTCAGCTCATATAATAATGCGGATTTTCGTTAGGATGCTACGTAGTGAAGTAATTTCTGCTAGGAAACATGATTTAATTGTGATTAAATGTATGTGAAGTTGTACATTTTATTACTGTAACTTTTGATGTTTTTCGCTCAACGATTTGGTTTCACGTTCATGAAATTATAAACTGAAAAAATGGATTTGACCTAGTCAATGTTTCTCGTTCACCAAGTTTTCAATTATTTTATTTGTTGATCTATTTGTTACCATCTATTTGTGACCAAAAATATACTAAATGTATAATTTGATTCACTTGTGTAGACAGTGCATTTTTTCTGCAGAGTTGTAATGCTTTTCAATTGATTTCTAGTGCCACAGGAAATAATGTTTCAAGTTCTCAATGGAATTATTTATGACGGACCAGATACTGGGTCTGGAGTGGCAGCGATGCCGCTCCTCAGAAGTCGGCAAGCGCGTGCATGTATGCGGGCGGCCGCTGCACAGCTACTTCTGGAGTCTGTACAACAACGTGGGCTGCTTCTTGTTTGGCTGTGCCGTATCTCAGCTACTCACCGACGTCGCTAAATACTCCATCGGCAGACTCAGACCGCACTTCCTCTCTATCTGCAATCCTGATTGGAGTACGGTACGTCTTCACGTCCAGAACACTTTCTGTTATAGTACATTAAGACAGGCATCATGATACAGTTTGTAGAAGACCTCACCTTATGTTAATAAACATCACATCTCCTTTGTAATCAAGTGCACAATTGTAAGATCGTCATGCAAACCTGCACGTTTTGCTTTTTTAAAGAGGGAAACTGAGGTATTTGAAACGTTAACTAATTAACACGTTTTTCTTAGCTTAGCTTCGCGTTTGTTTGTTTGTTTGTTTGTTTGTTTGTTTGTTTGTTTGTTTGTTTGTTTGTTGTTAACATTGACAACAAAAATTAGCCCACTTCTGATTGTTCTAGAGATCTGAAATTCGGCATGCAGTAAAAAACCACGTTTTTCTTGTGGACTAAAAAGTAGAAAATAAATTATGGTTCGCCCTAAAAAAACGTGGGTCGGGCTGTACATTCACCGTCAAATTTCCAAAATTTAAGTGTTGTGTGCTTTTCGCTTTAACCATAAATCTGCCCGACACACGTTTTTTTAGGGCGAACCATAATTTATTTTCTACTTTTTAGTCCACAAGAAAAACGTGGTTTTTTTAAAAAGTTTTTTTTTTAAGTATTTTATTTTACCTTTCATTTCGTTTCTGGATATTACCATGAACTATGAAACTTTATGCTTATTGGGAGAATAGTGAGCGTCGGGAAACTGGAAGGAAAGAATTTTAGGAAATATTGCAATTTGATTATTATATTGATATATATGAATTTAACTTAGAAGATGCAAAAAAAAAAATTTTTTGTATTTTGAAACCAGAGTCACATGAGAGTTGCTTGTTAAATTGATTTTGAACGGGTCTTGCTTTATTTAGTACTCATTAATTTGATTCGGTATGACAGGATTCTAAGATTGCAGGGATTAATAGTCCTAGGCATCGCTGGACTAAACTGCTATTTATATAAGTTAAGGCTTTGTAGTCAACGTACATAAAGTGTTCGTTGTGGCTTTTCTGGCTTTGAAAGACTAGAATACCGCTTGTTGATTGATATATATACATGACGCCATCGACCGCGTCGTGCGTGTGAACTGAATCACGCATCGCGTGCTCGTGACACAGCAAAATATTTATATCTTCGAGAAAGACAAGTCGTCATTTCAACATTGTCATTTCAACATTCAGAGGACAAGCGTTCAAACAGCTCAGGTAACAATTTCCGCCGTACAATCGTCCCGTCGTGGTTTTCGTTTGTTTACTTCTAGAACGAAGATAATTTACACAAATCTTTGCATGGGAAACGCGTATCAAATTATCGATTCGTCCCACATCGGGAATTCGCACATTATATGACTCATCGTTCGATATTATCATTACCAATTCAACGAAGCCAAGCACCCGATGTTTCTTGGCACAATTGAGTATGCATTTCTAACCTCATGCGTTGTTTAGTCTTGCTTCATTAAAATGATTGCCGTGTTCAGATCACGTGTGTGGACCCAGTGAGCGGCGGTTACAATTACGTCTTGCCGGACTGCAGCCCCAAGGACGAAGACCGGCTGAAGGAGGCTAGACTGTCCTTCCCTTCAGGCCACGCTTCCTTCTCAGCCTTCACCATGATCTATCTCGTGGTATGTCACTATAGCCACCATGATCTACCTCGTGGTATGTCACTATAGTCGCCATGATCTACCTCGTGGTATGTCACTATAGTCGCCATGATCTACCTCGTGGTATGTCACTATAGTCGCCATGATCTACCTCGTGGTATGTCACTATAGCCGCCATGATCTACCTCGTGGTATGTCACTATAGCCGCCAACTATTACCAGACTAACTGTAATTGTATACATTGTAGAAGTAATTACTTAATATATATTTTCTTGACATCCATTTTTCTTGCCTCGGTTAGAGGAAAATATTCACACGCTTCGTTGTTTCAGTTGTACCTGCAAGCACGCATGAGGCTGCGCGTGCGTCTCGTACGGCCGTTCGTGCAGTTCGCGTGTCTGCTGATGGCGTTCTACACGTCGCTGTCGCGCGTGTCCGACTACAAGCACCACTGGTCCGACGTGCTGTTCGGCGCCCTCCTCGGCACCGTCGTCGCCGTCCTAGTGGTCAGAATTTCATTTGTTCGCATTTTTTCTGTACCTCTCGGTGTTATAAGAAGGTCTTTTTGTGATATTTTCAACGCAAGGCTTACTGTTAAACATTTCACATGTGTACAAAACTGTACATGTTCAATGTTCATATCTTACTAGTACTATCCTCTTGTATCTCCTACGTGCTTTTATAACTTTCAACATCTACTTGTCTGACTCACAATTTTTATTTCATTAGATGAAATTGAATTGCTGCTTTCACCTCTTATTTACTTATAACGCAGGATATATTGCTATGTGTTTTAGCTGAAATTTACAAAGAAAGCACTAAACCAAGGCTTATCTGTCTGAAAGTTTTCGCTATGTTTTAAATGGTTCAGATATTTATGTACTTCAAAATTACTGTCAGTAGGTCTCAGTTGTACTTCTTAAACGCCGCCTATTCTGAAATTTCTAATGACGCGCTTGTGCTGCACCCTTTTGTATCGATTCTTCTTAACTTATTGTTTGCGTGACGTGTCATAAAAGCATAACGGTTCTTCGATTTCTCGATCCAACTTCGAATGCAGTTGTAAAAGAGTTGGTGAAATCTGGAGGAAACTTCCACTTTCTTCCTAACATCACATAATGATATATTTAATGCTAGACTTTTCACGAAACTGCTTCCTCTTTCCACGTCACACGTTCTGACTGGATAAGTGTTGACGCGCATACGGTAGAATTCCTGCCCTGATTTGTTGATAAGGTCATCGGGTCTGCCTCCATGGGTGTGTCGCGCTGTGGGTTTCATTGCTAGATCAACAGGTGTTGATGTCCGTCCATGTTGATGGCTTCATGAAGATACATTTTGTCGACTTTACTTAGATATCATTCTCAATTAATGATTCATTTCACTTGTATTTGACTTGTATCATTAATTGGTTTTATCTTTGTTTGGCTCGCGAGTTAGAGAACCCAAAGCACCAGAAGTGTTGCAAGCTTTGAGCTCCTGGTCACGTTCCTGTTGCTCTATTTCATTGGATTGATAGGACTTTTTGTTTCATTTTAAGGCAGCCGCTCTATAATATAGTTCCTCGAATAAAGTGGCTGGCAAACTATGATGGTGGAAACGAAGTTATCCAATGAAGTTGTATGCTTTCTCCATGAAAACATCACAAGAGTGAGTTTAAAACTGTCTCGAAAAATTCATTGTCGTATAGCGTTCTCCTCGCGGTGAGCTTTGCTCTCTGTTATGCAAGGCGCTTATGAATGTTTATGAAACTATTTATAATCGACGTATCATCAGTCCAAATTTTCGATCATCCTACTGGGCAGCTGTTTGCTCATTGCTTTCCTAATTCTTATGAAGAGTTGACGCGTTTACCGCTGTGCATGGATTGTTAGGTGTCATTAATTGTATAGATTTTAGCAAAAGAAAAAACTTACTGCTTAATTATTTCGAAACCCTTCATCTAGTATTGTATCTGTTTTTTATAGTTACAGTTTTATTTTAGAAAATTCACTATTCCTTCACCTACGGAGGATGAGGCGTGCATGGCATCTAGTTTATTGCATCACACTGCTACGTGATTAATGAAGCATATCATAATTTCACTCGTATACGGTAATTATGCAGGTAAAATTATCCAAATCTTTAAAGCGTTATAGATCGTAGTATGGTCATCAAACTCACCTTAATACTATTGTAGCCCGAGTCAGAATTCATAACTTCATTGCGTGTGCGATTGAAATGGTTTTATTCTGTCCACCGTCAGTGGTGGTGGCTAGGCTCGCAGTTACGCAGTAGAGGAGACCTCACCAGCGGTCGTTCCCTGCACTGGGTGCCTCTAGAGGAGCTCTCGCCCGGGGCCTCTCGTAGCTACAGGCCTCAGAATAACTTCCAACATGAGTCAAATCTTGAGGCTTCGGGAGTTGCGAGTGCATCTGCTCCTCAGACCTCTGAACATTTAACGATAGACGAGCGCCTCACGGCACACCGACAGCAACACCTGCATAAAATATTACACAGGGAGAAGTATGCGAATACTCAACCACCTTGCCAGTATGAGCCTGCAGCTCCCTACGTACGTTCAGCCCCTGTGGTCAACATTCTTAATGATCGGCATGACAGCCGGGAACCGACCAACATCTCTGATGCTTCTTTGTCTTCGCATGTATCGGCCTCTGACTGGAACGTCGTGCGCTCTAACAACGCCAGTTTTTACGACAACGTGCCCGTTTGTGTCAGTCCTGTAGAAAGTTTTGTCGGTACTGCTGCTGGATGCCAAATACATGGCGACGGTACTACCGATTCAGGCACGCGTTCAAAGAACGCAGACTCCGCGTCTGCGCCTCTCGGGCGACCTATTAATAATACAGCGCCCGTCAGAGTAGTGTTCAAGGAAACGAGCACTGCCGAACGAGCAAGAACTGTGATTGTATCTCCAACTGACCAAGTCCATTCTTCAAGCAGGGATACCGGTATTCAAACCAGAGGACCAGTTTTCATCTAACGATGGTAGGTCGGTCCTAGTTTCGTTCTGCGATTGCATCCGAATCCGAGGTATTTTGCGTCATTATCGTATTTCAATAGTGCTAACGATCTAATCAAGAATGTACATTACATGCGGCATTTATTTTTAGTCTTATATTGTATTGTAGTTACTGTTGTATTTATTTTGTATTGTTAGCTCGTTCTTTTCTTGCTTTATTGAGCCACTTTGCGTGCTCGTGCTCGCCGGGGTCCTCTCATTGTGCTCTTCGTGGAGGCCCAGAATTCGGTATTCTTCGGAATTATTAATTTTGCGTTCATTTTTATGAAGACCTTTTGACTTGCGAGTTACGTCTGCCGCCTGGATGCTTGTTTACATTGCAGATGAGTGCACGTGCGTCGAGTCTTCTTGACCGTGACGGCCTGTCAAGAATTCCAGCTTAACCATTTTGCTAATGGTTGGGGTTTTTAAGAAGCACGCGTAACTAACTTACCAAGCATGTTATAAGTAGCATGTTAATGTACACAGTATATGTATAATATATAGTTCGCTCCTATCACTGCTTGCTAACTATCCGCATGCAGCGCTTGTAGCCTTACCTGCATGAATCTGTTAACTACCATCTTGTTTACAGTGTCTCCTTGATACGTTAACTACCATCATGTCTACAGTGTCTCCCTTGATACGTTAACTACCATCATGTTTACAGTGTCTCTTGAATATGTTAACTACCATCATGTCTACAGTGTCTCCTTGATATGTTAACTACCATCATGTCTACAGTGTCTCTTGAATATGTTAACTACCATCATGTCTACAGTGTCTCCTTGATATGTTAACTACCATCATGTTTACAGTGTCTCCTTGATATGTTAACTACCATCATGTCTACAGTGTCTCCTTGGTATATTAACTACCATCATGTCTACAGTGTCTCCTTGATATGTTAACTACCATCATGTCTACAGTGTCTCCTTGATATATTAACTACCATCATGTCTACAGTGTCTCCTGAATATGTTAACTACCATCATGTTTACAGTGTCTCCTTGATATGTTAACTACAATCATGTATCCCTAATATGTTTACGTGATGTTTACAGGGCGTGTTCGTGACCCAACTGTTCGACGCGAGGTCCGAATGTACAGACGACAGCTTGGGTGATCACCGCTACAACACCAACACGTCGGCCGTGTCTGAGATGCAGCGCCGCCACCCGCGCATCGAGACGTGCTAAGACACTCTTTTAGTCTCAGCTTACAGCGCGCCAATTATGCTTGGGGACGATGCCAATTCAGTGACTAACTGGAGAGAACAGTGTTTACTTGAGCTTACATTTGTTATGTACGATGGATAAACTTTAGTTATGAATCATTTCTTGGCTCATTGCAGTCGAGTTCCCGCCTTCTGTTCAGGTCGTTATTTGTTCAGAGTATAATTTTGATAGAGTCGAAATTGAAACAGAAGCAGTATTTTAATCGACGTGCTCAGTTCTAATGAGCGATATCAGCTCGAATGATTCCTTCGATAAACTTGTCTTTATCTATTGAAGCGACCTACGTTCATCACGAACTAGACGATAAAATGTTCACACAAAATTCAATGCAACTTTTATATGCATGAATATGGAGCTTCCTAGAATGTTGACCGTCACTTCAGTCTTGGTTAAATTTTCGAACTATGTTTGACATAATATTATATGCGCTACAAACTAGGATTCGAACGTCACATTAGTGCCTAATGTAAGGTTTGATTTGTTGTATTTACCCTTTCAAAGCCTACGGCTCGGAAAAGCTGAGAGGTTTTGCTGATGCAATGACCACTAAAAAGAATGAATTGAATTTTTACAGTGTGATTGAGTTTTAGAGGTCGCTAATTTCAAAAGTTTCTATTTGATTGCTCAGGTGACGCTATTCTTGTTCACATGCGTGAGATAAAACTAAGTCTGTTAGCTTGTCCTTGTTGAATCATCTACTTTTTCGTCTTCCTTGAGGTGATTGTCATCTTGCATGTTAATTTAATTTTTCCACTTACAGATAAGAGTTCAGTATTCATAAAATTTGATTTAAAAATGGTTAAATATATGCACCAATTAGGCGTAATGAATCTCATTTTCGGTAATATCGAGGACCCCTATTAATTTTAATTTCACCAATCAAAGCATTTAGAAGACCAGCAAGAGTGAAGAATCACAAATGTAAGAGCATGTGACTCTTATTCTCAAAGTTGTTCGTTGTTGCGTGCGAATAACTTTACCACACGTGTGTTTCCATGTTTTCTATTTGTTGATGAATCACAGATATTAGTTTAAGTAATTCGTTGTTATATCAGTTTTATTATAGATAGAACTATGAGCTCTGAATAGTTGAACGATGTGAATGCTGTTGCAGCATTGGGTTTAGTAGACTTGTTCTCTTATAAAATCTAACGCATGTGCCAGAATGTATGATTAATTCCGCCCTAGGGTTAATTCCTCAGTTACCGAACGAAATGCTCCAGGCATGCCGTTCATTACAAATAGATCCTTATTCGTCTTCCTAGACGATGCTTGGTAATGAATCGCTGTCCATCATTAGGATGTATGTTAGCCTTAAGCTTCTGCTCTTGAAGGTTTAGCGCTCATTCATTAAAATGACGGGTAATTGGTTGACGAAAGGATGGCACTATAATTTAATGAATATTCACGAAAAGTAACGATTTGGTGAAGTAAATTTCTTAAATTACAAAACAAAATTCCTTATTATTCGAAAGCTTCTTGCACTGCCGAACAAAATAGGAAACAGAGAAAGGTATGAAGATAATAATAGCTTATAGGAAGAAAGATCAATGTTTTATATTCTCTTTCACATTGAACATTTAGAATAAATCGATTCTCGATTAAAACATCTTAGTGGTGTGAGAGTCTGAGACTTCCTGCAGGCCGGTTATCTCCCACGATTGTCCACATTTCTTGCTAAATTTATTAGGTCTAGTGGAGGATTACAGTAACTTGTTGTTTACCGTAAAATATCTAAATCAAACGAATGAAAAGGTACAGATTGTTAGGACTTTTACACTTATCCCTGCATAACCTATCATAGAATAAACTCATCTTTTTTGCTGTTCCTAAAAACTTAAATTGGCATGCCCATTGAAACATAGTCAAATAATGCACGTCCAGGTAATCATATAAACTTACTACTGTCTCGTCAACATATTACAAATTTTTTCATGTCCGCACTTAACTATTCGTTGTAAAATAGAACATTCGTTATAATTACAAAATAATAAGCTTTATGACTGGTAGGCCATAGTTTCGCTGTTCCTTCTTGCGCTCAAATTCTTCTATCACTTCAATAGAAGAGCTGCCATCAAGTGTTGGTAGCAAATGTTGATTAGCGTGGTAAGAGAATGAACATATTCGACGTTAGTAGAGATTAGTTGCGCAGAGCTTAACTAATCTCGACGTTGGTAGAGATTAGCTGCGCAGAGCTCAACTAATCTCTACGTTGGTTTTAGTTGCGCAGAGCTCAACTAATCTCTAAGTTGGTAGAGATTAGTTGCAAAGAGCTGAACTAATCTCTACGTTGGTAGAAATTAGCTGCACAGCTGAACTAATCTCTACGTTGGTAGAGATTAGCTGCACAGAGCTGAACTAATCTCTACGTTGGTAGAAATTAGCTGCACGGAGCTCATTTGAAGCCATAAACGTCCTCGTCATAAATGCTGCTCTCGTTGCTGTCGTCGTCGTCGTCGCCCCTGGCGGCGCGGTCGAGTTTCCTCCAGTCCAGCATGCCTCTGATGTCGTCAGGCACAGACACGTCCATGTAGGTCTGCTTCTTCCTCTTGCCGCTGCCGCTGGCGAGGTCTTGGGATTGTAATGATACATGAGCCTCATGGGAAGATAATCTATATAAGCATCATAGTAAGATAATCTTCTAGATGAGCGTTATGGCACGGTAATGATATACGAGCGTTATGGCGCGGTAATGGTACATGAGCGTTATGGCACGGTAATGATACATGAGCGTTATGGAAAGATATGGATGTCTTGAGAAGTATTGGTTTATAAGCGACTCAGGAAGTTAAGGATATTTGAGTGTGTTGGAAATAATTTTCTGAAACTAGAATAATTTAATGACGCAGGGGCCCACCCAAGAGCGGCAACATGAAATTCCATATATGGTCTTCAAAGATGCTTCATTGAATATTGAAGAAGGTTATGATTTACTTAACTGAGAGACTCACTTAAGCTTTCCTCCATCATTGAAGACAGATCGGCATCCCTGAAACACAGTAGCAGAAATTAACCTGGTAAATAATAAAGAAATGGGAGTGTATAATTCAATATAAGCCGAATATTATTCATTTAAAAAGTACTTTCTAAGACCACACTTCTAAAAGAGGCCGGTGTGTCTGATATTACAAATGTACAATGAATTTCTTATTTTATTTTCACATATTAAAAAAATTTCTAAATGTTTCCTTTTTTGCTGTCAATTGATTCATGCATTGTCCCCGACTTTATGCCAGTGTGCAAAATTTCAGATCGATTGGACATGTGCAAGTCTGTTAAATGTAAGATTTGTCGCAGACAGACAAACAAATAACAAGAAGTGAAGTTAAGTGTGGTAAAAAAATTAGAGAATGTCATAAACTGTCCTCACTAGTATCCTCCACTTTAGGCACTCATTTTGAGAAAAATTATGAGCAACACGTGAACATTTTCATTTCAAAATAGGAGCTACATCAATTTTAATTAATGCTAAATTTTGCATATTGAATTCAATTCTTTATAGTATAGTGACATAATGACGAAATAATTTTTTGTTTAAAACCACCATGGTTTTCATAGTATCAAGAATTGCTGGGTGGTTAGTGTAGCTTCATTCAGGTAGGTCATAAATTGAAGTAAACACAAAGAACACTTATTCCAGAGGGTACTTTAATTATTTTCAAATAACGGGTGCGAGAGTGCTTGATCAAAAAGCAAGTACGATATGAGGACATGCATACCAGCACCGGCTGCGGGAGTTCATCACTTCATCATCAGACTCAGCATCATCAGAGCTCTCTTCATCAGGGTAGTCATTGCCATAGAAGTTCTCAGCATTCGAGTCCTCAGATTCGTTACCATCTTCATCATCCTCATCATTGTCCGGCATGTACACGGGAGCATTTGCAGCTCTGGACGGGTGTGTGATTGTAAACAATGAAATACAGGACTCGGCTAGTATTGGATTACCAATTATTAAATTCAGCTTACATAAGAGTACAAATAATTAAGATGCATATGTAGAATGATGCAAAGAAATGAGTATAGTAATGCAAGGGTATGGAGCCCTAGATTTAATGCTTTTGAAGGTACTTCGAAGCAACAATGCAAATTAAGTGATAAGGCCTAAAAAATATTCAAAAAACTTACTGATAGATGTCAAAGTCTTCAGCAGCAAATCCTTGTGGCACTTGAGTGAGAAATATGTCGTACACAAAGGAGTTTTCTAGAGGTACCCCATTCATGCATATCATATCCTGCAATATGGAATGTTCAACATTGTACAGTACTAACCTGAAAGCATTTCTTTCATCATTGTAAAATGTAGGAGAAACTCAGATATTACTGCCATTTATGGCTGTCACCAAATGAAGAATGATTCATACAATGAAAAGAACAAAGAACTATGCTGGCAGCTATTTAAATCTATAAAATTCCCAACATTGTTAATAGTTTTTTTGGTGCTAACACACCTCTTCAGGTGGTATAATATCCACATCCAGCACTTCGATGTTGAGGCCATCATCACTGCTTGCACAATTTTTTGTTTCATCAGGAGTTGAAGGTAATGATTTTTGATCGTTCCTGCAGTCAGAACTTCCTCCCAAGCCCAGTTTAAATCTGTCTGTGGTAGCTAAGAATTGCCGTGATTCCATATCTAATTCATCAAGGCCCCGACGCTTGTTGACAATCTGTACAATATTGTTAGTAAATCTTTCTAACAAGTGTGAAAGGCCATTCAAGATAATTTACCTACAAATTTTACAAGATAATATTTTTACATATATACACACAAATAGATATCTCCATATGGTATATTGATATAAACAGCTAAATGTTTCCACTATTACCAACAATGTGTATATATGACAGATGAATTTTCAGTACAAAATATTAAAAGAAGGATAAAAAGCAAAAAAATTTGTTTTAGTGATGATTGAAATGTTTTAGAAATATTGCTGTGCATTTATCAAAATAGAGAAAGTTGTATACAACCTGTTTTGCACATTATACACACAAAACTTAGCATACTTGATAGCGTTTAGAAGAAGCAGCTGAATTGACAGTTGTTTTTCTTGGCTTTAATTTATTGGTTTTGTACTTGAAAAGGTCAGAGTAGCTTAGCCCCTTCTGTTCTTGTAGACGTTGTAGCTTTTCTTGTTTACATTTCAAAATGATGTTTTTGATGACAGGAGCAAGATTTTCTTCCTGCACAGTAAAAATTGAATGTTCAGCATCAGAGCCTATAATTTGTGATACAAAATACTCAAATGAGCAAAATCTTAGTAAATTTCAGCAAGATGTAAGCATAGTGAGCTTTCATCAAGGCACATTGGCACTTGTATATAGACGCAGACTAAATAAGACATATGTTGGTGTTCTAAATGAAACAGAATATTTAGGAAATGTTGAATTCTCATTTAGGTACTATATTTCCAAATTTCTAGATTTTTCTTGGAATTCTAACACCACTGCCACCGTATTGTTCATTTGACACCACCACCACATCATATAATTGATAAGGGCATCATACAATCAACACTGCTGCCACCGCATTATGTAATAAATGCTTTGTTTCATCAACAGACTAAAAAAAATACTTTAAAAAACTTTTTTAAAAACCACGTTTTTCTTGTGGACTAAAAAGTTGAAAATAAATTATGGCTCGCCCCAAAAAACGTGGGTCGGGCTGTAAGTTCACCATCAAATTTCCAAAATTCGTGTGTCGTGTGCTTGTCGCTTTAATCATAAATCTGCCCGACCCAGGTTTTTTGGGGCGAGCCATAATTTATTTTCTACTTTTTAGTCCACAAGAAAAAGGTGGTTTTAAAAAGTTTTTTTTTAAGTATTTTATTATCTCCTTTTTAGTCCTACATAATATTCATTTTATTTCAGTTGGCCACGCAAATGCATGAAAGAAAATTCTTTTCAAAGTTCTGTTGAAAATTGTATTCGAGGGGATACATTGGTGCATGTAATTTCATTTCATTTCATGCACCAATTGAATAAATTCCACGCATTTCATTGAATAAATACGCCTGGAAACGTGCAACAAATTATTGATTATTGTATTGTCATTGGGAGCTGAGCTTCCCTGAAAGTTTCAGAGAGCTAGCTAGCGGGAAAGTTGGTGAAATATCAATTGCAAGATTTGATCATCACAGACGGACACGAAAGCAAGCTAAGAAAAACGTGGTAACATCATTGTGTGCTTTAATGACTCTTAGTTGGAGAAAAATGTTTTTGTTGCTACTTCTGTGGTAAAATTACTAAATTAGCGATTTGGCTTGATATCTGTGCACAGCTTGGCAAATGAACTAGTAGCTCAAAAATTGCTTTCCAGAGCCTAGTAAAGTGATTCGTGAGTCAAAAAAATTTACTTGCAGCTCAAAAATAGCAGAATGTATGGCTTCAAAAACTCATTCATGGCTTGGAGAATATCATGGTATAGTATATTCAGCATTAAAGGATAGGCCTGTTGCCAGAAATGTTTCCACACTACATGTTTTCACACAAGATGTTTCCACACTACAATTCACAAGTTGCTTCTGTCTGATTTTCCAGAAAAGAGCCTAGGGTTTTTTCATTACTGAATTCATTAATTAATTATCAATAAGCCAACCCAAATTGCAAACCTCATCTCCATGTTTAAAAATCATTAAATACCTTTCAAAGAATTGCACTCTCTTCAAAGTCATTTCCTAAGTGAGACAAAATATGAAAATACAAAATTACTCTACTACATACTTGGGATCAAGTTTATTTTATATATTTTTCAATGGCTTCCTAAGATGTCAAAATCCTATAAAATGTCAATTTCCTTTTGACAATTGTGTTGTAAAGATATACCTAGAATTATTAAGAAAACAAAGCATTGATTGTATAAATGTCTGCAGTTTTTATTCTGGGAAACGTGAATCAGGCATTTTTATCCTTCTACATGATTTTTCAGTTTTGATATATTACTTTGTAATAGCATTCAAGATTTGGCAAAGAATAAATATCAAATAATGTTCAGAGACACAAGCATGGAAAATATCTACCTTTTGCTTTTGAGCAATTAAAATATCAGGCAAAAGTTTTCTCAAATGCCTAGAATGAGTATTCTTTTATGGGTGCTTTTCAAATTGTTAGTACAAATAGGCAGTTGTTCTAATTTATTTTTGGATAAATTGGGAAAAAGTTTTTGGAATCCCTATTTTCAACTCAGGCTTTTAAGCCAGGACTAGAACTTTCTCAAACCCACTATTTTCAGCTTATTTAAAATATTGGGCAGATGTTTCCTAAATTTGTGGCAAAAAAAATTCATGGGTGATTTTAGAAATTTGCAGATAAAAAAAGAATTTTTTTCTTATTTTTTCTTTGTTGAAGATACAGCAATCCCTTGATTAACGCGGTTAATAAATCCCTGAGTTTTACCGTGTTAAGCAAAACCGCGCTAATCAAACTTAAGAATATATGGGAATAATTATAATGAATCCTCAAAAATAGCAAAGGAAAGGAAAATTATGTAGTTTGATTTGATAAAAGTGAGCAGTAGATATGGCAGCTATCTTGACCAGTTGAAGGCTAACGAGTAACTAGCCCTTTACGCACTGAATTAGGTTTCAAAAGTGAAAAAACAATCTGAATTACTTTTCAGATCACGCGCAGTCTTTGTGTTGTACTGGCAGTAGCGGCACGCCTACTCCATCGAACGTCGTTCAAATGAGTTCACAACATGTGACGCTACCGTCACACTTGCGGCTAGACTCCAAACATGTAATTACTCTCGGTAGAAGCTTTTATTTTCTGTATGACGAATTCATCACACCAGGGCTTAAAGGGCTAGAGCACCGGCATGGCGCTCTTACCGGCGAACGTTGCCGAACTCGACCATTCGAGTTATGAACGAGACAAGGCGCGGTTAAACCGACTCTGTAGTCAGCACGAGTGCCTACGGAACGGGACCTTATTTAAAGAATTATTGGCTGAAATTCATAAAGTAACAACATTTGGTGAATTTTTCCAAAAGTCGTAACAAAAGTAACAACATAAGATCTAATAAGCAAAAAGTAACACTTTTGTTACGAACGTAACACCTCTGGCTAGAGGTGGGAAAATGATGCGTTGTTAAAAAAAAAGTCGCGCTAATCAAAACTGGCACCGCGTAGATTAAGGGTAGGTCGCAAATTTTTTTTCCGCGTTAATCAAAACCGCGGTATTCAAAACCGTGCTAATCAAGGGATTGCTGTAGTAGGAAAAGGATATAGAAGCAAGTGAAATTGCCAGATTCACATATATTCTTATTCAATTCAAGTGGCTTCTGCCTTCTGCTCATTTTCCACTTTATATTTTCAGGACTGCAAGATTACTGTCTGGGCTCTCTGGGGTGAAATATATCTATTATTTGAGGCTTTGAGCCACAACTACAGCTTATCTGCAATTTTAGGAGCTGCAAAATTCCTGTTACATGAATTATATCCTATCTACTTAAATATTGTTAAATATATGTAAACTGCACACTGTTACATGAACTATATCCTATCTACTCAAATATTGTTAAATATATGTAGACTGCACAATCAGGCTGCAAGATTCAAAATTCATCAAAAAATTGTCACTTCTGAGCTGCAAAATATTATTCTTAAGTTGGGTAAATGCACCATATTCCAACACTGTGGGTAATTCTGACACCTCTCAACTTTTTCCTTTATATTAAGCTTTGTCTTAGTTCCACGCATGCATAGATGGTTGAAATAGTGACATCATACTATTGCGCACAATATTTCCGCAAAACACTAGGTCTGGCGGGAAAATGTTAAGATCCGCAGAGCAAAACTCCACATCAGCCAGTGAGAACATCGAAACATGTGTGAAAGTTGATAGTTGACCTTGCTTTAGCAGCTTTACTAAATAGTGATAAACTGTTTGTGTAGAAAGAGTATTATGGTTTGAGACTTAAGTCTGTGAATATATTAGGAATCCTTTAAATATACTTGTATTTGCTAATTCTAAGTGTTAAATAAATTAATAGATGATTAATTCAAGAGATGGTCTTAGGCACATAAAAACTAATTCCAACACAGGGTGTTGGAATTAGTTTTTGTTGTATTCCGAGCTGCGTTGTATTTTGACATAGCTTACACAGGATGTCAGAAATACGAATTTTTATTTTGAAGCGCTGTTGGAATTAGTCTCACAATATGCCAAATTTAGTCACACACAGACTGCCACAGTGTCAGAATTCAGCAATTTTCTAGATTTGAATTCTAAAGGCTTTTAAATAAATATGGCAACAGTTTGTGACGTTATATCATTGCTGGCGCATAGTGTGGTGTTTTGAGAGTGACATAAAGCAATCAGAACTCAATTTGCACATAGTCACATAGACGGTGCTCTATTTATAGCCATTCATTTCTTGCTACGTCCTACAGGTGTCAGAATATGGTGTGTTTACACTAGAAAAATTCCAATCTAGATTCTTGTTAGATTAATTATATACCCTCTATCTAATTAATAACAAAAATACACTATCAGGCTGTAAAATTTACAACAATTAAAACTTGTCACTTTAGCCATTTAGGGCCATAAAATTTCTGTAATAATAAGGGAAATTCCAATCCAGCAGAGCTTTTTCATGCTCACATGCTATCATAATGACAAACCAGAGATTTTTTAGAATCAGTTCATTTTCAACTTCCTCATTTACCTAAGATTTGAACCAATTTCCTATGTATGTCATAAGGCTGGTATCCAGGATACTTTACTGGTCTACTTATAGGACTCAAAAATGAACTTGAGGGCAAGTCTAAAAAACTCTCTGCTTTGCCACTATGCATGCTATTGATGCTAATGTGTTGGAAAGAATCAAAGATCTCTGAACATCTGATGATCTGATCAATGATCATTATAGGGTGAATTAAGACATTTGTGGTATATTCAAGAATCAAGATCATAAAATCTTTCCCTACTTTTTTGCACCAGGGCTCAGTGTCACAGGTTAGGTATACTTACTTTAGATTTCAATGTTGTTACCAAAGGCAGAGTAAATGGAGTTTCCAATTTACTTCTCTTACAATTCACATTAATTTCATCTAAAGGCTCTGATTCCAAGGGCCTTTTAACGCAGATAATCTTGTAATCCATTGCATGCAGTATTAGATACAATGCCTACAAACACAATGAACCAAAAAGTCAATGATACTATTATTGATAGGGCCTACTTGCTCCGGAGTCCGGGTCTCCGACGAACACGAAACAAAATAACAAATGCGAGAACGAACATCAGCAACGCCAGAATTTGAGGACGGTTGCACCACGCAATTCCGTTGGTGCGGAAAACATACCAACAAGACTCTATCACTTTCAAAAAATGCAATGCTAGGAGTAGTAGTATGGGAAATTTCTAGCACTTTGGATCAGTTTCGTCAATTTCACGCCCAAGATACAATATTCGGTTTCGCAGGGTCTGGTTTCTTCGCTGACCTGCTCGCTATGGATCACCTGGCCCGAAGAGGCGGCGCCTACCGCCGCCTCGTCCGCCCTCTCGTTGCCTCGCACCCCCATGTGTCCGGGCACCCAGCAGTTGCTCACCGATCTTCGGCCCCCACCAGGCACACCAGCCCAAGCCAGGATTTCCTTGACGATGGGGTGTTTGCTGTTCTAAACTCTTAGAACCTGCACTACCATTTTAGAATCTATAAATACGGTGAAATCGTTTCCGGGTAATTCATCTATAAGACTATAAGGTTAAGGGTACAGTTGACACCGAGAAGCTCAGCGGTGTAGATTGATGAGCTTGAACCGAGTCGTCTTGACACCGTTGCTGTGTCGGCCGTAGCTGCACATCCCATTGCGCCGTTCGTCTTAGAGCCGTCGGTGTAAATATATATGTAGAGTTTGCACGCTCTGTAGATGCATGGTTGAGAAAGAAGGTTTTTCATCTCGGTTGGGTGTGTACTCTGCTTTAGTGGGCAGTTTTGGTCAAGGCAGAATGTGTTGATGGGGATGTGCCATGTTAGAGGCATCCTCAAACGTGACTGGTATGAGTATGACTTTCAGTTTATGAACCTGCGTTGTTGCAAGCAGTGTATCATAGTCTTCGGATGACGGGATATTGTACGGAAAAATGTTTGGTCGGTCTTCAGTTATAACGCTGAGCTATATGGGGGATAGAGGTAATTGTTTGAGGCGGGCTAGCATCTGTAGCGTGAGCTGTATTAGGCGGAGATAGAGTGGAGGTTCACCGCTCTCTTCATAGAGGCTAATAGTGGAGGATGTTCTAAATGCTCCGGTGTATGTCCTGATGGCGGCGTTGTGGACCGGGTCGATTAAGGAAAATATTTGTTTTCTTGATATCATGCATTCATGCGGATAGGTTCTTCGTGAGGTTCATCCTTCGGAGGCAGCTGCCCTTCAAACCCCGCAGGTGGAGCCCCCAAAAGAGAGCCTGTTGCCCATATCATGCCAATGAATTTAGCTACGGGGGATGCGGTAATTTGCGTGTCCTGTATAAACAATGGAGGGAGTTGTTCCTGAGAGCGGTTTCGTTTTAAGTGCATGGCCACGGTTTTCTAGCTCTAAAAGGAAAAGCCGCGGGCCATGGTCCACTGACTGGCGCGGTTAATGGCGGTCTGAATACGTACGGTGCTAATTACAATGCTAATAGTTTTTATAATAAAAATAATGGCGATTTCAGAGTTTATTATGCCGTAGGCCTGTCGCCGATTCTCATCATCGCAGAACGTTCACAGTTTGATGTGGTCTCGAACACACTACTCACTGCTCCCATTCTGGTGTGCTTAACCGCCCGGCCTCCTTGCGATTCTGACCAGAAACTGGCGCACAGAGCTGGGATCGAATAACTGCTAATTATTTAATGTATTAATAATTCCATCATTCGAATGCGTCATAATTTTTTAGTTTGCTCAAAAATAACCTGCATGTTTAATTTTCCGAAGCGCAAAAAAGATAATCTATAACTATTTGGAATTCAAACCAGTCATCACACCGCTTTTTTTTTATTCTCATAATTTCTCTCAACTCAATAGTTGAATAAATGCTATTAATCATTAGGGAAATTATGAGCCACGACACGAACACTCTTTATATTTCTGGAACAACGAGCCAGTGAAGGTAATACGTATGGTAGAGTCCGTCATGAGAGATGGACTGACGCATCTAAATCATCCGCCGATTACCTGTGGGAAGCAGAAGATGCAGAAAATAAATTAATGCAAGGAGAAAACGCTGAAACCTGCACTTATTAGTTTAATTCGATAGTTATAACTTAGAAGGTAAAAATGAAAGTGGCGCTACAAAAACCCACTTAGAATTCTTCAAATACATTTTTTCCTTAACATGATATTGTTTGCTACCAATGCTATTTCCTACAAACTTTCCTACGAATGCATGAAGAATATCATATTACTTCAGATGTAATGAAAAGAAAACAAAAAAATAATGTAATTTCCATAATTACATTCGTCACTCATTCAATGATTAAAGTTTGATCAAGATGAAAAGTGGCTAATATTTCCAAGCTTTGAATTTATCGCAGAACAATCTAGACAACTTTCATTTATACTCACGTTTCTTCTTAGCTTTAATGCTTCTTCTGGAAGAGCCGGAATGCTTGCGTTTCTTTGAAGTTTTATTGCCGCCTTGTGCAGCGCCCCCTTGTGATCCCCCTAGGAGGGCGACGTCACTAAAGCCCAGGAGTTCGCCATGCATTGCTCCTGCAGTCGGGGCTGCATTTAGCGCCGCCTTCTCCTTCTTGCTCAAGCGGAGTCTTGTCAAGTTCTCTTCCTCATATCTGAAAACGAGTTAAAGAAAACCAGTCAAGAGAATAGTCACATTTGACATTATTTGTTAAACGCGACTCATTATTTACAACTATTATGAAAGAAAGGTAGGACGTAGTCATTAAAATGTATCAATATATAATATACACGAACCATGTTACAGAAACTAAAAGTATAACACAAAACATATATAAGAGAGCACAATATTAAGAAAACAGAGATGCTTGTTGAGCCTATTGTCTCAAAGAAGTGGTGTTCTGACTTGGTAATTTCAGCCCGACGTTTGCTGGCTTTACGCTGCAAGGCATTAGAGTGCTCGATGACGTCTGGCTCGAGGCGATGTTCATAGAGAGCGTCCTGCATCATGGCGCTGTTGAGCAGCCGACGGCGCGCCTCTGCTACCTTCTCTTCGTCATCTCGACCATCCGCTGAGATATATAATCATTAATTAAAGAGTTGGGAAGACAACTTTCTGATAATCACAATAAATACCCTCTGCCACCATCATAGAAAAATTATCATTATTATTTTTTGTAAAGCAAGCATCTGGTTGAAAACAAATATTGATTATTGTAAAGACACTATTACAGGAGTTCCATAAAAAGTAGATTTAATTAAAATTTATTATTGAACATGAGAAAACTTGTCAACGCGATTCATTTCAAGACCAAACCGCATATGTTATTAGGGAATTGGCTCCAATAAATTTATAATCAAACATAATACCGGTACTAACTGATAAGAAACTAGTGAGTTGTTCACAAGGATATTCACGTGAAAAGAATAGTAGATAGTAGGACATATTGTAAACTTTCAACGAGTTGAGAAGAAGTGCGATATGAATGATGTTTTTAATTCCTAAATCAATTATTCAAACATGTCGAAATAATTACAAGCAGCATAACCTAAAAAGTAGTTGAGTTATTTCACTAGATAAAGTTCTAAGAACATTGTCTAGATCACACCAAACTTACAGAATTTATTTTGCGACACTCGAGGAACTTTGTAGGCTCTAATGGAATCGTCCTCGGGAGCAGCGCCTGGGATTGGCAGGCCACGTGATGAGAGGTTCTCGTCATCTTCCTGCTCCTCGTCCTCCTTGTCTGTGTCACCGGCGGTGAAATCATCCACCGTCAAGCCTTTGGCTTCATTTGCTGCCTCAGTGGAACCGTCAGCTGCTCCTTCCCCATCAGCCTGTGGGCAACATTTAGTAGAGACAGAAGCTTACAGACGATATTCATAAGAGGAAGTATTAAGTTGGGAGGAAGACGAGCGTGTAACAGACTAAGTTGATTTAACAAAGACTTCCATGTGCCTGTAAAGTAACACAAGCTTAGTATCAAATGAATGAGATCTCTAAGAGGGGGTAACAAGGGAGGCATCTCATACAATTGCGATATGATAAACTCATTAGCTAATGTGTTGGCATAGTGATAATGGTCACAGCGACTCTTCACAATTTACCTATTGACTGTACAAAACCGCCAACAACCTTATAAGCATAATGATGATAATACAGACTGTAATAATAATCCCTAGAAGTTGTAAAGGTAAATGAAATCTATCCTCAGATCTATCTTAGAAATTATCTATGGAACCACAATTCAGACATCCTGACAAGGATCCCAAAAAGTGATAACACTGTGACAAATGAGCACACACCAAAGGATAATTATGAAAAAATATAACTCGGTACTCACTGCAGTGAGTGACAGAGCGCGCATTTTCTAGTCGACAAAAACTTGAGGTCACGGACGGACGGACAGACAGATAGACAGATGGATGGACAGACAGACGGACAGACATGGCGAGCACAATAGTGCATTTTTTCCATAAATGAGAAAATGCGCTAAAAACTTAGAAATCAACTTTTCAAACAAATGAGAGAACAATGCTCCATTTTAACAAGTGAATGACCAGTATAATTAAGAACTTTGTTCAAGATAAAAGTGTGACCTATTGGCTTATACAGGACGAGTAAAGATTTAACAAATGAACAAATCAACGACACAAATCATTGAGAATGCTTATTGAAACTTGAAAATGTTAACTGAAATTGCAACTCTTGCACAATTTTTTTTCAAATGATAGTATTTAAATTGGTCATGAAATTGATCCCATTTGCTTACCTTTAAATACTTTTCAATTTGATGCTTCAACTTTGTCTCATAAGGCCTCAATCTTTCGATGACAATTCTCTCTTCTATTAAACGATCTAGAACAAAAAACAATTGTATTAACACCTTATGGATAGGAAATAAATTGACAACACTTTACAATTGAAACCTTCTCATTTTGATTGAATTTCATATTGTGGTTCTCATCTGAATTTATATATAAATATAAATAAGGCAAAAATTAGCATCTCAGATAATTGAAAATAGGCCTGCATTAATATTTTTATAGTTACCTAATGTATATATATATAAATAAATATGTTTAAATGCTACACTAGTAGCTTAAGGCACTTAAGGCAAGCCTTCTTCTTATCTCTCCAAATGCTTCTTGAAAAAATTGGGACAATATACCCATGTATGTTCTCAAAGAAGTTCTAAGTGGAGGTCCATTAACGTAAATGGGATCTTCCAAGGACCAAAATCAAATGTTAACTAGCATAAAATTAAAGGTAAAAATGTATTTTATCAATCATCTCATGCTTTACAGTGCATTTGATTTGAACAAGCTTCAATTTCCGCTCCATTCATCTTTTCTAATAATACTTGAAAAGAATAATAGCCTGTCCCCTAAGTTAATAATCTACATGGTAAGAATGTGGTTACACCCTTAGAATGTTCTGCCTTTGCAGTAGGACTTCCAATAGGCAACAGCCCACAACTTACGCACCAACAACAGGGCTTCCATTAAGAGATTTTCCTGACAGCTTGAGCAATGTAGTGAACATCAAGTTGCTCATGTAAGACATGAATGTGTGGTTCTTCAGGTCAAGCAGGCTCAAACCCTGCCCACAGAGAGCTCAATTTAGTAAAAGTTCAGGCAGTAAAGCAGTCTACCATAACATATACCATACAAATTCAGGTGACTTTGCTTATCCACAAAAAATAGCTGAAATAAAAATTATACAACAAGCGAGTCCTCTACTTAAATTTTCATTTGAATATGTTTGTTAAGGTACTTGCACTCTGATATTTTAAATTTGCTAAAGCTGATAAGTACCACATACATGGTTTGGAAGCTGTAGAAGGATATTGTATCAGACTACATGATGACCTATGAAGGGATAATTTTATATTCTTTTCAGTAGATACTTTGTACTTGATAATGGATGAAAAAAAAAAACAGGTGTGAGTTTTCAAATTTTCAAACTTGTATTGAATGCAACAAGTTGGCATCCTTGACCTTTATTTTACATTAATTAATAGTTTAGAATATTGAAATGCACTAATATTGAGTCTAAATAACCTGTAAATCTCAGTATCTCTTGCAAGGCAATAGATTTTAAATAAAACTTATCAAGGGATTTTTCAGCCACAAAAATAATAATGAACAGCAGAACTCTGCCACTATGGCCAATATCATATGTTAAGTGATTTGCCCAGATGACTTTTCCAGCCAAGATGGTAAAATTTATACCTATTACTGAAAGCTTGCAGTTCAAAGATAAATATTATTAATAACATATCCAAAAAATTATCTAGCAGACCAATGCAGAATTCAGAAAATAGGGCAGAAGGTACAGTAGGTACCGTTAAACGGGGTCAAAAGGGAAGGGCGGGGTAAATTGGGACACGCATCCCACATTTCATAGAAATGTTGTAGCAGCTAAACTAATCAAAATTTGCAAAACTAAAAATAGTGGCTATTATGTATAAAGCTAGTCAAGAAATCAAACATTTACTATCTCTAAAAAATCGCTGAAAAAATGTGTGATTTTGGAAAAGTACCTCTGCTAAGGTCTGGAGTAAAAAAAATATTCGCCATATTAAAAAATTTTACTTGCATAAAAGTTGCACTCAGGTGTCGGCTTGAAAACGCAATTGACGGAATTTGCCTATCTCATTAAAAAAAATTTGGCAGCCATTTCCACGCGACGGGGTAAAAAGGGACACCCCCCCAGGGTAATTAGGGACACCCATGAAAATGCATTTACAGTAGAACCTCAGTTAGCAAAGGCTCCAGTTGACAAAAAAATTGATTACCGTTGTTAGGGTAAGTAGTGTAATAGCACTTTTTTACAGTTAGACATTTGGATTTTTGATTTTAAGTCACCTCGGACGTGAGCTCGTTCAGATAAGCACCGAAACTTGTTCATTGCTATATGATCCACCACGGAGAAAGGAGACTGAAAGTAAGAACTTGAGCAAAGGGAACACACGGTTATATTTTGTCTTTATTTGTATTTGTCGTTTGCTTATTATAGTTTTCATTTATCGTTCTTATTCATCCTTTTTTTACCACTATACCCACGACATATTTGGGGCCGTGCCAGTAGTACATCGTAACTGGGTAGAGTACAGTTAAAGTATAGTAACGTTCATGATACCGTGTGTTTTTGGAGCCTTGTCTCTTGTGGTGGGTCCCCGTATGTGCCTGGCATCTACTCACTGGACTCAGCCCATTTGTTTCGTTTTTGGCCCACGTGATTTGACGATTGTTCGAGATGGCAAGTGTTCATGTTGGACATGATTCTGCGTCCAGCTTAGAAGAGATCGGCTTCATCAAAGAGAGCCTCGAACATTTCATGAAGTTTTTCTCAAGACTGGAGGTTAGGGAAATGTGGTTGCCAATTGAATGCCAAGAAATGTTAAGGCAGTTCAAGAGAAGGTGGCGTCATATTTCAACACCAGTAACCCCAGTAATGGAAGTGCTCTTTTCTGTCTACGCTGTAAGAAGACTGAAACTGCAACGCAGTACCAGTGTTCCAATGTCAAAGAGCCAAAGTTTTTTCAACGTTATAATTCTCGTCATTGCCCCCCCAAGGTTGGGACCCACGACACCGTTAAAGAATTTTGATTACATTTACCTCGCTCAGCGAAAAAATTCACTTATCAAAAAATTAGTGCATCATTGGTCCTTACAAAATTTTACATAGAATGCTATATATAGAATTGTGCACCGGGCATCATAGAATGAAAAGTAATTGACCAAAAGTATGATTTATTTCTCCAAAACATATGATGGTTGTCACTAAAACATTATTTTCTGTTTCAAGTATATTTTTCATGATCTTTTTTTGTTATAGCAAAATCACTTGACTCGATTGAAATTGTGTGAAATTACAAACCATCCTGTAAGCTTACAGATACAGAAGAAATGCTACATGGCTGCTTATATGAAGCTTGCAGTGGATGAGGTCGTTGTCAATGCTCAATGGCATGTCCCTGGATACAGCAATATCACATTAATAATACAGTAATTAATGAATATGGTAATATCATATCAATAAAGGAAAAACAAGTAAAAATCACAGAAAATATCATTTATTTTACATCTACATCATCTACAATGAAAGAGGAGGACTTCAGAGTACTGTTAGCAATGGATGAGTACTTTCTGCATGCTTCAAACTTTTTAAAATTAACTTTTATTGCAAGTGTCCCAGATTGCCCTGTTCCCAGGGGTAAATCAGGATGGTTTTATTTTGCCTCTGGCACCTTACGCATAGCATATGGAATTTTTTTTAGATGCCATTGGACAGCCCTTGCAAAGAGCTATAAAATGAGCCTAAACTTGTTTCTGAAATGTTTCATGGTAAGAAGTTATTAACAAAAAACCCTCAAAATCGTCCCTTTTTACCCCGTTTGACAGTACTCCTGACTATTGCGTCATGAATGAGATAAAAATGCATTTTTTATACTTAGGTCAAAAGGTAGATATATTCCTTGCCCAATTAGATTCCAATCTGGAATATTAGCCAGGAATTTATTAAAATCATAAGTAAAAACCTTTGTTGAAGTTAATTTTCAAAAATTGCAGATGAAAATAGGTTGTCAAGACTTATTTCAAGTCAAGAGAGTGGGGAAGGGCCACAGGAGCAGGCATGGAAAATATCTACTTGGCAAGCTGTGACTGAAATTTTTGAGCTGTGGTTTTATGGGTTTGCCAGCCCTGATTCCATTTCTTTGAGCCATGATTCCATTTCTTCAAGCCCTGAATTCCATATTTCAGCCATGAAAAGCCATTTACAAGCAGCAAACTTGTTTTATAAGTCCTGTACAAGTATTACCCCAAATCTCTAATTCTGCCCTAAAATTAATCATCAAACAGCAACACCATTTGTCTTCACTTAAGGGCACCGACTACCCTCCGGAAAAACTTCTACAGTTATTATCCGATCACCATGAAACTTCACATACATACGTAAAATGTAAAAATAAGAACATTTTGCTTTATGAATTTTTCGGAAAAATTGATAGAAAACGTGAAATTCATAGAAAACGGCTAAAAAGGGGTACTTTAGAAAATCTATCTCCTCCTACGACATCGAGACACGTATCATTCGATTCGTAAGGACCATACCTAAAAATTTGATGATCACTTTTCTCATTTTCCCCTTAGTTTTTTTATGCGCTTTTTATCCCATTTTTCTCATTCCCCCCCCCCTTCTCCCCCATATAAATAACGAACCAGACAGAAATTCAAAAAAATGATCATCAAATTTTTAGGTAATTTCCTTACAAATCAAATGGTGTATGTCTCATTGCTGTAGCTTGAAAACTGTAGGAGGAGATAGGTTTTCCGTGACAATAAGTTGAACTTTTCAAACTTTTCAGGACGGTGCGACAAAGTCCCGTGCGCCTCAAAATAGGCACTCAATGTAGCATGGATACCAAACTACAGGCTTCTGTAGCTTAATCCACTCAAGGATGCTAGCAGCAACTTGTAGCGCACCCCTCCGTACAAAGTTAGGAGGGTAACTGAGCTCAGATGCCAGATACACCAATATATGTAGTCTTGCCGCTGTAATTTTCTTAGGTTTATTTACTGAAGGAACTCCACCCCCCGCCCCCCGTTAAAGCCCGGCTGTGTGCGTCAATATTGCCGTACATGGATCGCAGTAGTATCGTTGGAAAGCTCAGAATGTCAGCTTTAAGATGAGACTAAGCATGTAACTGCAGCACAACTCAAGTAGAAACTATATTCAAAGTGTTCAGCAGCTAATTACTTTATATCTAATTAGTTAAAGAACTCTCCCACCCGCTTCCCTTTAAAGAGACGTCATGAACGTAAATATTGGCGTACAGCAATGGCAGTGGTACCATTGGAAAGAGCAGAATTCCAGCTTTCAGATGAGCACAAAAACCGGAAAACGCCAAAATTAAAAATTGTAGGGTAGTCGGTCCCCTTAAGTGGCAACTGGACATGCAATATTGCAATTGACTGCCCTGATGTGACTGCAACTATGAAATTTTTGAGGAAAGATTTTGGGTTGACTTGCTATTACATTCTGCAGGATATTTTGGCAGCAGCCGTATTGCAAATAGCAAACCATGATCTTTAAAATCAAACAAAAAAAAAATGACATTGTTATTAGAGCCCCAGGATTTCATACTGATCAAAATTATATACTTATCATTAGAGCCACAATATTTCAGAAAAAATATGACTTTTCCAGCCCTGCACAGGAGCAAGTAAAAATTATGACATAGGCCAAATTCATAGGTTTTATCGTTTGATATTCTGATACATGTGTGGCTTCTGCCAAATTATCCATTTTAGACTTATAGAATAGAATAGAAGTGTTGGCACTGAAGAAATAGCCTATTAGAAATAACCAATATTTCAAATAGGCCCATGATATATATAAGAGTTATAAATTAACTATATTTATAAATTCATTTATAAATTAACTAGGTAGGCCTAGCCTACTAGGCCCAGTGGTTAAAGTTCAGAGTATCAAGATTGGCGCAGAGAGGTGCAGGTTTGTTCCCAGCTCTGTCTCTGTGCGACAGTTTCTGGCCAGAATCGGCAAGTAGGGCAGGTAGTTAAGTTAAGCACAGCAGAATTGTCAATTGTAGCAGTGTGCTGCAAGTTCCAGAGTCCAGACCGCAACAAGCTGTGAATGTTCTGCGATGTTAAGAATCGGCAACAAGCCTGTGGTCCAATGAATGCTGAAACCGCTAATATTATATTATTATATAAATTAACACATATCACTAAAAGATTTTATAGCAAGTAAACCATTAATTCTAAAATTTGGATACTTATTCTTCTTCAGTAAAACTAAAACTGCCAATCTGTGTTCAAAGATAATTTAGTTAGGCTAACTATAACATTAACACATAATAAGGCAGGAGTCTATCAAAATCATTCTGGGGTTTGGCGACCAAGATCTTAAACATAAATATAGGGTAAACGAAAACGCGGTATATTCCAACACATTAAGGACGCATCGAGAAATGAAAAACTATAAAAAAATAACCATATGCGTTACTCAAGTTCTGTTTGCTTTATGTGACTCGCAAAACACCGTACTATGCGCCAGCAACGATGAAACGTCACAAAATGTTGCCATATTCATTTAAAAGCCTTTAGAATTCAAACCTACCAAATCCCTATATTCCGACACTGTGTGTGGCAATATTCGGCACGTGGTGAGGCATATTCCGTCCGCGCTTCAAATTCTACTGATACCAAATGCCGTCATCCACGTGTTCGAATTCCGTTCGCTGTGTGAGCTGTATTGGAATACAACACGGCTTCGAATTTGAACACTGATGAATATTGAACACTGCTTAATTACGCTTTTAATTAACAACTATTGAGCTTTTAATTAAGCAAATTTTAATTTTTGTACATAGCTTGGAACGATCTGTGTGTAATACAAGTATACTTAAAGGATTCCTGATATATTCACAGACGTATTTAAAAGTCTCAAACCATAATATTCTTCCTATACAAACAGTTATTCACTATTTGGTAGAGCAAGGTCAACTGTCAAATTTGACACATTTTTTGATGATCTCACTGGGTAGCGTGCATTGTCTCTCTTTGGATCTCAATATTTTCCCGCTAGATGGCCAAGACCTAGTGTTTTGGCAGTAGTTCGATGCTCAAATGTATGACGTCACCATTTCAACCATCAACGAACGCATGGAACTAAAACAAAGCTTAAGGGGACTGTCTCGCTTAAAATTTTCAATTATGGCGTTTTCCGGTTTTTGTGCTCATCTGAAAGCTGGAATTCTGCTCTTTCCAATGGTACCACTGCCATCGCTGTACGCCAATATTTACGTCCATGACGTCTCTTTAAAGGGAAGCGGGTGGGAGAGTTCTTCAACTAATTAGATATAAAGTAATTAGCTGCTGAAATCTTTAAATATAGTTTCTTCTTGAGTTGTGCTGCAGTTACATGCTTAGTCTCATCTTAAAGCTGACATTCTGAGCTTTTCAACGATACCACTGCGATCCTTGTACGTCAACATTGACGCACACGGCCGGGCTTTAAATGGGGGCGGGGGGTGGAGTTCCTTCACTAAATAGGCTAAGAAAATTAGAGCGGCAAGACTACATATATTGGTGTATCTGGCATCTGAGCTCAGTTACCCTCCTAACTTTGTACGTACTACGTAGAGGTGCGCTACAAGTTGCTGCTAGCATCGGGCATCCTTGAGTGGATTAAGCTACAGAAGCCTGTAGTTTGGTATCCATGCTACATTGAGTGCCTATTTTGAGGCGCACAAAACTTTGTCGCGCCGTCCTGAAAAGTTCAACTTATTGTCACGGAAAACCTATCTCCTCTTACAGTTTTCAAGCTACAGCAATGGGAGATATATCATTCGATTCATAAGGAATAGCTCTACAAACTGCGTGTATAGTTTTTCCGATTTCATTATAGTTTAGATTATATATTGGAAAAAGGGAGAGGGGGGAGAATTTTTTTTTTTAAATCCCCCTCCATCAGGAACAAATTCAAAATTGAAAAAATTGAACACGTGAACGCTAGATATGGTCTTTACGGATCAAATGACATGTGTCTCGACCTTGTAGCATATATACCGTAGGAGGAGATACCTAGATTTCTAAAGTACCCCTTTATTTCTTTGTTTTCTATTAATTTCACATTTTCTTTCATTTTTTCAAAAAATTCACACGAACAAAAACAATTTTGTTTTACATTTTACATATGTCATGATATGTGTACCGAATTTCAGAATGATCCGCCCAAAGGTATACCTACAATTTATTATTTGTGCGAGACGGTCCCCTTAATATAAAGGAAAAACTAGAGAGGTGACGGAATTACCCACGATGTCGGAAAATAGGTACCGCGTTTACCCTACCTATAAATTCTATTTGAGTATACCTAGGGTAAACACGGTATATTCCGACATCGTAGGTAATTCCGTCACTTCTCTAGTTTTTCCTTTGTATTAAGCTTTGTTTTAGTTCCATGCGTTCATTGATGGTTGAAATGGTGACGTCATACATTTGCGTGTCGAAATACTGCAAAAACACTAGGTCTTGGCCATCTAGTGGGAAAATATTGAGATCCAAAGAGAGACAATGCATGCCACCTGGTGAGATCATCAAAAAATGTGTCAAATTTGACAGTTGACCTTGCTCTACCACCACTATGCAGAGTGTGGATGCAGCGTCGCCAATATATGGATTTTTAGGCCCAAAGCATCGCCGGCCATTCCACACTCAGGAAGATGTATATAAACAGGGAAATTTCTCGCGTAAATCAATTTAATTATATTTTTTCGCGCAGGCGTTCGTGCAAATCACGGTCATCGATTCCGCGCCACGCAGCACTCGGCGCAGGCCGCGGAGCCGTCCAACACAGTTTTCATCTGAATGGAATGGCAACATTGTCTGTAGATGATTTCAAGTAACGCTGAACCAGCATTGCCAGATGGTATATTTCTATACCAGATTTCACAAATCTGGTATTTTCAAAAGGTGTCTGGTATGAATATTTTAGATCTGGTATATATGCCTAAATCTGGTATTTTCTGACTTACTGCAAATTTTGAGTTGACGCGTTAGCAATCTAGTTAACTCGTATCCAACCACAACACAGTGCGGATACACGTTTGTGTGTACGGTCAGTGTGATTACGTAATTTGCATTGCCGCACGTCCATATTTAAACTATTTTAGCTTTCTAAAAGTACGGCGCTGTTGGCGCACGGCGCATTTTTTTACCGGCATAGTACGGCGCACCGCGCAGGTCATTAAAATGACAATATAAATTCCCGCGCACCTGGCACATCTTCCTGACCATGGTTTTAAGGATGCGTTGCTGGGTAATTTTTAATGAAAAGCCATTTACGCTGAGTAATGACGAACTATTTACAAGCCACAAACTTATTTAAAAGGTTGCAGGCACGTGTTACCCCACATAACTAATTTTACCCTAAAAACAGTCCGATTGTACAGCAAGTGTCAACTGAACATGTAATAAAGCAGTCTGACTGCTCTAATGTGACCGAAACTACGCAATTGAAAAAACGTTTACATTTTTTGCGGGAACTCATCGCAACTGATTTCCGGACAAGCTTCGCTACATCGCATAGTGGCAAAGCAGAGAGTTTTTTAGACTCTGTCTCAAGTTCATTTATGAGTCCTATAAGTAGACCATTAAAGTATCATGGATACCAGCATTATCATACTTAAGAAATTGGTTTAATCTTGAGTAAATGAGGAAATTAAAAATGAACTGATTCTAAAAAATCTCTGGTTTGTCACTATGCTACATCGTAATCCATCCAACGTACCGGAAACCTTACTTTTTTCTAAATAGTTGGCCGAAGACTGAGAAATATATTAAATGCAAGAATTTCAATCTAAATGTGTCGGCAAGATCTTCTGAAGGCGAAAATTTGGCTACTGAAGCGTCGCCAAAGATCTTGCTATATTCATCCACTCTCTGCACAGTGGCTCTACCAAATAGTGAATAACTATTTTTATAGGAAGAATATTATGGTTTGAGACTTTTAAATACGTCTGTGAATATATTAGGAATCCTTCAAAAAAACTTGTATTCGCTGATTTCAAGTCGTAAATAAATTAATAGATGATTAAGTTGAGTGATGGATTTAGACCCATCAAAACTAATTCCAACACAACTTGAATTGGACACACACAGATCATTCCAAACTTTGTACAAAAATTGAAATTTGCTTAATTAAAAGCCTAATAGCTGTTAATTAAAACGTAATTAAGTAGTGTTCAATATTCGTTAGTGTTCTAATTCAAAGCTGTGTTGTATCCCAAATCCCAATACAGCTCACACAGCGAACGGAATTCGAATTCGTTGATGTCGGCATTACCGGCCCATTACGTACCTATAATCTTTAACTTTCACAATCCCATCAAGTCCAAATTTGCATTTACATTAGATTTCCGATTTTCATGATTATTGTGTATTAAACTACAAAGAAAATGGAATAATACAAACCTCTTTACTGTCATATTCATTATTTTTAACTGCTTCTATAAGAACATTAACACTGTTTGTAACGGAGTCAAGATTTTTAGCCATTTCATTCAACAACTTGGAAGCTTTCAAGGACTGTTCTTTGTAATCAATAGTACCGTTTTTATCAAATTCAGCGGCCATATTAAAAAAAAACCTGTAGCTAAGCGATTAATAAAAATATAAAAGGACTGACGGAGTACAGCACACTGGCAGTCCCAGTTGGAGCCGAGAGGGAACCTGTTACATGTGCAACCGTGAGAATCGAGTCGCGGAAATCGGAGTATCGGACTGAGATCGGATAATATCCATTATCCAACCGAATCGACATAATATCCATAACGCTTTTATTTCAGAGGCTCCTTGCTGGCATTTACACCGAACAAGATCTCGGAAAATATGCATAAAAATATTTCAAAATAATAAATAATTTATATTTATTCACTGTTTAACATATGCATCTCTTCATAAATTGTATACTTCTGAAGTTCTGACTATACCCGTGAGACGCCAGTAATTTGCGCGAAAAGGCCATTTTTCAGAGTTTATACTTATTAGAAACTTTTTGAGCTTGAATTTTTTTGAGTTTTGGATTTGATTTATTATTACAGATGTGAAATTCGAAATTCTTGAAATGCTAGTCTAACAAATATCATGATAACATGCTTTATTTGATTTGAGCCACCCACATATGAGAATTGAGATACGATGTAAAATAATTACTGTTCATTTATCAATATTGTAATTTTGATATAATTTGACTAAATCGTTTATTAAATTGGATAGTATTATGAAAATTTGGACATACAAAAAGTTTAGTATTAAAGTAATGATATTATGATGATGAATGATTATGTTTATGTATACTACAGCAAATAGGAATCTACATCTGGCTCGGTGTGCAATGTTATCGAATAGGCCTATGTAGGCCTAATAGCTAGTACATTTCATCGTTTGGGATGGTCAAATACACAAATATTATAATACCATTATATAATGTTGGTGAATTTGACCATCGTTTCTAGATTTCTTACTTATCATCATTGTTTTTCAGCCTGTGGTGATGTTAGACATATGGAAAATCAAGTATCACAATGAGTGTAGCTGCTGGAGACAAATTTGACAATAGTGGTAAAAATGGCAGCTCAATGGGTGACTGGCTGCGAAATTCTGTGGCCAGGTCTTCATTTGGTAGAAGAGCTGTTACTGCCACCAGTGCTGCTGCAGCTATTGCAGCTTCAAGTTGGGCAGGTGTGGGGGCTGAATTGGATCATGTTGACCCTTCAGCAGCATACCATACCTTCAGCAAACATTGGCAGCAGACAGTTGAAATCATGGATCGAACTGCTTTCAAACAAGAGGCAAGTTCACTTTACATGAAGAATATTCTCACATGTTACCTGTTTTTTTTTCAAGTATTAAAACCAGAATAGTTTTACACTTTTACTTTAATACTTGCAGACGACTGAGCTGAGCATGAAAAATTTCTACCTCTCAAGTGGAGACTGGAGACCAGAGTTCTCCTGCCATTTTAGCTTTTAGAAACTGCAAGAAAGCAACAAGATTCCAACTAGGTAGATGAATTACCTCCTATCTAATTGTTTACTATAGCACACAATTGGGCATAGTGGCAAAGCAGAGAGTTTTTTAGACTCTCCCTTGAGTTCATTTTTGAGTCCTATAAGTAGACCAGTAAAGTATCATGGATACCAGCATTATCTTAAATAAGAAATTGGTTTAAGTCTTGAATAAATAAGGAAATTAGAAATGAACTGATTTTAAAAAATCTTGGGTTTGTCACTATGGAATTGGGCCATGAGATCCCAAATGTATAGAAAATTTGGCCACTCTGGTGACTGGTCCAGTCTGGAGTCTCGAGGCTCGAGCCATAAAATTGTATAAAAAAAAGAAAATTTCAATCCTGTTTGCAGCTTGCAGCAGGATTGAAATTATGGTATTGTATTGGATTGAAAACCTGTTAAGTAGGCTACTATGGTATTTATTGAGTAGGTATAAGTGATTATTCTGTTGTAGAAAATTGCCATACCATATTTGCTTGTTTATTAATTACTACTATGCTTTTTTTCAGGTGTTTCAAGATGACGTCACAGCGGTCATTAATCACCTGCGCCAGATGATCACTTTGCTGCAAGTGGACATCAGACAAATCATGACTAAAGACCAACCTTATCCAGTGAGATTTTGGTGCTTGCATAATGCTTAATGCCTTTCAACTTGAGATAAATTCATTGAGCACTGACAGGACTATGATTTTTAACAAATCTATGCAATCTATTTCAATCACAACTGGTCCAAAAATGTTGAAAAATTTTCCAAATATTTGTGGAAATAGATTTCAACATAATAATCAAAGTTTGCTTACATAGATGTCAGAAAAGTTTTCAGATTTTTTTTTTTTTCAGACAACTATATAGCTTACTTCTGCCATAAACTGTATAGTATATACTGCAGATAGCTAGAAATGCACTCTCATCTCTAATAATAATTAGAACTTGAAAATCAGTTTTGTGTCTGTAATTTTTGTGTTCACAGCCAATCTGTCTTTGCTTTATTAAAGATGAAAACTGTGGAGTGTGGATTTATTAGATGAAATAAAACTATTACAATGATGAATGTGCCCGAGAATTTTGCTCTAGGAAATCCAAGAAGTACATACATATGTTGCACAGCATTCTTTTGATTATTAATTGTGGGTACTAGAAATAATACATATCTATCAAAAGTTAGGTTTGAACAGCATTTGCTTTTGATTGATTAATTTTGCATGCAGCTTTGTTGAAAATAGAATATCTGTGTCTGCTGGTGTCACAAATATACGGTAATTTATATTTTTCCATGTACATAACTTCTCACAATTCAATTGTCAAATGTTCAATATTTCATCCAAAGGTGTAAGTTCTGAACATGTCTATGTAAATTCTGCAAATTCGCTGTGCAAGACTTACTTTTTATTTATGCATTGTAATTTTTCCAAATACTTTGCTCCTTTTCTCTAGCTGGATGACAGAAGATCATCAGATATCTGCTCAATAGAATCATCAAACATCACTGCTGGTGACTCCAACCCTGCACTGCCTAGAGCTGCCAGCAAGAAGCCTTATGTGTCGTCATCATCAGCCACTCCCCTCGACCCACCACCCACACCAATTTTTGACCATTTTTTAGGAGAAGAAATTTTAGACAAAATTTTGGAATGGAGTCTTGGGACGGGAGAGTTTACTAATTCTCTTAAGCTGGAGCAGTTGCGGGTGAGAGATGTACAAGTTTTTCAATGCCTTTAATTCTATCTATGCTTCAAGATTATTAAAAATTCGCTAAATTTCAATTCAGTATAATTTCATTGATTTTTTGTGTCAACTGCTGTTTTTATGATCCTGGAGCTCACCTAGTAATTATGTTTTCCAGATCCACGAGGTTCTACTGAGTCAGTCTCGCCAGGAGCTGCTGGTGTACAAGCCTGTCATACGGCCTCTTATTCGTCTCCTTGACTCATGTCTTACATGCATACCTGTTGAGGTGAGACCCGTGCCATCATACATCCCCTCATTTGTGTCCTTGACTTGTGTCTCACGTGCATACCTGTTGAGGTGTGACCTGTACTTATCATGTTCCCTCACTGGTCTCCTTGACTTGTGTCCCATGTGCATACCTGTTGAGGTGAGACAGATATGAAGATGAGATTATGCCTTTCTCTGCCTGAAAAAATGTCAGATTTTTGTCAATTTTGCAGTTAAACAAAGAAACGATGTTTTTTATATTAGTTGGATTCATATGTTTCCTGGGATGTAATACTTTATTCTAATTACAGATCACTTATACCGTAAAATTCAACTTCAGGGGTTAGACAAAATAAGGGAAATGGCTGAGAAATTCACAAAATATATTCCAGTTGGAATGGGGTAGGTCCATCTTTTTCGGTATTTACAGCCTCAATTCTCCGAGGTATTGATTCATACAACATGTGTATTGTTTCCAAAGGAATTTTAACCCATTCTTCAGTCAAAATTCCCTCCAGCTCTATTAAAGACGATGACGGCGGGAATCAACTTTTTTCTCTAAAATCGACCATAAAGGCTCGATAATATTCAGGTCTGGTGATAATGGTGGCCAAATGAGATGCTCAACTTCATTAGAATATTCTTCGTGCCATTTTTTAACAATTCCAGCTGTATTGATCGGGGCATTGTCATCTTGAAAGATGGCATTCCCCTCTGGAAACTGTGCTTGAACCATTGGACGAACTTGGTCCTCCAAAATTCCTATATAGTCACGGCTGTTGATTCTTCCATGAAGAGAAATCATTGGTCTGCCAGATTTCCAAGAAATAGCACCCCAGATCATCACAGATCCTCTGCAATGTTTTACGGCTGTTGTGAGGAGGCAGTCGGGATTAAGGGGACCGACCTGGCTAAAATTTTCAATTTTGGCGTTTTCCACTTTTTGGGCTCATCTTAAAGCTTACTTTTTGACGCATCCAACGGTGCCAGAATCATCCCTCTACGTCGAAAAATGATTTCGTGACAGCTTCCCAAAGAAGGGCAGTTTTTAGGCCCTTTAACAAATGTCTATGGCATTTAATTACAGGGCTGGACAAACTAAAAGAAACGCCTGACGTAAAGCGGCCAATCATGGCATTATCCGGTGCTCATACTCATCTTAAAGCTTACTTTCTGACGATTCCATTGGTGGCAGAATCATCTCTCTCCCTCCATTTGGAGGGGTGAAAAATGTAAAAAATGGGAAAAAAACGTCATAAAAAAAACTAGGTGGAAAATGAAAAAAGTGATGTTAGAGTCGATAGATATGGTCTTTACGAATCGAATGATACGTGTCTCGATGTTGTAGGATGATATTTGTGGGAGAAGATAGATTTTCTAAAGTACCCCTTTTTAGCCGTTTTCTATGAATTTCACGTTTTCTATCAATTTTTTCGAAAAATTCATACGAACAAAATGTTTTTCTTTTTACATTTTAAGTATGTATGTGAAGTTTCATGATGATCGGATAATAACTATTAACTGTAGAAGTTTCTCCGGGGGCAGCCCGGTCCCCTTAAATGACTCATTTGGCTGTCTTCTAACTTGAACTCGGCCAGAGGTTGAACATATGGTAAATGATGATTCATCAGAGAAAATCAATTTTTTTCACTACTCGAGCAATTTTGGAGATTTTTACACCACTCTAAAGGCTTTAAAGCATTTGTATTTGAAACCAGACGTTTTCTAATTGTAGCTCTGCCATAGAATCCAGATCTGTGCAGCTCTCGTCGGACAGTCGTTTGAGAAACTGAATTCTGTATGTGTCCATTGAGGTCTGCAGTAATTTTTACAGTCATGGTCTTTTGATTTTCCCCACCAATTTAATTTAGGTACCGACGCTCTCTCTCAGACAACTTCGACTTTCGACCGGCCCTGTGCTTTGTTGAGGACGTTTTTCCTTATCTTTCAAAAGCAGTCATTGCTTCTGAGACAGTACCTCTAGAAACGTCAAGCATTTGGGAAGTTTCTGTCACACTAGCACCTGCCATACGGGCTCTGTTAAGTTATAGACACAAAAATTTACTAAAAATGTCTGCGCAAAAATAAAATATCAATTAGCAGCAACAATAAACAATAAAACTTAAAAATATGTCACCTTTCCATTTGTTTATAACATGTTCAAAAATTACGATATCTAAATGTCAGGTGTTACGCATATTTTGTCATACCCCTTTAGTACTGTTGTAATGTAGGTGATAATTACAGGTGTTGTAGGTGACAATGTGACACCTAGACTAAATAATTAAACTGTAGGTGGCATGACAATCAAGTAGTACTTAAGCACTGTTGTTGCTAGTATTTCATTTGCGGTCTGTTAGGTGGTAGTTGATTTAGTTTTAGACTATATGTTACATGCCTGACCTTCCCTGAGTTATTTTTATGCTGTTTGCTGCAGGTGGAGAGGCAACTTGTACTGCTGCTGAACCAGCTGTGTGCTTCCCTGCTGCACAACCAGCAGCTGCTGCACTTCTTCTTCCTGTCGTCCCCAGACGAGCAAGGCGATGCAAAGTTAGTTGTTGATCTCATCACTTCGATGCACTCACGCCGACCCTTGGATGCGTTTCCTTCTACATTTGAAGGATTAAATTACACGACTGTTTTTATCCTCTCCTTATAATTTCGTCTATTCAAGGTCAAAATAATCTGTTGGCATGAATATAAAATAAATCTATTTTTTTTTATATTCAGGCTTATTTCCACGTGCAGATTTTTGATATTCTCTCTGCTGCTGCCGTTCGTGCACCGGGAAGGAGACCTCGGGCAGCAAGCGCGTGACGCCCTCCTGCTGTGCATGGCGCTGAGCAACACCAACCCTCCCGTCGGCCAGTACATCGCCGACACCTCCAATTTTTGTCCGGTTAGACTCGTAGGGCTATTGAATATCTGCATTTGTTGCACAGTAAATAGTTCTGCTTAGAATGGAAACTATTACAAACGGTCAATAATGCAGCAAAAATGCCTCCAGCTCTAGCCCTGTCATTAGCTTGGTAAACAAAAGCCCGGTTTTGTTCACTTATTTTTTCACATTTTATTTTTTTTTTTTTTGTGAGTGTGTCGTGTCATGCAGGTATCCTGGATACCGTCATCTTAAGCATTCTGTAGCACGGGAGAAGGCGAGCAAGGATTTGGTAAAGGTAGAGGAAGTCTTTCAATTATATTACCTATACTGCTGTAATTGCTATGTCTATAGTATATCTTGCTCTATATATTTAATATAGGAAAATTTACTTTCTCTCCCTTTTTCGTGACCGGAAATGTTTTCTATTTCCAAAAAATGTGAATCAGATATGAAACGTGTAAGGTGGATTTCCACAAGGTTATTCTCCTCTCTCTTCTCACTACAAAAAACTAAAATAACAATTACTAAGTAAAATGATCTTCACCAACAGTCACAAAAATCCTATAAGAAATTTTCCTTGTGAAGTAAACATGTCTGCTGTCAACAGCTGCTCGCTGCTGGCATGTGCGGTCTGTACTCAACACTGCCACGGACGCTGCCATCTGCCGTCGCGGGGAGCGACGACTGGCACGGCATCTCTGCCACCCACGTCCCCCTCATCCCCAACCTGCAGGCCTTCCTCAACGCCCTCGAGTTCTGCAACGCTGTCGTACAGGTGCCTCATATGCAGGGGACTTGGGGCTTCTCTGTTGTTAGGAGAGGCTGTTGAGTTTTAGGGCAGGCAATTCAGTTCTTAGAGGAGGCTGTTCAATTATTAGGTCAGATGGTTCAATTATTAACAGACGGGACACATGGCTACTGTTATAGCTAAACACAATATTTAGATAATGACAGACTCAGGAATATATATGCCCGGAATTTCAGTTGCCAACAGACATTGCCTTAATATTACAAAGCAACTTGAAGCGTTACTTCTCTACTGAGGAAATAATTCAGGATTCAGGGAAGACGGAATTGGTTCTCATTAACTGCTCTTTAATTAAGAAAGATGGCTAACATTTTTTGTTTTTGATTGACATTAATTCCTGCATTCAATGAAGAGAACTTAATTTTTCATTAATTAAAAAAAAATGAAAATTGAAAATATCCATTGAATAATGCCCACCTTAGCATAGAGGAATAGTTCTCTGAAGCAAAATAAAAGTGAGCTTTGAGGGGTATTGCGTCCTGTATGTTATTTTCTGTCAGAGTTATAGCTGGATTTTTTTGATCAGATTCTATGTACACCATTGACTCCTCAGCAAGTTTGCATGGCCTATGAAGGATTACCGTGAAGGACTTAACAGAGAATCCTGCGCAGGTTGGGCACTCGGTGGTACGCAACGAACTGGTGGAGCTCGTGTACCAAGGCTTCCTGGTGCTGGTACTGGGACCTGCACTGCATCAGGTCAGTGTACCATTTCACTGCACAGTCTCCATACTAATTCCCCGGCACTACAATAAGTATGAAGCAAGTGCAAGTTGGAGATAAGGTAAACATTGGGAATTTTCCAAGTTCTCTCGCAATTAGTCACTGGGACTAATTCGTGTCCTAAATTGTTTACATGTCTAATTAAAATTAAAACAAAAATTAAAGTAAATAAATTGTCACAAGTCTCAAAGACTTGCTTGTCCGAATTGCTGCTCCTCTCTCTACCTTAATGACGCCATTGAATTGGCTGCTGTTAAATTGAGTAAATTCAGACATTTTGTGGACTGTAGCCGCAGCGGATCGCAGGATGTGACAGTCATCAGATGCCTTGAATCAGTTTATATGTCAGATGCCTTGAATTTTGCCTGCAATACCCCGTCTTGATGCCGTGCACTGAGCATTAGAAGTATCCTGGAACAAAGCTTTGCTGATTACATTCTTCAGCTTGGCTGATATTTTGTGATATTTGTGAATATTGATTTCATTGAATGTACCTATCATTCCAAGTCAATGTAATGATAGTGTATTTCCTTGAAGTTTAAATTTTTTGTGTAATAGAACTGTAATTGGTGGCTTCTATTTGGATCGTCTTCATGCTATTCTTATAGGAAAACAATTTTCGTTCATCCCAACACAATTATGTATCTTAACAAAAGCAAGACCGCGGGTGTTCGCCAGAAATAATTCACTTATAGTTCATTACTAAGACCTTGGGTCTATAGATTGGGTGTTACCCTTCAATATAACTGAAATATGAACAACTATATGACAAATTGTTAGATAAGGGAGAAACCTCCTAGCATTTGGGGGTGACTTGTTTAGTTACCACGCACTCAAGTTGTTTCATGTAAAGCTTGTACAGTTGCTGACAAGCCACATCTCTGACTTGCCTTCAAATGGTAGAGTTGGCTGCTGTGTTCTGTATCATCCTCATCCATGCACTTGTCAATAGCTCGTTACATCTGCAAGATTTTCTTATGCACAACCAGGTTCTATTTATTCATCTTAAACTCGAACTCTAGGCTTCATCCTCTACAGCTTTTGCAAATCTAGACGTTTTTGTTTGTGTTGTGCTGTGGAGGCCACTGGCCGGTATTTTTGTGCTGTGCTGTGGAGGCCACTGGCCGTTATTTTTGTGCTGTGCTGTGGAGGCCAGTGGTCGTTATTTTTGTGATGTGCTGTGGAGGTCACTGGCCGTTATTTTTGTGATGTGTTGTGGAGGCCACTGGTCGTTATTTTTGTGTTGTGCTGTGGAGGCCAGTGGTCGTTTTTTTTGTCTTGTGCTGTGGAGGCCACTGGCCGTTATTTTTGTCTTGTGCTGTGGAGGCCACTGGCCGTTGTTTTTGTGATGTGCTGTGGAGGCCACTGGCCGTTATTTTTGTGTTGTGCTGTGGAGGCCACTAGCCGTTATTTTTGTGATGTGCTGTGGAGGCCACTGGCCGTTATTTTTGTGTTATGCTGTGGAGGTCACTGGCCTTTATTCATGGGACCAAGTCAATCGTTTCCTGATCTATTGATCCCGACAGCTTGTGGTTGTGGTTGTGGACAGCTCCAAGTATCTGGGTTCTTGGTGTGGTATGTGTTACAGGTCTTGGTGTGGTAGATATGTGTTATGATTGATCATGAGAAGTTATTACTCTTGCTGTATGCTGTGGTCAAATTTCGGCTACAGGAGGTACATTACCTGGGCTAAAGTGTGACGTATTGCTTGGTGATTTCAGTGATTGCGATTATTGTTGATTGTAGTGATAAGCTAGCGTATTGTGCTGACTAAGCTCGGGACTGAAAACAGCGTAGCGCCTATTGTGTAGAAAGCGTACTGTTATGCAAACGTATTGTGTGGCCCAAGCTGAAGACTGAAGGTATGGTAGCGCCCCTGCAATAGTTTATTGCTGTACAGGATGGCGCCGTGAGTGAGCTGCAGCAGGACTTGGCCGCCCCTCCGGTTAGTGCAGCACTCAAGCCTCCTGTAGACGCTGCCTGGCTCCCTCCTGCTCACGTCTTCAGCTCATTCTCCTCCACCTTAATATTGCTATATATCACATGCCTTGAATTCCTGCCTCCACCTTAATGTTGCTATATATCAGATGCCTTGAATTCCTGCCTCCACCTTAATGTTGCTATATATCAGATGCCTTGAATTCCTGCCTCCACCTTAATATTGCTATATATCAGATGCCTTTAATTAATTCACTCTTTCAATTTATCTAAACTCCTTCAACCCCTTTATTCTGCTTTCACATTATCTCTGCTGTCTGCCTTCAACGTATTCTTGCTCGCACTCTTCAATGTACTTTAACTTTTTCTCTCTCCCTGCACCCAATTTTTCAGCTCCATGTCTTCCATGCATCTTTTGCATGCAAACAATTCGATGAAGCCTTCATTATTATTACTGCACGTTCCTCCGCATTCAACATGCATTTATGCTTACTAATTGTATCAATATTAACAAGGCGCATGTTTTGTGTCAGTGGGCAACCGACGGCTCGTTTGCCCTCGGGGAGGGCACGAGGGCTGCTGGTGCCACGCTTGCCCTAGGGAGGGCACTGGAGTGGCAGATGCTGTGCTTTGCACATATTTGTTGTAATGCTGTGATATATAAATGATGTCTTCTCCTGCTTTCCTGCACTGGTGGTGTGTCCTAGAACTGTGCACCAGCTGCTATGCTGCACACTAATATATTCCATGTAGCCATTTATATATGCCATGTAGCCATTTATATATGCCATGTAGCCACTTTTCTGTCACATGAGACAAATTTGCCTGGTAGGAATTGAGGTGTACAAGGTAAGCAATCGCGTAGTGGTTTGGTCGCAACTAATGCTGCTGTGATGTTGCCATAAGGTAGTAATTTTCAAACTAATGTATATGACAACGAAAGAATTTTATATTCATCGACGTTGTTTGTGCTATCACTAATACACTTCGTTAATGTTAATTGTGTTCAGTAACTAGTAATTCCTGCAGGATGGTTTGCTTGATTTTAACGTCTTATGTTACTAAAACCGTTGACACATGAGTCGCCAGCACACCAATGACGCCAACCTCAAATCGAAATGATTTAAATACCAAATCAAACCTGACCTTCCTAGTCTCATCCGATCAGCTTTGCAGTATTTTATTTGTTGCTGGAACGCTACCATTTGCGTGTACGAGCAGAATTGAATGTTTTACCTGCCGAGTGGCGAGTTAAGTGCAGTATATGCTCAGTGGCGACTCGTGTGTCATTAACGATGACAGGATTATTCCTGGTGATATTCTTCTGTGTATTTAATTGCTGATTAATTCCTGGTCTAGCAAAGGAAGAACTCCTCACGCCTGCTTAGCAGTGAACGGCTGTAGCAAGGCTACAGTAGCTTGTTACAGCCGTCACAACTGCTGCAGCAAGGCTATGGTAGCTTGTTACAGCCGTCACAACTGCTGCAGCAAGGCTATGGTAGCTTGTTACAGCCGTCACAACTGCTGCAGCAAGGCTATGGTAGCTTGTTACAGCCGTCACAACTGCTGCAGCAAGGCTATGGTAGCTTGTTACAGCCGTCACAACTGCTGCAGCAAGGCTATGGTAGCTTGTTACAGCCGTCACAACTGCTGCAGCAAGGCTATGGTAGCTTGTTACAGCCGTCACAACTGCTGCAGCAAGGCTATGGTAGCTTGTTACAGCCGTCACAACTGCTGCAGCAAGGCTATGGTAGCTTGTTACAGCCGTCACAACTGCTGCAGCAAGGCTATGGTAGCTTGTTACAGCCGTCACAACTGCTGCAGCAAGGCTATGGTAGCTTGTTACAGCCGTCACAACTGCTGCAGCAAGGCTATGGTAGCTTGTTACAGCCGTCACAACTGCTGCAGCAAGGCTATGGTAGCTTGTTACAGCCGTCACAACTGCTGCAGCAAGGCTATGGTAGCTTGTTACAGCCGTCACAACTGCTGCAGCAAGGCTATGGTAGCTNCCTATATCACCCATGCTGTAACATTTGAACCCCATATCACCCATGCTGTAACATTTGAACTCTATATCACCCATGCTGTAGCATTTGAACCCTATATCACCCATGCTGTAGCATTTGAACCCTGTATCACCCATGCTGTAAGATTTGAACCCTATATCACCCATGCTGTAAGATTTGAACCCTATATCACCCATGCTGTAACATTTGAACCCTATATCACCCATGCTATAACATTTGAACCCTATGTCGCCCGACATAAGGACTTCATCCGCACAAACTATAGGATGACCTCTCGGAGATTTAGTTTTCAAATATGATTTGCTATTTATACTTTAATTTATCACCCAAATGACCTTGGTGTCGCCCGCAGGTGAACATCGAGGAGGTGGTGACGGCGACAGCGTACGTGGACCTCTTCCTGAGCTACGCCACGGAGCCGCAGCTACGCAGGGCCTTCCTGGCCTTCTTGCTGACTTCCCCACCTCCCCGTGGGGACCTGGGAGAGGGGGAAGAGGAGCATAGGCGGGGCATGAGGGACCCTCCCATCATCACCACACTCATATCTAGGATACACTCCGACAACCATGTGAGCCTCAACCCCTAGTTGCGGAAGAAGAGCCCCTTACCTCTGCTAGCGAGACTGCAGCAGTTACTGGCTTACCTTTGTCGTCGCAATAGTCGACTAAGACGAACTCTTCTTTCATTACTAGAATAGTTCGCTGTTACTCAATAGCTCAACTGCCGATATTCATCAATGATTTCAATAAATGACTCTAGAACACCGTCTTGGTGAAAGGTTTTTAAGTGCTATATAAAAAATAATTAGCGACTTGGTTTGTCTCTTAAAATCTATTCAGAATGTAATATACAAGAATATTGCATGAAATATATGCCATTTGAATGTATACCTGCCATGTAATGTAATATCCAATTTGAGGAAGTGTAACAAGTGTTGTTGTGCAGCGGGTGTGCATGGTGACGCTGCAGTTGTTCATGCGCATTATCGACTGTTGGTGCGAGGACGCGATGCTGGTGTTGGTGCTGCAGTACCTCGTTAGTGGCAGCCACGTGATGGTGTCACACAGACACTCCACCACGCAACACACGCCCCTACACGACGCACACAGAATACTCGAACTCATGCCTGCCGTACTAAAGGTGAGCACATTGTGCTTGTGGATTCTCATTTAATTCATTGCTTTGACTTTGCTGTGTGTCGCGACGATTTCAATGGAAATACGTTCATATCATTTCGTATTACGAAAGTAGTGAAAATCCATTCGTTTCGTCCGTCATTTTCAAAAATATTCCTGCTGGTACTAAACTATTTTTCAACATTCTGCATTATAAAATTTTTGATGCGTCTTCCCAGCACGAGGAGGAGTGCGGTCTGTGTGGGGACGCGGCGGGGTCCTGTGAGGTGGCGAGCTGTCACCTGGCGCCCTACACAAGCTTCCTGCATGAGGCGCGCCACAGGATCTGCCACGTGGCTGAGGCCTGCAGGAAGTGGACGTGGCGCTACGATGGCGTGTCCCCGCCGCCCTCGCAAGCTATGGAGATGTTGGAGGCCGCCAGAGCTGTCCAGCCTCTGCCTTACCCCAAGCCCAGGTCTGAGTCTGACCCCACCAACTCCAGCACCTCCCAACACACGCACAATCCTCTCCTGATGGGCGTAACCAGCGCCCAGAGAAGACCTAGTCTGCCGTTGGGAATGTCAATGAAGGCTCCCGTATTGGCTGTATCAGCCACCACCAGCGCCCCTTCCTCTAACACTGCCAGCACCTACAATCCTAGCAGCAACACTGTCAGCAGCAACTCGTCCAAGTCCTGTAAAAGCGTGAGCAGGAGAGCACTAGGATTAACTCTGTCACATCCTTCAGTCCTTAACCTCAGTCACGACGACGACCAGCCTGAGTCTTTGGGTGAGAGCAGCGGCTACGAGAGCTTCAATTTGCGGACGTCGCGCGACTCCTCTCCTTGTTCCCTGCCAGGCTCCCCCCGCGCATCTCACACCAACCAGCGCCCCGCGTCCTCATCCTCCCCAGTCACCGCAGCCACGGACCTCGACGAGCAGTTTCTGGAGGAGCTCATGGCGTGGCATGTATACGAGCACTCTGATGAAACCCGCTATAATGAGGCCCACTCTAGTGAGGCCCACTCTAGCGAGGCACACTCAAGTGAGTCACACTCTTGCGAGGTCCCTCAAATCTCAGACCCTGGCCACAAGCCTGATTGTTTCAGTCGCGGCAGTAATAATCATAAAGAAGAGGCACAACAGAAGGACAATAGACAAGCGCTGGAGGAAGCCATGAGACAAATAGACGAGGCTTATGCCGCCTACAGTCACGTCATTCCTGCACATACGGCATCGCAGGTACGCTGCTCTATACTCTACAGTACTTAATTCTACAGTACTATACACTGTACTGTACCTTATATAGTACAACATTATAACTTACTGCATTACCATATGCTATACCGTTTTACAATATAGGTAGTGTGCATCACTATAAATGTCCTGCATTATATTTAAGGACGTTTATATATTTTATTTGCATTATATTTTTATATTATAAATATATAATATTTAATATTATATATTTAATATTATTATATTTATATTTATTTATTGATTGCATTATCCAATCTTCTTAATATGACATGTCACTTCATATGATATATATCACTTCATATAATATGTCGCTTCAAATGATATGTCACTTCATATGATATGTCGCTTCAAATGATATGTCACTTCAAATTATACATGCAATGATGTCCCGCAGGACTCAGACTGTGATGATGTGAACTGGGACGAGCCTGCATGGAGCAGTCCCCCCTCCCCTCCTACGTCTCCTCTCCCTCCCCACGCTCGCCCCACAATTGGTCAGAAATACATACCTTCTTCTGTCACTATTTTGTGTAATATTATCCGCATCTATTAGCCTTTATTATATGCTGAATTACAGTTATTTATACTCGGTTGTGAGAAATCTGGCGGCCCTCAGATCCGTTTGTAGAGGCATTAATCTACCACTTAATCTACCACGCCACACTACTCCCACAGGTCCGTTCCTGGAGGCGGTCATGGAGCGGGTGGAAGACGTGCTGAGCTCCCCCGTGCCGGTAGCGGAGCTGCTCTTCAGTCTGCTGGTCCGCCTCGCTTCTTGCCCTGCCCCCATCCTGACCACGCTGCTGCTCCACCCCTCCATACTCTGCCAGCCTGCCGTGCGCTCTCTCTACCAGGTGCGAAAATATGCGTTTATTGCAGATCCAATGGCTATAATATTAACAATTGCATAGAAATGCGTAGCATCATAAGTACACGTCGTGGCCAAAGTACTCTGTACCGACGACCTTTAACGTGTCATGATCGCTAACATGTTCGCTAACGTGTCCCGCCCCGCAGGTGCTGAGCGCCCTGAAGCAGCGTATCGACGCGCTCCTCTCAGAGGACGACGCGTACCTGCTGTCGGACGCCCGCGCCTGGTTCACCGCCAAGCAGAGCCCTCCTGCCGCTGGCCTGGTCAGTCATGTACTCCCCGAAAGCTCTATATATCCAGCATAACTGACTATTGTGTACTTCACATAATTCAAAGGCTCTTTTTGATATCACTTGGGGTAAAGTGCTCGTGGTACAGAATCATTTACCATCGTCCCAATGCATACGAGTGTCCAACATTTTAACCGTGGCTTTAGTGATCCATTGCCTTTTAACTGATGTTTTTACTACGAGTGTACATCTCAAAATTGCTTTATTTACTATTTGAGGAAACTGCTCATTGGGATATTTTCTTCATTGGGATGTCTAATGTAGGGCCTCCTATGGAGGGTCCCGTAGGGGGTATGTAGTACCTATATTCATGTACCTATATACCGTTCCCTATGCCACAGGCGTGTGGCCCTGTGCCATGTACTTATCCAGTGTTCCTTATGTCGCAGGCGTGTGGCGCCCCCGCGGTCGGCCAGTCCCCCGCTATGGTGGGACCTCAGCGTCCCTCTCAAGCTGCGCCCGTTACCGTCCTCGCCTCCTCCTTCTCCCTCGACGCGTTCAGAGGTGCTCACTCTGTTATCATCATTTACTGCACTGTGATCATTGCAGTCTGTATTATTATTCATTATCAGTCACGTGATAAGATTTGCCGCAAATGGTGAACTCTGTCACTAGTGTGGGACTCTGTCACTAGTGTGGGACTCTGCCACAAGTGTGGGACTCTGCCACAAGTGTTAGACTCTGCCAGCAGTTGACCAGCCTCTATTATTTTACTCAGACTCTGGCAAGAAGCGCAGCCTGACAGCAGCCGTGACAGGAGCCGTAGGGGCGCTCTTCAAGAAAGGGTTCTCCACCCAGCAGCCTGAGGCGCGGCCACCAGCCCTCCAGCACCTGCCCAACAACCAAGGCTACAAGTCCGTACCTCTCACCGCTCTAGAAATATCTTTAGTATTACATGGCTGAATTTGCTATTGTATTACACAGTATTACGGTATTACATGTAGTATTAGATTGCTGAATTTGCTTGCTTATATACGTTCAATTATTGAATAGGTATTCAATTAGAATACAAATTTTAATCTAATGTATTCTCTGGTCACTAATCAAACGTGTATAACCAATTATTTATATTTTTTATTGGGTTGATGAATTACCAAATTGTCTAGTTCATAAGAAGAGCTTTTATTTGTTATGATTTATTTTTATTGATACTTAGGAATGATGAGGGTTTGAGAGGTTGAGGCTACTGTGTATCTCCTGTATTGTTTTTTAATGGCGTTTGGTAAATACTAATTTGAAAAAAATAGTGTGAGTGGCAAATGAAATGTTGAGCGAAGTAATTATGAGCATAACAAACTTGGCACGACTGTTAAGTGAACTTCGCATTGTTTATGAATTTCAATATGGCAATTTTTGACTTTGCGGTAGAATTGGTCAAATTTATCTTATTTATTAAAATCAGTGGCACAATGTCTAAAAATTATGATATGAATTGGGTCAACTTGGAATCAAAAAAATTGAAACTTGGTGAATGGCTAGCAAATGTTGTCAAAGACTCCGTTATCTAATTTTTACATTGTGTTATTATTATATTTTGAATAATCCATTCACATTTTAAATTAATTGTAATATATTCTAATTTGCATGCCTTGGTTATTTCATTCAATGAATGAGGTTGCGCTAATCGTGACATGTAGAGATTTGACCTCATGAAACACCTCATGACCTCGTCTATCTCATGTAATTTAAAGTTGCTGAATTCAATTTTCAAGTACCCACTTTATTCGTGTTAACTTGTGCTAATTTATTTCTGGTAAAATTTCTCGGCGAAGAACAAATATTTTTTTAATGCCTGCTTGCGCCCACACCCCACAGGTTTTACAGACAACCCTCCGACAGCAGCAACCCAAGCCTGTCTCCCCAACCTTCACTCCTGGCAGACTCTTCCCCTTCGTCTTCCCTCACTACGTCCCCAGCCATGCCCCACCTCGACCCCTCGTCAAATTCCTCTTCTTCCCAGTCCATGTTCTACACGTCCTCCGTCCTGGACACCTCGTCGTCTCTGCCAGGCTTATACGGCGGGGCGTCTCACGAGACAGAGACGTCCTCGGCATCTCTGGGCGCGGTGCTCTACACTTCCAATGAATTCGCCTCTATAGCGCGCCAGAAGCAAGCTGTGCAGAGACAAACTGTGCACTCCTTCAACCCTGAGAAAGTGCACGCCGCGCGCTGTGCAATTCTGCTGCGCCAGCTGCTGCTCGATCTCAGTGCGCTAGCACAGGAACACGCTGTGTATTGCCCCCAAATGATCTTTGACTTCAACGCTAAAAACATTGATTTAGGCTCCAGAAAAACAGATTTGGGCAAGAAAAATCTTGATTGTAACTCTAGAAACGCTGCAAGTGCTTCCAAGGACCTGTCATGACAGAGCAGTTGGCTCGAACAAAGTACTTCATAACGCGTCACCGTGTGTGTGTCTAGCTCATTTCTGACATCAAACATTACTATTGACCCCACGATTTTAATGATTAGTTTAACGCTCTGTGATTGGTTTTATTTGTGCTTTCTTCGTAGCTGCTCGACTTGGTAGTGCATGTGGTTGTTTATTATTGATTTGCACTGAAAGACATTTTATGATAGTATTTAATTGGTTTTATCTTTATATATATATAAACATATTTATACTTGATTTGTCTACAATTATTTATTATATTCTCCAGCGATCTTTTAAATGGTTTCCTTTTATTAAATTTCATTTCGTGATCTGTTCCCCTTTGCAGTTACATTTCACTTGTTTAAAACTTCCACGTTTTCGCTGCTCTCTTATTCGGATTTATTATGTCAATTTCGCACGTGAAATTCTAAGTGCAGTATGTTTACTCTTGGGCGCAGCTGCCGATATACCCATAGTCTTTTATTCAAGCTAAGGTACCCTATTTTTGTATCTCTAACCTCAAACTTACGTTGCGCTTACGTCACCAAATTGATTGCTGATTCTCCGACTCGTTCTTCATTGTATATAACAAAGATCTTTCTTTGTTTTGTGGATACGATATGTTATGGCACGAGGCACCTTTATTAGTACGTATCAATGTACATGCTACATGTACATTGGAATGTGTATAAATGTCAATTGTTGTCTTGTGGTAATGATGCGTGCCGATGCTATCCCTCCCAATAACCTGCTCACTCAATTCTGCGTAATACACACTGAAGCACATCTACTGAAGCTTATAACAGCCCTCATCTTAAAGCCGTTCGTATAGATTAGATGTTTCCAAGATTTCACCTCCATGTGATCAATCATCACAGACTGAATACACCCCTACATGTTCAAAATTAATTATTTCTATGATTTATCTTTAAATTAAACGAAAAATTGCAAGCTTCTAGTTGAAGCTTTGAAATTTTACATGACCATGAATGGCGATTATCCATTAGTTTATCCAGCTCCGGTATTTCCATGATCATTTCTCCTGCTTATTAATGTCATTGAAAACGGACGGCGCACGCTGGTCTCCAGCGCACGCAGGTGGCAGAGCCACACAAACTAACAAACTAGTCGTGGTCTCAGCGGGGAGGCACGGCTGTGTTATAGTAAGATTTTATTGTAAATACATAGGCTATAGAAAGTTGTTAAGAATCACAGAGTATATTAGACTATTTTCGATGACAACAGAGCATTAAAAGTGCAATAATTATGAAGGTATCCTGATGCGCCGTCAAACAATTATAATTTATTAAGAAGTTTTCATATCAAGACGCTCCTAGATGAACAGCTCTCATTATCGGGGATATTGTGTAAAATATAACGCTAATTGATGCTAATTCTCTTATAAAAAGATGTTCCTTATGTTGGCTCGCCAATTGTTTCTTATATTGGATGCACATTGCGAGTTTAGCGCGTGAATAGTTTAAGTTTTAATGGTTGATTGATAGCGATCTCGTACAATAATATTAGGCGAATATTCTGAGCTCAGTGTCGACAAATTCTACGACTCTATCATCCATTCTTTATAATTCGTCTTGCTTATTTTATTATTTGTCATGCATTGTTATTGCCTAGTTTTATTGTTAAACTGAATTTTATTCAAAGTGAAAAATGATTATAATGTTAACTAGAATGTACTTATTCGGTAATAAAAAATGAATGAATATGCCCAAGGTTGACGATAAGCGCCTTTGTCTGGTGAGTGAATATGATCAAGTAACTTTGCTTGTTTCGTTGGTGTCGGCAACCTTACAGCAATTAACCCTACAGTGGTCGCGTGGATTACATACTCGTATGTAATCCACGCCTGCGAAATGTAACCGTAACGAAACCGACTGAAATGGTGACTAATTTGGTCAGTTTTTGCACGCGACCACTGAAGGGTTAATAGTTGTTGACCGCGTGTGTGATTGAACTAGCCTCTACCACTAGCCTCTATAACCTATAGCTGCTCCTCGCTCAACATGTCTTCTCTGTACGATGGCATCTCCCCTCCGTCCTGCCTGTGAACCTGCGCTGGTTGTGCTCTTTCCTTCTCACTTTTCCCCCGTACCTTACAGGGCATACGTTCAATCAGCCTTATTATTGTGCTTGAATTATTGCTTTCTGTCGTTATTCACTTGACTCGAGGCTCATGTTCCTCGACTCTAGAACAAATTACGTTCAGGACGAAGAAACTGACGGTGAGATCTTGTTACAGTTTGTTGAAAATTTTGTATTTTCGACTTTGAAATTATAATTGAGAACTTTTTGTACATGAGTTGGTTTAGCCCCTGGTTCTGATCAAGACATATTACTCAGCTTTCTTGAAAGCGAAGGAAAGATCACAAGAAAATATTACGTTGTGTTTACGTGGTTGGCCCGGCGCGGTATCTATCAGAAACCACGTGCCACTGAGCTGGAGGGGGCAAAGACTTGGCGGCGATAATTGCAATTATTTGAAACGACAAATGATTTCCTCTTGATACTGCAAGGTTGAAATTTGATATCGACAGCAACAGTTGAATTTTTTTTACCGAAACCATTCACATATACCGTTCCCATAATTTGGACGCGTTTCTTAAGCCGAGAAATGTGTTCTTTTTACGGCTTAGCAGCGCCGGCTTCGCCTGCCTCCGATCTTTGTGTCGTGGGGGCGCATTGAGCTGTGGCGTCGGTCGGGCCAAACGGCAGAGGGCACTACGTCATCATACGCAGCACACCAGTCAGAAGTCACTGCAATCTGGGAGCCAGCTGCTGATGAACATGTCTGGCCAAACGCTTGCAGCAGCGCTACCCTAAGGCTATTAACAGGCAGATATTTCCAAGAGATGAAACATTCACTCATGTCTGCGAGAGAATGATTGAGGCCACTGCCGTGCCCGGCCGAATCTTCCGCAAACTGTGGGCATGAGACTGGAGGTCCTCATCGACGACATACTTCGACCTGTTTACGAAGATGCCTGCGCAGTACGGCCTTGGTCGCGGCGAGAATTTCGAAATTGGTACATCCTGCATCAACTTAGTAAGTTTTTTAGCGCGACCTGACCCCAGGAAGATGCATGCGCTGAATGAGACGAAGCGGCTGTGACGCTGGATCTCACCGGGACACTTGCGTCGGTCCCTGCTAGATGTCGGGACCGACATTGGCAACAAATTATTTCTACATTCTGTGGATAAACGCCGTGAAAGAGTAGATTTTATCATATACTTTAAAGAGCTTGCACGTTTGTTGAAGCCTGTAGCCGCAATGTACATGGGTAATTGGAGCGCATTGTCGCAATACCCGCCGCGAAATGAAATTGCCAGCACTGGACGATTTATTTAAAGTGTCGAGATATGACCGAGATAATTAATTCAAATAGTAATTAAGATCGAAAACTCCGTTTATTTGTAGAACATTTCCTTCGATTAATACGCAATTGCCGGCACCCGATGATTTATTTATAGTGTCGAGATATGACCGAGATAATTAATTCAAATAGTAACTAAGATCGAAAACACCGTTTATTTGTAGATCTTTTCCTTCGATTAATACGCAGGATTGCTAATCATTATAATAGCAGAGTGATGATTGTTCTTTGCACGGCGATGATAAAACTGCCGCGATGAGATTACCTCGGCGATGAGCAATTATCAACTTCGAAGTTGTGGGCTCATCTGAAGTCAATCGATAGTTTTGACGCCGCAAGGGAATGAATTGCTGGTGTCGATGGTCCACGCAGCCTAACCTTCTTCTTCTTGTTACTTCTTATAGGAGCACTGGAAACTGGTCCATTTAGCCCCTTGCCTAAACAGTTTTTGCTTTACACCTAACTGTCATATAGTAACAATCTAAGTGTCTAATAATCTGAAAGACAGCCGCACCTTCAATCTGAGCCGCCGAATTGAAATTCAGGAATGAGATGGCTCTTGACAGCCTCATGGGAATTCGGCCATCCGCTAAATGAATAAAAATTTGATCTTTATGATATGTGATCTGATAGAAATGTTCGTGAAAAACTAGATTGGGGGTCAAATTCTTGTAGCAGAAATATTATCTACCATATCCAAGAACGTTAAAAATAAACGAGAAAAGAATTATGAGCACACTGCAGATCACGGAATATACGCGATAAGAGGAACAAACGCAAGTCTGGTGCAACGTTGAAGTAATTGGCAAGAAACTTGTTTATGGACTCAACCATTAACCCGTTCACTGAGAACGTATAAGTTATAACTAAATGATGTATTCTTCCGCTGGATAAAATTTCTTGCTTGTTGTATTCACCTGAAAAAATTCGATTGGCGAATGATGGCCAGGAATCGTTCACACAAGAAGAATCTTCGTTCTTGGAGGAAATATTGTGCGATGAGAGCCTCATTGAGGGCCTTACGCGCGTGAAGGGCTTCCTGCGAGGAGGCTTCCATGCGACCGCAGCGGTGTGTCAAAGATATTATTTTCTCTGGTCTGGTACGGTTCCTCGAGTTCTAAGCCAAGGGTTAGGAAATGGAAATCGATCGAGGTTAATCTAAATACTCAACCTGACAAGGGAAACTGCTGTAAGAGGCCAAAAATTAAATTTATTTTTAAAACTTATTAGATAGAATTTTTTGTTGATCAAATAAAAAACATCGTAAGTTGCCTACGCGAGGTCTTCAGTAACATCATTCAATTAACTCACAACTTTGCTCGAGCAAATCTCTCTTTTTTCTGCGCAAAGAATTGAATCAAATTTTTTACATATCAATTTATATCTAATTTGAAATTTTAAATTCATATCTACAAGTGAACGTTGGACACAATCAGGTTATCTTTGCTGCATATGATTTCTCAGAGTGCACAAAACACAATAATAACAATGGCAGTTTCAGCATTTAGTAGGCCGCAGGCCTGTCGCCGATTCTTAATATCACAGAACATTCACAGCATTTTGCGGTTTCGAACTTGTAACTCACGGCTTCAATTCTGCTTTTGCTTAACCGCCCGGCCTCCTCGCCGATTCTGACCAGAAACTGGCGCACAGAGCTGGGATCGAACCCGCACCTCTCTGCGCCAATTAATCTTGGTACTCTGAACTTTAACCACTGGGTCACCCATCCCTACATCAGTTTTGTGGTAAAGCACTGGTTTGAATGCTGGAAAGTATTACTTTTGACGATTTAGTTTCCGTTACTAGAGTACACACACGTACTGCTTCTACATCGCACGATGATACTGAGTAAATGGCCTCTTTCCTGGCTTTTGAAATAGAATAAACTTAAAAAAAAACTTCAAAATTTCTTGTGCACTTCTTCAACTTGTCCACTGCTGTTTCATACTAACAACTTACCAAAATAATTATACAAGTTCGAATCATATTCCAGAATCTGGCCTGATCGTCAAAGTTCCCCTATACGATAAGCAAGTTAAAGACAGCGGCAGCAAGTTCAATATAATTGGTTTGGTAACATTAAAATTACAAAAATATAGATCATTTTTTGAGTAATAGGTTTGTTCAAGGGTGAAAGTTAAAATTGTGACATTTATTGAGTAACTAAACTCTGTTTCTCAACAATAGGGGTAGTCTCAGCGTTCTTTATATGCTAAATATGGCCTGTTGCTGATTCCTGATTTTACGGATTTCTCGCAGCTTGCTGGTCTTGAACCCGCATCTCACTGCTCCAATTTTGCTATTCTCCATTACACAGCTATTTTTCCAATTTCGACCAGAACTGTCGCAGGTAGCTGGGTAACTGTTACTACAACCCACGACTAATTGCTACAAGCCTAGCACTCTGAATTTCTACCACTCGGCCACCGTGTCACAATAATTGTACAATTCCAGTGCATTCATTAAATTGCAAGAACTGTAATAATTTTGTGTTTACCACATATATACGTGCCGTGGAAAAAAAAAAACAGGAATAAATTTCAAATTATAAACGCGTGTCATAACAGTCGTACAGTAACTTTGCAAATGAAATCGTACATATATTTTTCCGTTTTCACCACAATATGCTGTGGCATTTGTGTATATAGACATCAGTGTTGGTCTCGAGTCCACTTCAAAAGAAGGAATATGGCGCTCCGTAAACCTCAATGAAGCGCCAAAACATGTTTCTCAGGTGAAGCTGTAGGCCTGGATTATTGTCCTTGAAAAATACGTGGCTCCTTCACACGCAGATATGCCGTGCAGATCCCGTGGAGTTCTTAGATCTCCTCAACCTCGGGTTGTTTTTCGTGGTGAACATTCTTAGGATCAGGGAATCCCGGTCTCTCTGATGTAAAAAAACTGTCACGGTAGTCCCATGAGAATGCTCAACGGCACGCTCCTGCTGCAAAATTCTAATTCTGATCGCGGATGCATCTCAAAACAAGTTTCTTTAACCAGAACATTTCTGCCGTGGGAAGTGATAGAGATTGCACCACAAAGATTTGAAACAAAATGCTTACTCTGTATTATTTCAGAAGAGCTTCTGAGTGTTGGTAACTGCCAGGAAGTTTCTGTCGAATGTAAATCTTACAGTTTCCTACGTGAAAAATACAACCGCTTATCAGACTGATCAAAAACTTTTAAATTTTATTAGAAAATATCAGTTACTCCAGCAACATGCCCGCATTTGGTAACATATTTCTCTATAAGAACTTACTTCTGTCTCGTAGAAATATTTTGTTTATCATGCAAGAAATGTTGCGATTTAATCTCTATTGGTTTACTGCTTATAATACGCTTGAGTTGTGAGTTTAAGCTATGCTTTTATACATCATACTCCGTCAATAGTCAATACCTTGAGTTGTGTGCTATAACCATGCTTCGTACGCTATACCACGTCATTTGGCCCACCTCTGACGCCCACCCAGAGCCCACCGCTGACACCCACCCAGAGCCCACCGCTGACACCCACCCAGAGCCCACCGCTGACACCCACCCAGAGCCCACCGCTGACACCCACCCAGGGCCCACCGCTGACACCCACCCAGGGCCCATCCCGAACCCACTTCTGAAGAGACTCCAGCTTTCATTTCGCTGCCGTCATAAACATGTCATGTCCTTACATCCTTAAAGAAAATGTTTAGACTTTATTGGCTTGACACATATGATACATCTTCAGTGCCTCAAAAACATCTCTCCTTCTTGTTGCCTTCACAAACAAGTCTCACCTTCATTGCCTCCACAAACACGGCTTACTTCGCTGCTATCACAAACACGTCTCACCCTCACTGACCTGCACAAACCACACCAGAAGGTGTTGGGTAATTAACGCCGAAGCTCATTTGTATTTTTAATACTTACATGTTTCATTATGAACATATTTCTGCTCCTTTATCTTTTTTTCCGACGCAGTGGCTGCTATTTGATGCTCAGAAAAATGCGTGCCGTCCTTGCTTGTCATCTCTACGGGAAAAATAGTTTTTTGTCAAAGATATTTAATATTTCTGGGATCCGCACTAGTGCCAGTCACAGAAATGACGTCAGTGGCCATCATAATAAAGGCGACACTCAGCCAGAGTGCTTCACTTTTATGAACAACTCGCTCAATATACAACAACATTACAAAAACAACACTTGTTGTATTGTATATATACAACAATTGTTGTATATATACAACAATTGTTGTATATATACAACAATTGTTGTATATATCGTCTATTTTCACAACTGCTGTCAGGGCAAAACGTAAAGAACATAAAACTCGCACAAAAATATCAATGAAAACTGAAGCTCACTCGTTGGAATTTTTGCGCGAACCTGGGATTGCGAGGCGAGGGCTGAGCTCGGCGAGATAATTATTGCCATTCAACGCTGGAAATGTAGTGAATTATTGTACAGGCTTCAAGCTCAACGTATGTTTTGAGTTATATTCACAATACATTCGTCTGTCACAGCCATATTCTTACAAAAATCGTTACGGTAATTTAAAAGTTGCAACTTCTGCAGTGATTGAATACAATTAAGTCAGGGCTGAACGAATGTGTGAAATGACTTGTTCTCTATAATTTCTTGACCTAAATTCATGCCTTTCGACGCTCAATTTTTTTTTTTGAAACTAATTCATGTAACACAATGAATCACAGATATAAACTAAAAACTTTTTCCTATCATTGGTGTTATACAGCGTTTATATTTCTTCTTTGTATGGAAATGAGACCAAATTTTAACTGTTCTGTCATGCCTTGAACTTGTAGCCATAGCTAAGAAATAACTATTGTATCGTAAATCCACCATCCAATCAACATTAATTCGAGTCTTGCTTCCAACTTGCCAGTCAAAGTCTGGAAATCCACATTTTACGGGGGTCGTGGACGCCAAGCCAAAGAAAAGATAATATGAAGCATCCCAACTCTGGTCTAAGAAGGGATCAGGCCTGCATGAAACAGCGCGATGGCGCCACTTCTTAGCCGTAGCCCTCGAAATATGGCGTCCCAAAGGTCAATGTTGGACGAGAAGGCCTGTTTTATGAACTAATAAAAATACTTACGACCATCCTTCAAATTTCCAAAAGAGTAGCTCCAGTCATCAGAAGTTTGACCGCTTATGGGAGCGCTATTAAACTGTCATCAAAATATTGATTTATGACATCTTGCATGTGAACTCAGGGCTCTGTGATGGTATAGGCATAGGTGCGAATTTCAGCTTCCATTTAGATCGATATTTTGCGTTAACTCGATATTTTTATCGTCACTGTTAGACTTGACAGTTGAAAATAATCATCATTATTTTATGAATAGTTTACCTGCGACGACCTTCACATCTCACATCAGGCAAGCAACATCGAGGCCACAAACTACGGCTACAACTTCACTTTCAGCGTCCGGCAAGCAACGTTTAGGCCGTAAATCTTCGACTGTAGCGGAGCTTCGTGTACATCTTCTTAATGTACGGGCTAATCAACATTAATAATTACAATTAATTTCAAATTCATAATATGTTTATATTAAATTTAATCTGCTTCCCCTGCAGATAAAGCACGAAAAAGAAAGTTTGTGGCCCAGTACATGACTAGTGAGAATCTTGTTGGTTCAAGCGCATGTTGCTTGGGCGCATGCTCAGTAAAATGTCGTTTACACACGTCTCTATTAATTTTCAACTTTATTTACCTGCGTTACTCAGGAGTATCATTACGCAAATAAAATCCTTCGAATATGTTACGGGAAATATTGTTCATCCTCTATACGTGATGTTTTAAATACATGCATTCAAATTTAAATACAAGTAGTTTGTCTAGTAGTAATTTCCTTCTAAGCTTCTATTTGCACCCTTGATTCCTGTGCAGTGATAGTTTTACTGTACTTATTCATGTCACACTCCGAACCTCAGCTGCATGTAGCACAGCAAGCAGCTTCACGTGAGCAGGTACGGCAGATACAAGGTGACTCACGGATACTTCCTGATTTGAAAGCTCAATAAAAATAGAACTTGCAAAGATATCCTAATAATATAAATTTTATTGAAAAATACATTACCTGAATTTTTGTATCATTAAGTTTCAAAGATGGCATCAGACATACATAGGACAGCCCAATGCCGTCCTTTGTCGATTACGTCCTTTATCGTAATCGAAATATAGACCTTTCTCCGAAAGGTCTATTCAGCCTTTCTCCACATGTTACTTGCTTTTTTATATTATTAGTTCCTATCCAATTTACTGGCGCCAACACTTGTGTAAGTCGATTTTCAGTTAATCGATTTTTAAAGTTCCGTTGAAATCACTGAAGCATATTGACGGGTATGTTGGCGAGAACTTGGCGTATGTTGTTCTTCAAATTAGGAAGGGTCCTTCGACAGTTATTGTAAACAAATTATTTATGATCACCCCATAAAAAATCACACGGAGCCAAATTGGGGGGTTGGGCCGGCTATAGAAGGTCACCTCTCAAGGAGACGAGGCGCTCTGCAAAATGTTATCTCAGAGGGAGACAACTCTGCAAAATGGCTATTAAAAAAGTACCCATCGACAGCAAACGCAAGCTGCTCACTTGTCCAATGCATAGTGACAACTGACTAGGTGGGACACCAGACTTCACGACCTTGAATTTTATACGAAATATTCCCCGCTATTTTCCTGCATCTGGCTACTTGGCGCGAAACACAAAACCGGAAGTTTCCATGAATAACACTGTATAAGGTTCGTAAGCATATATTAGCATAAGTTATGCAATAGCGGAAAACATTTCGGTTACTGCGCACCTTGACGTGTGAGTGTGCCCCGCCAACGCCAGGAACAACGCTGACGAGTATTTCATCTCATGTTTTTTTCAATGTAGTTGTCGCATCTTATACATACATAGTCTTGTTGTGTCTGTATGCAGATCTCAGTCTGTCGTCATAACGGTCGACGCACTACAACTGCGCACCATGTCTGCCGCGCTCAAATGTTCCAGTTGAGGATCAAGTTCTCAACTTGCTTCGACTGGGCACAGATAGCCATAATGCCAGTACAACAAATAAACACAAGTTTATTAAATGCAGAGTTATGTTTGATAAATGCAGAGTTTATGTTTGAAGTATTTAGATTTTTTACTCTATTATTTATGAACATAGAATCGAATAGCAAGTAACACAGGTTAATCGCTCGCTTCCTCTCTCAGTCCGTTGAGTATTCCTGATGACAATCGCGTAATTTTGCATTACTGCTGGAACAAAGAATTGAGAAAATATAAAGAAAAAAAATCCGGTTGGTATTAAAGCGATATATGAAACGTCGGTTATTTTAAACGATATCGTCGGTTATTTATAATTTAATTTTAAAATGTTTTAATTTACCAAGGGCGAAAATAGAAATTTTGGCGCCAAGTGAACGGAAGTAAGTTAGTAACTATATATATTGTAGCCACTCCAAATAAGCAATGATTTTTGTAGATGACTGACTGCAATTCTTTGATTTCTGCTTACATTTCAAATGACTTACATGGTTAGCATCGGGCAGTGAATCAACAGATAAATAATCTAGACGCTTCAGGCAGTTTGTTCTGCCATTTGTTTTGGTTCTTCTTTCGGAGTTGCCGCCCCAGTGTACAGTTGCCAGGTACCGCTTGATTAACAACTTACCTACTCTCTACAGGTATTTCTAGCACATATAACTGATTACATGTTTGATATAGTTAAACTACCATTTTACCTAGAATAATTAATTATATTTTGCAAATAGGCCACTCTCAATTCATTAATTTCTGAATGTAGTATGGATCCTACAATTGTGTTCGCGTAACCTTGAGCGAAGCTGGTGCCAAATAACCACATATCGCTAGGCGAGCGCTTCTTTCCGACCTCCAAATTCAGTCGTTTGTAACAGTGTCGCTAAGTGCATCGAAGAAGTTGGGGGTGTGCGTGTCCGTGTGTAGTGCTGCTCTGAATGAATGTACGGGGTAATTCTTTTGTAGGAAATCTTCACACAAATGAAGCTTCAGAAAAGAAATCGTATAAGCAATAAATTATCGCTGATTACGACGATAGAACGGTAGTGATCATGTTAAATCGGTAGATTTATGACTTGTATGCGCCGAAGTAACCTACTTGACAGGTTTAGCAAATTCAGCCTTTCTCCTCATGTTACTTGCTTTCTTAAATTCTTAGTTCCTATCCAATTTACTGGCGCCAACACTTGCGTAATTTGTCATGCCACTAACTGACCAATGACCATGAACATGAAATTCGAATCTAAATTTTTCATTAAAGTTTTGTTTGATGAGAATTTAGAAAAATGTCCACTTTCTGATAGTACATGAATGAATAAATTCAATAAACAATTTATATATCCTGTAAGGCTGTAATCTGTATATCTCAGCCACAACTTGAATTTTCGCAGACCGTCTATAGCTAGTAAATTCTCCACTCTGGCTCTCGCCCTAGTTAAACCTCTTCTATTGTACTCTAACTTCGTTTGGGGACCAGTATCCATAATATTTTGTCTTCCAAGTTCCAAGGTCTAGTGAGCTCGAACCTAACTTGTTGCCGAGACCCAAGTGATGTGTGCTGTGTACGCTCTTGGAAATATCCAGCAATCGGGACGAGCTCAACATCTGCAGTAATACAACGTGAGTATATTGCCAGCGTTGTTTCTTCACTGAAATGCTTGTTGCATGGACTCTCAACTTGGACAGCGCCTGCTCAGTAAGGTAGTATGATGGAGACACTATCAAACTGTATACTATCGCAGTAACTTTGTACTTGAATTTAGAAAATTACCGTCTCTACAATTAGGAAGGTCTAGAAAAACCGAAGGATCGATCATCACACACACGAAGGTGGAGAGGAGTATCAAGTTACTAGCCTAACCGCTACGGCTGAATGGCCGTAGAAACAGACAGCCTGAGACAGCCTAACTATGTAACTAGCTAACACCAAAATTGAGATCCACTTATACTACCCACCGCGAGTTCTGAGATGATGATGGTAAGAGAATATGGCCAAATCAGCCTACAAAAAGGCAAAAAGCGGTGCCAATTCAAAATTGATTAATAAAGTAGAAGTTTCTTGTAATGAAACCCCTCTGCGTTCACCAAGTCTATTTTTAGGGTTTTAAATTTGAATGAATACTCTCATAACAACGATTTTATTTAAAATTATATCCGATGTAATTTACCTATCGCCGAGCTCGCCGCTTCGGAAATTGCGGGACAGCTCTACTAAGCATGGAGCTCTACTAAGCTCTACTAAGACTAAGACAACAGCTCTACTAAGCATGGTCCCCATGAGAATCAGTACATTGCTAATTAGGCGACGAAAATCTATTGATCGTATTAGTAAATATTCTAATCTTGCAACACTGAAGACAAAAATCAGCCATTTATGTCGAAATCACTGCTAACTTCTGTACTTTTAAATTTATAAACACAAAAAATTCTTTGAAAAAGCAAGCTTGAGTTTTTCACCGTCACTTGTCGGAACTTGACTAACTCGCTCATCCCGGAAAGCCATAGTTATTAGAACAGCAAAGCCTAGAATGTATGGAAATAATGCCATTTGGAACTTGAAATCTGCCAGCCTATGAAACGGGGGTGAAATGTGTACACGTTTTTGGCAATATTTAGCAATTATGAATAAAAAGCCTGTATTATTAATAATTCTCAAAATGTTTTACTAATTCATTACAGAAATTTTTAATTTGCTTCTGTTTATTGAATGCAATTTATTCGGAAGGATAATAACCTGAATTTGAGAACTCCTTATATATTCATGTTCACGTTGCATTCGGGTAGCAGTGACACACGACGCACCTATGGCCGCTGCGCTCCCGGCAACTGCTGCCGCCATGAGACGTTGCGGGTGCCAACGCTCTGCACAGCAGCGCCAGTAGAGACAAACAAACCACATTAATGTACCGAGCTGCGAAAGACGGAAAATAGTGTGAAGATAAAATAAAGTTTGTAGCAGTGAAGTTATGATTGTTACGTCCACGTAAAAACCGACTGAGTTTAGCCGTAGGTCAACTAAATTCGGACTCCAATCTTTGCGAAAAAACGAACAAATGACCTATTCCGGATTTAAATATATTAGTTCATATTAACATCGATCAGGGTCTGATTGAAATCGACAGAACACTAAAGGGAACCTAATAAGAAATTAAATATGACTTCAAAAGTTTCAACATAGAGTATATATGAAAATATTATAAAAGCATGGCGTCTACGCATGTTCAAATAATCTCGTTGCACGAGATCAATTTCTATACAAACAGTTACTAAGGTTAGATCCCTGTGCAATTATTGGCTGTAGGGTTACCATGTCGTAATTTTTCCTGATAAACCGACCCGCTGTCACGGTGCTTGTCTGTAGGAGCGGCGTGCTGTGACGGCGACATCTCCACCTTATCTATACAGAGATAAAATAATACTACTTATTTTCCCTCTGGCTTGTGATATTGTAGAATACTCTATCGAAATACTTGAACATTACATTGCATAGTAATGAAACTTTAATTTCCAGCAGCATAGGGCATTTGAGTTTGAGTATTGTCCGTATGTATACGAGTATAGTGGTTGGTAGAGGTAGCTTAGCTACTCCTACGTTCTGTGGCTGAAATATGTCAACATTATGCGGCGTTCAGTGAGCGAACGTAAGCCTCTATGATGGCTCTTGGGAAGCTCTTCTTAGGATTATGTAGATTATATTGCAAGAATAACTTACGAGGTAATGCTTCGCTACAGCAAGCTGGCAGAGGGATGAATGTATGTATAAGGAAACTCCTATCAATGCATAGACCTGCACATGCAAGCGTGTACAAATACCTTGACTAGCACATGCAAGCGTGTACAAATACCTTGACTAGCACATGCAAGCGTGTACAAATACCTTGACTAGCTCAGGCAAGCATGTACAAATACTTTGACCATTCCACTAGCCGTTACTAGTCCTCAAGCAGTACCTAACGTGAACGCAATTGACGGTAACTTGCAAGAAACTAAATTTGTCTATCATAGGAGGCCGCCGGCCTCGGGGTTGAACGTTCTACAATAATTACGATATCCTGAGTGCATTGACCAGTTTAGGGTTGAAATAAGATACTCATCGAAAACTCTGATGGGAGAATATCGATCCTGTCATCTTACATCATTTGATTTTTCTGGTTGGGGGCAGTTTGGCATATACCCTCACAAGCGTATCACGTATCAGCTTAGTGGCGTATTGTCTCTCTGCTATAAAATTTTTCGAATAGTATATAATTGTTCTATATTTAGCGATTCACTAGCAATGATAATTTAATAACTACAACTGATGAAGAAAGGTATTGATTTAGAAAATATATCCACCACAATGCTATTTAAATTTCGGTCACATTGTTCCCGTGCTAGCGGGTGGGACAAACACGTTATCCACTTCAGAGTTAATTAAACAGTGGAAGCTATTAATGTTGTTTAAATGAAAGAGTTTTCTATTAAAATTATATTTAGGGATAGTTACAACAAAACAAATGAAACAAATGGAGAAAAGTGTTGCATTGATCAGTGGCTTCAGATGGCAGTTCCACTTAGGGTTATGAATACTGTTGGCTGTTACTAGGCTGTTGCTAGGTCAAAACTTTTGGCCTAGGCTGTTGCTACTTGCTAGGCCAAAACTGGCTGTTGCTAGGTCAAAACCTTAGTTTATAGGGAGCACAGGGTAGTACTAGACACTAGAGTGACTGAGTGACACTGCAAGAAAAATGAATGGAACATAAATAACCCTAGTGCTAAATAAATAACTCACAAGCAAAATAATTTAATCTCTTAACCAATGCCAGAATGTAATCTACATTATTCATTATGATTAAAAATGCATTAAAAACTGTGACCATTATACAAGAAATAATCCATTAATTCAAACGAGAAAATTACTTCAATACTAATAATGATAGGCTTGTATAACTAACGCATGAATAAACAAATGATCATTAACTGAAGTAAGGTGCATAATGAACAAGGAAAGTACCACTTATGCAAGAATTACAATTGATCTGACAAAAATGACTAACGAAGTACCGGTACACAAAATGTTCCGTATTTGGAGAGCAGACTTAATTGCCCAGGTTTGCACTTCCAGGCTAACACAATACACGGAACGCCAGTGGCTGCTAGTTACTAAATGGCGGAACTGAATTGAACGCGACTGTCGTTAGTTGTGCAAAAATTACTCTGAATAAAAAATGGAAAATAATTAAATTGAGTCAGATTTTACTTAAAAATAATGAATTAAAACACAGACTGGTTGAGTGATAAAAAAGTTCGATGTCTTCCGGCAACAACATCGCCTGCCACCGCGTGGAAACGGCACGTAGCTTTAACAAGTTCAACTTTGTTAACTTCTCTCAAATATTTTATTATGGTTTAACAGCTTGCAGTCAATCCCATTGAAGTGGAAAAAACCACAACTCGCTTTAGCAGCCCGTGCTAAGCGTTCGAGTTAACGAGATGCCCGCACAATTGTTACAATTTGTTGCACGCCATTCAGTTCTGTATGCTGCAAACAAGTGAAGCATTTTATTGGCGTCCTGCACCGAGCGAAGTGTACCGACGTCCCAATATTCCTGATTGTTTCACATCTTTCATTACAAAATTGATAACCCACATTATCATATCACAATATTTATCCACATGTTTTCTTATTAAACCATATATTTTGTGAGCTATAATAAAAGTAATGGACGTATTTTAGGGTCCACGTCTCTTGCCAAAGATAACTTGTTGAGTGACAGTTGCTAGGCCCCGTGTGACCTTCGACGTAACAGCCTTACACAACCTCTCCACTGTACTGTAGATACTACCTTCTCTACTGTACTGCAGATACAGCCTTCTCTACTGTACTGCACATACAGCCCTCTCTACTATCCTGCAGTTACTGCCCTCTCCACTTTACTGCAGATACAGCCCTCTCTTGTGTACGTACTGCAGATACGGCCCTCTCCACTGTACTGCAGATGCGTCGATCCCTTTCCACTGTTGCTCCCTCGCTATCTCTTCTCTGGCACACTGCGTGCATTATTTTAACACACTGCGTACATAATAAAGACAAACTGCGTACAAAATAACATCCACACGGCCTTCATTGTAATGTTGCTGCTTACGTAATAAATTAAACTCTGCGTCTATTATTGTAGAGCGAGTCTCGTCGCCTGGCGCCAGCCTCGCCTGGCGACGGCAGATGTGACGCGCGGTCTCTGCGCGAATCAAATTGAGGAAGTGTGTGAGGTGGGGTTTGATCCCTCAAGCACATGACGCCGTTAATTGAGTATTTATTGTCAATTGATAAATTTTTGTGTATTATTGGCAGTCATATAGAAAACGTTTTAAATTTTTTTGAATTATTGGCAGTTAATTTATGTAGAATTTTTTTTAAATGCGCCCGATGTTTTGGATATGCGCCCGATGCCAATTGTAAATTTACGAATTAACCTCATTTCATCGTAAAAACTTGCACGTGTTCACGTTGTATTATCGTGCCGCAAATTGTTCAGATGAGTTGAAATTCAAATCTTATATGTAACTCAATACGTACCTATGTAACTTAATATGTAACTTAATATGTAACTTAATATGTAACTTAATATGTAACTTAATAT